AAGATTTTGTAGGACAGAAGACGGTAGAGCACAGCCACTATGCCATAGCAGCACCTGAATTTTGATCCCCCTAGAATCTTCCAGTACAAACAGCTCGCCAATATTTGGTTGCTTAATGGTAGATTTTAGATGACTTTGGAAAGTTCCTAGCAACAGTGCTAAGGGAACTAGGTTTAACATGCTGTATTGGCAATCCAGAGGGATTTAATGAGATCCCAAAGTTAGACGCAAGTACCAGCTCAGATAATGATCTTTGCAAGAAGGTAAAATCTCATGGCCTTGTCGAGCGCTCCATTATCTGCTTACAGAACTTCCATCGATTTCCTAGCGACTCTTTTCCAATAAGCTCCAGTAAAAAAGCACACTAACGTCTTGGCCAAAAATGGTAGCACAAGAAGACATCAGTGTAAGCACATCCATGCCATTACCTGAGTTCAAAGTTAGAACAGTCACTTTGCTGCAGGTAGCAGGTAGTTTTTGTTTACCTGTTCAACAGTGCCATGAAATGGGCATCTTCCATTGTTACATTTCACTTTAAAGCTTCAAATAGTACACGTAGTTCTATGTTGACAGTTCATTAAAACCGTTACAGATGTTAAAAGATCATAATTTCATTGGGAAAAAGGTTTTGCAAAGACTGCGGCAGTTTCTCAAGGCATTACTCGAGGAGCATTACACCAAGTATTCAGGCCAAGTCAAAGGTACTGCTGGAAATGAAGACTACACGGTCAAAGTGAACAACCAAAAGGAGACGTACACACCGATATTTGCCCCAGGAGCTCAGTGTCATTGGTATAAGGAGGAATTTGTCTTCAGGTAATCGCCAAGTTTAACCCAAAAAAGTGAGAGGCCTGGCGTTCCGATCCTAGTAGAATATTTCTGAAAGGTCTGTCTTTGTTTAATTCCGAGTCATTACCAGTAACAATGTAGTGTGCCATTTTAAAAAGTGTAACGTGATTTGGTTCTGGTCACTGTTTCTTGATAATCCAATGTTACTACCTTGTAAGTTTAATAAAACCCAATTTCAGTGATTAATCAATCAACTTGTTCATAGTTCCTTGACATCGTCATCCTCGTCGCAAACTTCAAGTCAAGCCCTAAGCGAGCCCAGCAACCTCCTGGGGTTTGTGCGTTCATTGGTACCCTTGCTGCTGCAGTGTTGGATGGAGGTGGCCCCCAAATCGCAGGTCCAGTCCCAGCCTCACCTGCATGTTGTTGCCATGGAGATACTGGATGGCGTAATGTCAGTAATTCTGTTGCTATGGCGATGGATGCAAGGCGTGTGTGAGGAGAGACGTGATTTCAGTGTAAGTATCTGACTTGACATTGAAGAGACAAATTCCAATGAAATATTTGTAAAAATTGTTTGGAAGATAGTTTGAATTTCAGACAGTTTTTTAAGCAAAAGTGATTCTTTTCTCTTAGAAATTGTTTCTGGTTTGCTTAAAAGTGTGTAAATTAGACAGTTCCTTTCTCGTTAACCTTTTTGGGGTGTCTTGTTGCTTGTCCAGTGTATGAAGCAGCTGCAGAAACTCTACCACAAGAAGTTTGTTACCCACCTCCTCCCCTGCTTCCCCTATGTATCCCACAATCCCCCAGCCAGAGCAAAGCACTCTGGGAAGGGCACTCCCTCTGCTGTGTCTGCCGTAAGCCTCAACTTAGCGGCCTGCGAGATCATGTCTTATTTCATGATCGGCAGCAACACGGCCACCCCATGGCTGCGCCAGATCATGGCCTACGTTCTTGAAATCTGCGTGGAGGGCGGGGATCTGTCGTTGGGGCACATGCCGAGCTTGTTGGATGTGGTGCGGCGATTGGTCAAAGTGCTGCCCAGTGCAGGTAAGACTTTGGCAGAGCTCAGGAATGTTTTTTTATATCCAAGGCAAGCTCCCAACACCGAGGCAAATAAGCCCATCTCTCAAATTTCCTAAAGATGCCTGAAATTGTAGGTAGCAAACTCATAGCTATGAAATGAAAGACAACTTTGTTGTGAACTTATGTCTAATTCATCAGGTCAACCTGGGATTGACTTAATTAGATCTCTGGAGAATAATTTTTTAATTCACAAACATTCAGGTAGGGACTGAAAGGCCATTCCAGATACACCGTCAAACCAAACGGGATTTTGAACCTTTGTTATGAAAGTATTAGCAGGGAATCTTGACGGTCTAACTTCTCTCTGACTTTAAGTTGAAATGTCCAAATAGGGACATTTGTGAACAAAATACGAAAATCAAGATCCGGTGTGTATTTTGTTTAAAAAAGAAACAGATACCAATCATTGTTGGTTTCAGAGAGTGTGAGCGATCTTCTGCAAGCCGTGTTTTCATTGCATCAGAGTTGCCACAACCTGTCGGGGCACAAACAGGCAACGTTGCAGTGCCTGGACGAGCTGCTGACAGGCCACGGAAAGACGCATCCGTCCTCGAGGTATCTACATCTCGCTACAAGCACTGTTTGTGAATACATGTTTGACAAAAGAAGTGTCGTTATTTGTTGTGTGGGTTCAGAGCCAGTCAAGCATGACCAACATAAGAGACCTCAATTCCTTGATCTTTCAGGTCAATTGATAGCCTTTTCCTCCAGACTCTTCCAGAGCTGGTCAGGACGTCGGGTCCCGTGTCCTCCAAAGCCGTCCAGATTCTTCTCCGCCGGGCTTCGCAGCGTCAAGACGAAGCCCTGGCTTGCGTACGGCAATATTTGAAGTCATTTGTAGGTGGGTAGTGGATGCCAGAGATGGGAGGCAAAATCAATCATGAACTTTGGTTAACCGCCTTTGGACGAACAGTCAATAAATGTATGCTGTGCTGCTAGATGGTAGACTTATTGAGTTGACTGTTTGTGACCAGCTGATTAATGTTGGTCACGTCGTCTTTCATCTGTAACCCTGCACATTGCAGCATACACTGGAAAGCGAGGACACTGAAGTTTTGTGATGATGCGTGTTACACAATTTTTACTCGTGTGAAAAGGCAGTGTCTTATGATAGATATTTCTGGCAGAGAAACACTTTGCGAGACCAATTCCTGTGAATGTTTTTTGGCTCCATCACTTGCAGACCCAGAGAGCGGCATTTTACTGAAGCTCCCAGCCGACCTCCAGGTCCACATCATCCATTTGATTCACCACGCCGACCCCCTTGACCTGGACACCCTGAAGTTGCTCGCCTTTTGTTGCCACGACGACCGGATGAGTGCGGAGAACGTCACATACCTCGTCAACGTCATGTCCACAAGGTGGAATCAAATGTCTGGACAATTTATTGGAGACCTTACTGACTATGCTATCTGCTTGAAAAAATATACAAATGTATGCAGTAATGCATAAATTGACTGGCTACGGCTAATATTAATACCATGTCTATGGGAAGTGGATGCAGCCACTTGGCAAGGACTTTCACAGGCACACATGCCATTTCTTGCCGCAGCCACAACTTTCAGACACAGCCTATTACGGCCTGTGGCATTTTATCCAATATACCATCATGCTTTCCTTTATACATAAAGACCCTGCAAGAATTTGTACACATTCAATTGAAAATGAGCTACATTTGCTCTGCATTGTGTTCTCAAGTGCATACAAATGATGTTGCCTTTCTTCAGTTCAGGGGCTAATTTGACTTAGCTGCTTAGCAGCAGATAGTGCTAAGAAGACTTTTCACATGAGCAAAAATCAGCTAGGGGACCAGATACAAGCATCACACTTTGCATGCTACTTTGGCTGTATCCTGTTTCTGCTTAGGACGCATTTTTTAAGCTGAGCAAACTTCAGTGCTCAGCAGCAGATGAAATATGCCAAGTGACTAGACCACGTACTAACATCAACCATTATTGTTAAGACTCCACAGTGCCGTGGTAACACTTTTGTACACTTTTCATGTATCGGGTACAATTTTTTTTACTTTGAAAAATGCAGATTTCTGGACGCAGGCATCGCACCCTGTGCTGACCGGCAGTTACCTTTTGACACAGCTGACTTCATCAGTTTCCTCTTTTCTGTTTCAGTTGGTGAGACAAAGCAATTTACTCACACTTCTTTGTTCGTAGCAGGCTTTCTTCTTCTGCTTTCAATGATAATTAGCCGCTGGGAATTTCCATGCAACTCAGTTTTTTTTTTGCCGAGTACAATGTCATGGACTATGCTTTTACTTTTCAAAATCTGCAGGTTGCCTCCATACAAAACCAATGAGCAAAGACGGGCAAGATGTCCCCAAGGGTATGGAAGGGAATAGCCTGTTACCAAGCAACCTGACATCCATCTCCATAGCAACCAAGACTGGCCGATCAATGCAGCATCACTCAACCATTGTCAAGGCAAACATTAAAAGTTCTTATGCCAATAAATTTGTGTAAAAACATCAAAATCCTGTTCATGTCTCAAAAATGGCCATGTCTTTGTTTTGGCAGAGTGTTTGTTTGAGCTACAGTCTCATCTCCAGTAAGGAGCAGATGTGGGACGCCATACAGATGCTCATCATCAGTTCCTTGGTGAGATAAAAATTCTTAAAGTTGTAAATTGATAAATCTTTTGATGATATGCTTTTCTTAGGAGTAAGCAGTACAATAAATGTTTCAAAATGTTGACTGCCCACGTTGCGATGTTCACTTTGTAGAATTCTCGGAGAGCTACGACTTGTGGCGCAGCGTATGGCATGCTACACACGGTCAACTTTCTCACCACGCCCATGACTTACTGGAGTCAAGAAATTGTCAACAAACTAACAGAGTGTTGCTTAGCAATCCTGTACTCGGTGGTATCGGATGACCTCATGGGGTTCGGGCGCTCGGATTGGTCAGAGGCAGTGTGGGAAGAGGTTGTGGATTTGTTGGTTGTGGCCCATCCAGTTCTGGTGGAAATGTTGCAGCGAATATATGCTCGGGTTGGAGGTAGGTGGAGAGTGAGGATTGGATTGGTAACTCATGCATATTTATGATTAAACCCTGCTTTTCTATTGGTCAGAGTATTACACATCATGACATGGATCAGTGCAAATGATGTGGTTTTGTGTGTTGACTGATCTGTGTTAATATTGGTCACAATGTCAGTGCAAGTCGTGTTTTTTTTTAATATTTCATGGCATGTTTTGTTTGCTTTGGCTTCCACAGTTTTGACCGATCACGACCATGTCCAGAACTTGGCCATGGTGGTAGTAAGACTTCTGCAGACCCAGCGATTGTCTTCCATTCTGGCCCAGCTGACGGACCACGTCATGCAAGCTGTGCACAGCATTATGGTAAGCACAAAAGATAAATCTGAAAACTGGGACTGGATCCAACAAAACGAGTCTTAAGGTTATTTATTTCATGTTCGTTTGCTTCAGAGAGAGAGAAGACTGACAGCTTTGTTTTGATGTGTCACTCAGGTTGTCATCCTGATGACAGTGGACTTTATGTGGACGAAAAATGTTGGGGGTTCCATTAACTGATTAACTGTGTGCAAGCTTCTTTAAAAGCCTCTAAGTCAAAAAAGTGGCTCTGGTGACTTGTGACTCATTTACTGGAGCGGCATCACAGTAGACCTTATCCACATGGAAGCCATTTTGATCATGTTCCCTGCACGTATTCAATGTCATCTGTGACAAGGGGTGGTGCCAGACTTTTAGGGGCTCTGTGCTTAGCTTTCAGTTATTGTAAATGTTGCCTGAAACATTTAGATGTAATCATCACATATTTGAAATTATTCATCATCATAAATGACTTTAATCTGGAATGAACTTTTTCAGTGATTTCATTTTCTAATTCTTGGGTTCCCTAAATAAGAAACTTTAACCTCGCTTTCAATCCAGTATGGCCGACTTGTGAATAAGGTCATTCTGGTTCTCCCGTTCGGTGTAAAGAACAGTGTACTCAGTGCTTCTGGGAGTTTATCATGCAAATTCAAAGACGGCTTATCATTGAGTTTTTGTCAGTTTCCTTCCTCAAAGAGAACTTGCAGTATGGTGATTTTCTGTTTATTGTTTACTGGTAGAATCATCACTTAGCAACCGAAGGCAGTCGCTGGGCAGCAGAGCTTCAGTACGAAGCAAGCATGACTCTGAAAGCACCTTCTCAAAGGTGACAACACTGGTCCCGAATTGACAACCTACTCACCCCCCCTTCAGAAAAACACAGCGGCGTCTCAAAAGCACCAAGACACCTTCAACACAATCAGGCATTTGATGAAGGCCCACTTGTCCTCTCAAAACTTCATCATTAATGCCGTACTGAAATCAACCGCCATGCGAAGTTGAAACTTATCTGAACATACACCAAGATTCTTTTTGAGGTAAAGCTCATTTGATATTCACACGGCAGCGGAATCACATATAAAGCAGGTTTTGTATTTATCTCTTGTCACATGCACAAAAAGGTGGTTACACTGGTGCTCTGATTTTCCAGGTCATAAAACAGACAATAAGCCTTTTGTGAGTTAAGTTTGAATAAAAACTGGTACACTGAGTTCTTAATATGTGACCAGCTCCACAAAAATGGGTATTTTGGGCCTTTTTTTTCAAAATGAGTTACATACACATTTGAATTGGTTACACCATAAGCTTTAATTTGGTGTAAATTTGAACCCTGTGGCATTTTGCAAGTTGGAGATATGTTGATTTTTGCGTAATCATATCATACACATTAACAAGATTGCTTTCGGAGATAAAGCCCTTTAAACACAGGAAGTGGAAAAAGAAATCAGCCAAGAAGAAAGTCTCTTTAAACCCATTGCAACAGTTAGGATTCTTGTATGAATTGTGAAAGTATTTATCTAATAGAAGCAAATAAACCAAGAAGTAAAAAATCACCCTGTCCACATTAAAAAGCCCTTGGCGTGAAATAACACAGCGTCCCTTAAAACCTTTTTTGCAGAGTGGGTTACAAATTCACGTGAACCTAACAATTTGTATTCTCCATACTAAAGACACTGTTGCTATACCTCGTGATTCAGGGCAAGCTTTTCCTTAGTTACATAAGAGACGCCTTGCAACAATACACTTTTCCCAATGGATAAGAAGGGCACAAAGGAACCAGTCCACTCTAGAGATGGTGGTCGCTATGTAAAACCTTGCCCCGAATCACAAGGTATAGCAACAGTGTCTTTAGTCTGGGGAATTCAAATTGTTATGTTTATGTGCAATTGGAGAACTCAGTGTTGCAGACTTTATTCAAATTTAACTCGCAAAAGGCTTATTGGGTGAGAGATTTATGAATATGACCACTATACACTCAACTTTCTTTGAATGGATGGTTGAATTTCAACATTCTTGATTTATTTAGCCACTGCTATGCCAAAAATGGGACTCTAGGGTGGGGAAAAGAACTGAAGATCTCAAGATGTCTGAAGTTGTCAATGTGACACATGATGGCTACGGTTACAATTCAACTTGCATGGGTTATTTACATCTTTGCTAAAACCGTGGTAGGGTATGCAGCTAGGAATATCCGAGGTAGGGTTCCATACCTTCGGAAGACACACGAGATATGAACTATGCTGATGAACGCTGGCAGCGTGTAGAATTACAGTCTCTACCTAGCGAAAAATGCTTGGATCAAAAAGGGTTAGCGCACTTGGAGAGGGTGTTCCAGTGGGAAGACGCGGCCCTACAAACAAGCGAGGACAAATTTATACAGAATAACTGGACTTGCAGTGCGGTCTGTGACAAGTCACAAGTCCTGCCACACACAACAAAGGAACATGTTTTTGATCTGTTTGTGGATGATCGGGACAAGGAACCGTTCTCTTTGTACAATCATGACTTTGATAAGAATATACAATAGATGTACCGTAGTTATGGTTTGTGATAGGAGCAGTAAAACAGTCGGAATAAAGGCTATAATGAGTATTGCTTTCAGTACCATAGAGGACAGACAATTGCTGACTCGCAGTTGGTAAAATAAACCAGAACCGTAACAATTTTTGTGTAAAATAAAGTCAAACTTAACAAACAACTGTATGATATCCCCGTTTACTATTTCCACTGTAACCACTGCCCCCCCTCCATTTCAATCGAATCTCCTCCCACCATTCACACCACCACATCCTGGAATGGCAGCGGTGTGTTCTTTTTTTATACAAAAGTACGGTAATGCCCATGGCGTCATCGGTGTTGAAAATATCTACATGCAATACGGCAGAATGAGAGAATACAGGTTACACTCGCAACGCCAAAGGAGAGATTTCCGGCCGCAGGCCTCGGTTCAAATTTCGCTCTCCGTTCTCTATTTAGCATGAGTAGATTACATGATGTGAGTAAATAGCTAGCTGAAAAACAAAAGTTATTTCATACATGGCCTACTGTTTATTGAGGCCTGGTGCACCAAGAAACTTTGGAGCGCGTGATTACGATCAAACTGGGATTGTTTGACGAGGGGCTTGTGACAAGACGAGCCACACCAGAAGAACTTCAAGCATGCGCTGCTGACAAGCAAAGATTGTTTCATAAACTGACCTCCTTTGCATACCCAGTTTCTCGTTGCGAGGATGCTAAACGTAGGCAACTGGGTTTTTTGGTTTCATAGTAAGGATACTGGGACAGTTTGGTGAATAAAGAGCTGACAAACAAGAATTATTTTTTGCTTGGCCATTACGGTATTCAGATATCCCACCGGCTTTTCCTCTTCTTGGGCTTCTCAGCCACCATCTCATCCACCTGGTGGGCTCTCTTGAGGGCCTCCTCCAGTGCTGCACTTCGGCCATCTTGGGCATGCTGTGATACCCCAGCTGACGGTGCAACTCCCCCCAGTTGCCAGTAGCCGTGGCTGTCCAGGTGCCCCGTGGGACTTGAGAGCTCGCTCTTGTCTTGCGAGGACGTGCCGTCCTCGCTCTCCCTCCGCGGGGTGCTATCCCACCGACTGCCCTCGGGCTTCCTGCCGGGGCCCTCTCCGCTGTTCCTCCTGGCCGGTTCCGGGGACTTGGGCCCGCCGACGTCCCACTTGGACTTGCGACTGGGCGGCGCGATCGGCGCGACGGTCTGCGGCTTGGAGTCCTTGGCCTCCGGTGGGACGAAAGTGCTCAGAATGCCCTTGGTGTGGCTAGTGGGCGGGGCCTTGAGGTTGCCCGGTACCTTCAAGCTGAGTCCACTCTCGGCGAGGCTGTGGTGGTGGTGGTGGTGGTGATGGTGGCTCAGGCCAGACGAGGCCGGGTTCTTTGGCGGCATGGCATAGTTGCCCGTGTTCTCGGCCGAGAAAGTGTTGGATGTGGACGACGAACTGGCTTTTTGAAAATGCCTCTGATATTGGGCCTTTGGAGAGAAAGTTAAAAGAAACACAACAGTGCACTAAAAAAAAAACCAAGGCACTCGGCAAGTTTAATGATTGACCTTCGGCTCGTTATCCCATCAGAAGGGTGTAACCCTCACTGACAATGAGGTTTATTGTGCCTCGTGTGCATTAATCTCCTAAGCAATATATGAGGTCAATCTGGTCAAAGTACCACTCTTGTCCAACGTTGCTCAACATCGATAATATACCCCACTGAGCCAAGGGTCTAAAATCAGCAGCCGATTCATCACATCTTCGCAGGCTGCATCTGAATCAATTTGCTGCGGCTTGAAATTAAGCGCCACTCTATGGGAACTGGCTGGGCCCACTCGCATAGACTTCATTGTGATTTCAAACCCCTGCTAAGTGATTCAGATGCGGCCTTACCACAGAAATCTGCTAAGCAAAGAAAACGTCGGTTTAAAATGTCACTTATTGTGAATTTCCTGCGGTTGGTTGCCCGCAGATTCACGCTTGCCACATAAATCGGCCCAGTTTTGTTTTCATGAAACTGGACACTGACCTTGAAAGTGTTCCTCATGGACGCCAGCCGGCTGCCCTCCATCTCCGAGGGGTCAGCGGCCGCGAAGCCTCCCCCAAGTGGGCCCAGCGTGGGGCCCGTCTTCCCTCCTTGATCATCCTTGCCGCTGCTGCCAAGGCCCGGCCTGTCCTTGGCCTTGGAGCGCTCCTTACCGTAGCCCAGCCCTGAGCCCCCACCGACTTTGCCTTTGGCTCCATGGCAACTCCGGGTCTTTCGGAACCTCGGATTCTGCAGGGGAAAAGTAAAAATGCGAAGTTGTTGTTTCAAAAACAAAAAAAAAAGAGGAAGAACTATGCAAACTTCAAATATAAAATTCATCAAACCGTAGAGTCCACAGGTACCTCTCGGGCATCTACTCACAAGAGACATATTCCAATTCGGCGTTACTGCGAGATTACCAACACTGCTGTCTCTACAGTATAATGCTTCTTAATCTTATCATTTTCCCAGATACCTCAGTGGAAACTGGCCCAAATGCCAATACGTACCGTGCCTGGGCTCGGCCAAATCTAAATGACATGGCTACCTCTGGCAGTAACGAGCTCCTACATAAGCCATTGGCTAACAATGGAAGCCATTTCTTATAGACAAATTCAACACTACCAGCGTTAGCCATGCTGATTTGGGCTTATGTTGGCCCAGAGCATCTTCTAACAACTGCAACCAGGGGCCAAGAACTAGGACACCCAGCTCCTAATGTGACGGATGAAGCCCTTAAACCTTCTTGGTCAACTTTCATGTTTGTTATGCACAGTAAATGGCACGGTCATCCACTTGCCCACACTGCTTGACTTGCATAGCGCCCTCTTCAGTGAGTGCACAAAGTCGATACTGGTTAAAACACTGACCTGCATGGCCAGATCCAGGAGCGACTGACTGACAGTCTGATTGGCACCCTCCAGATTACGGACCAGGTCACCAGCGAAGTAGATGTCCTTGGCTGTCACCAGGGTGTAGGCTGTGCCCTTCTCCCCTTGCGGCATGGAGAAAACAAATTATAATCAGAATGACACGGTCACACCAGAGCCCATGCGACAAAGGGAGACAAGTGGTACACAAATGCTTACTTCCATTTCTTATCACTGACTTTTTGGAGAAACTATTCGAACAGCTTCACAGTTTGATCATAACTGCATTATCTCATGAGCTAAAAGTTATCAACTTCCCAGATTTCTGCTTAGAGATGACTTTAAAATGATGCGGAACAGCCCCTTCCGGCAGGGACCGTGCAGTAAATGTTGCTCGTTTTCATTAGTAATGCACCGTCCTCGGAAGTTCTTGAGAGCGTCCCTGGAAATGTGCATACCTGCTCTGCCAGTCCTTCCGATGCGGTGGGTATGTGTGTCAATGTCACGTGCAACGTCGTAGTTGACCACTATCTTGACAGACGGGATATCCAGGCCGCGCGCTGTAAACAAAATTAATTACAACCAGGAGTCAGTATAATTTTGCCTCAGCGGCAAACTTGCAGTGTTACCCCTGACCAGCAGGCTTATCATTGTTCCTTTGCATTTTCAATGGTAAGAAGCTGGTAATTGAACACAATCTGTTAAATACCCAGATGTTTTTGGCAAAATCATGTGAGGTACGTCATACCCTCTTGATTTGAGAGTTTATAAAAACTCACCAGCTACGTCTGTAGCAACCATGACAGGGATGACTTTCCTCTTGAAGTCGGTGATGACGCTGTTTCTGCTGCTCTGGTCCATGTCACCATGTAACAGCCCAACTGAAATAAAAAAGAAAATTAACGATACGGGGAATTTCCATACATGCATGTATTTAATATCTAAATTATTCTAAAATTTCAGCTATGACGACGATTTCATCGGTTCAGTTCCATATTCGCATCCTCATTAAACGGGGTCTTGAAACTTGAAATGGAACCTTTCAAGATGCTGCAAAAATCTAGCCGGTGGTTTCGGAGGAATTTGGAGGAAGCCCGGCCGCTATGACTTCACAGGGGGTAAGATACCCCCTTGGAAGTTAAAGTAACAAAGAACGTGCGGCTGGTTTCCTGGAGTAGGGCTGGGTTCCTAGTAAAGAAGCTGACAGACTCGGGTTCAATACGCCACTCGGCTGTACCATTAAAATCCTGCTGGCAGAGGTTGTTGGCCAGCTCCTCGGCGTTCAGCTTCTTGGTGACGAAGATGAGCACGCTCCCCAGGGTGGTGAAGCGGACCAGCTCGCCGGTCAGCCACTTCCACTTGCTCTCGGGTGCCTTGTCGTCGCGGAACACCTGGACGATCTGCTTCACATCTTCGTTTGCCTGACGGGGCAAAAATATGTGATTTGGCAAATAGTTTTTGGCCCCTCTAACTGGCACACTATGGAACCTACTTCCAGTCATGTGATTCTCCTCAAAGTATGTCGGCACAAAAATATAAGTGTCTGCAACACTACGCCTGCGCGTCTTGAGGGTGTTTGCGCAGTAAGACATAGAAGAAGCAGCAAGGAATTGGATCCCGCGACTGGGCAACATTTTTGCTTGCCCTGCATTTATATTCCCCCCTTGTATATATTTGACATACTTTTTCACCCATATATTCCATCCACGTTGATACGGACCAGTGTTGTAGTCGAGACCACTTCAGACCTTCACAAGACCACACGAGGCCTTCACAAGTCCAACACAAGACCTCCAGTCTGAATCCAAGTCACAAGCCATTCAAATGAACTGCGCCAAGAGCATTCCTTTGTTCACCTGTTACTTGTGACTGGTCTTGTGACTGGTCTTGTGACTGGTGTTGTGACTGGTCTTGTGCATGGTCTTGTGCTGGAATTACAGAGGCCGACTCACCTCCCCCGCGTCGCCTTGCACCACCCTGATTGGGTCGGTCAGGATGTCTCGGGCGAGCCGCTCCACCTTCTTGCGGAATGTGGCACTGAACAGCAACGCTGCACGAGAGTCGGGATTGTAAATAGACCGTTTTATGTTTCGTTTTTTGTTTGGTTTTTCAAAAACAGAGGATGGGAGATGACATCAACGACGTACCCTGTGCCCTAACGAGACATTTTTGCCCTCTCCCTATCAGATAATTAGTTGCAGGCCAACTGTAACATACAACTGAAATCATTCAACTTGTAAATTTGTATCAACAATAGGTGGTCCAGACACATTTCAGCGTGATCGCGACCATTCTGACAGAGAAGCCTTCATTCTGGAGGCAAAGAACAGGAACGCTGGAGAGGGAAGGACACTTTGATAGATGTCTCCTCCATCAAATACGTAAAGGAGAAGGTATCCTCAATTAGGAACAGCATGCGTGTGAACTTACTCTGTCTGTCGGGCCTGACGTGGTTGGCAATCGACCGAACCTGGGGCTCTGCGGGTAAAAACGAACAAGACTGCCCAAAGAGATTGTTACTGGACACAAGACACTGGGTTGACATGATGGAAGAAGAGCCTCTCTACGGCAGCACGCACTATCAGAGGGAGGATGGCATCACCGGCTCACGAGGAGCTTCAGTCGACGGTGAAATGTTTCTCTCATCATGTTACATGTACCGCACAAACATTAAGAGGTTTCGTGAACCATCTTTGTTGTTGGTGAAGCTGCTAGTCAGAATTACATCAAAAGAGTTCCATTTTGTCGAGTTTTCTGATATTGACCGTATTTTTAAAGAATTGTGGAGGTTGTTGCAAACGGTTTTTCCAAAAATGCTTTAGGCCAAGACTACAATGTCCCAAGGGTAAGTGCTTGAGTAGTCTTTCACCCACAGGAAACCCTGGAATAAAAATACCCTGAATCAAAACAAGTAATCCTCAAATTTTGTCCAAGTTTTAGATGTTCCAGCCGCTTTTGCGCGTTATTCACTCACCGAATCCCATGTCAAACATACGGTCCGCTTCGTCAAACACGAGGAAGGTCACTCGCTGAAGGTTGGTGGATTTCTTCTTGACCAGGTCAATCAGTCGCCCCTGGAAAAATTGACGTCAGATGTTAACGATTTGGCCTAGGGCTTACCCAAGCTTGGCTACGTTCTTCTCACTTTATGACCCTAAAGTAAGACAAGTACAAGAATACAAGGGTCATAGGTCAAAAGGCTAACTGACCGGTGTGCATACAATGACCTCCGGCCCCTCCTGACATGCTCTCTGCTGTTCCCACATGTTCCCGCCTCCGTAGGCACACACCGCTTTAATGTCGTAGGCCTTCCCAAAGCGTTTCACTTCGACGTAAATCTAGGAACGAAAAAGCACATTATGCTACATCAAATAAACCCATTCGGAGGTTTAATGCAGAAAAACCTACAATATCTTACCCTAAGTGTTTGAGATAAGAGCTCCAGTGGACAGCTTCCCATGCCTACCTTTCCAATTCTAATGCATGTGCACAAGTCTGGGGGCCAGACTGCTTCACTCTGAACAGTTGGCGAAACCCTACCTATCACTGGTATGCATTCTCAATTGTGAACCAGAACACTTCATGTAAACCAGTGAAGCTAAGCTTACTTGTTCCTGTTGCTAGGCGACAAAGCCCCCTCCTTCATTCATGCACAAACCCGATCTATGGATTTTTTTACTTGTTCTTAAACCATATCCAAGGATCTGGTGACCTTTAACCCTTTTGAGACACACGATGCATATGTAATTTTTCCAAGTTCTTACTGGACAACATTTGTTCCACAAAAATGCTAAAATTTGTCACTCCAGTCCGTTAGGGGATGGAAGGTCATATTTTCCTTGACCGTACTGACCTGTTGTGCTAGCTCTCTGGTGGGAGCACAGATCAGACCGATAGGCCCTTCGGTTGTCTTTACCGCTCTCTGAAATTAAGACATTAAAAAATCTCATAAATTATCAAGATTGAATTTTGAAGACATCTCTCATGTAAACAGATCCTTTGTACACTGCATCGCGATGCCAACAATCCTTTGCAGATAGAAATTCTTCCACATCTCCTTTCAGAATGAATCCATTCGTGTCCAATAAAATTGATCCTTTTTAATTTCTACCTCATAATTCCCACAATGCTTTGCAGCCTGCCATTTTGATATGTCAGGCCGTGTCCAAATGGAGCATTTGGTGGCTAAGTCTTTTGGGTTTGGCCATTATTTCATTAAGGTGAGCAGCCGCGGACGTAGAGAACAATGCCTGTGTCAGATAGTGCCCGACATCAAAGATGGCGAGTCGAATAGATGGGTGGGGTACGTATAGCCATCGCTACAACCGAATCGTGTCTAGAGCTAGGTCTTTGCCAGTTACATGGCAAAGGTATGGGCACACAGAAGCCACAGTCCTAAAAGCCTGTTTGGGACGCGACTGCCTCTACCAGGAAGTGAACTCCAACCCACTTTGACTGGTAAACGCCTCCCTCCCCCTTGCCTTTATCACCTGATCCATGATGTGCACCAGCATGGGCCAAACAAACGCTGCCGTCTTCCCGCTCCCCGTCTTGGCGATCCCGATGATGTCCCGCCCGCTCAGGGCGATGGGCACGCCCTGGGCCTGGATGGGCGTGGGCTGGGAGTACTCCGACTTGCGGATGTAGTGCATCAGCTGCTCGTCGAAGCCAAAGTGGCCGAAGCTGCTGACCGGCCTTGGCGGGTCAAAACCGGACACCTGTGAGGGAGGGAAGAGACAGAAAGCCTGAACTCAAAAAGTCCCAATCACTGAAAGTCTTGTGGCAGATTAAACGTGGACATAAGTGTCTTGTGGGAGGTGTTGAAATGAACTAATGAGTATAAAAACGGTACTATTCAATTGCACAATTATGAACCGTACGTCCAATCCATTTCTAATACGTTAACAAATAATGAACTTCTTTTATTTTCATTGGTAATGATACCAAGGATTCCTCAAAATTGCCCAAAGGCTTTGAAACTCTTGTGCCTGAAGAAACCAGTAGAGAGAAGACAGCTGTGTGGTGTGGAACGCTGGAACTTTTTACCGCGCAACAAAAGGAAATTCTCGTTGAAAATGTCCACCTGAAACTTTGGATCAGTTTGTCCCTGCACTTGAAAAGCAGTCCAAATTCACTCTCTGCACTTACCCGGATTCCAAACTTCTTCCGCAACTCCAGGACCTCTGGGTACTTCAAGGCTGCAATGTCTCTGTGTTCCTCGTAGAAGTTTTTCACAAAGGCTTCGTACTTGATCTGGAGGAATCATCGGTCCACAAACATTTTAAACCACCACAAAAATCCACATTTTCTTTGTAACATTTTTTTTGTTCTTGGTATGAATTTCTAGTTATGCACACCCTTCTCCGTCTAAAAGCATAAACAACTAGTTTAAGGGCTCACCTCGGCGTGATTGATGGGTGGAAGGGGATCGATGAACTTTGACCTTTCCGGAATGATGGGATTACCGTCTGCGTCGTATTCAAGGATGTCGTCCGCATCGTACATCGGCACTCCGGCGTTAGGGTTCTCTTCCATGTACTTGAAGAAAGATTCCTGAAGGAGAAAAGCACCCCATCATTGTTGTCATCAAAATTGTTATTACCCCAGGCTGGGGGGCCAATAATTATTTCTGAAAGTTTGTGACTAGTGACCAACTCAAGAAATACACTGAACCTAAAGTGAAACATTCTATTGAAAGGACTTGGAACAGAACTGTACAACACTTGGCAGATTCGCTTTAATACTTCAGCCTCTATGTGTAGGAAAAAACGAGTGAAGTGGCTTGCTTAGGGACACAAGCAGGCCTCGAACTTGTATGAATGATGCATCCGAGTCATGCGCACTCTCTGCATACACACCATGGTTGGGGGGGGTGTTGATGGATATTTGTGTCGTATTGTTGGCATTGGGGCAAGTAAAAGGCTACCTCAGGCAAGTAATTCAGTGTTCCTAGCTAAACAGAAATGAACGTTGAGGCTTGGACACAGCCAAATACTAAATTTACGATGGGGGCCGGTTCAGAACCTCAAACATTCCCACCTGGTCATCCAGCTCCTCGATGTCTTGCCTGACGGCTTTCTTCTTGTCCTCGCTGCTGCTCTTCTTGGAAGCCGCTTTTTGTTTCGCCAGGTCCTCCTTAAAAAAAAAATCAATTTTTCACAAAAATTATCAATGCAGCACTGGTTCCTCGGGAAGAAAGAGTCTGCGTAGACTCTGTAACTTCTTGGGGGGGGGGAATTACTGCATCAGGACACCTCCCTATTGAATAAGACGACACTTCTCTACACGACTGTTGAGTTCTGAAAGGGTCCTTTTATAATGTAAGCAATACAGGTGACAGATTTGAACTTCTAGGTTGGCACCCGTCCTCCTTTCAAAAATGGGGAATGCGAAGAGTCCCAGTTAACAGCTGACGCTGCGTTCACTGTACAGGGAACCTTGATTTCTTGGTGCGGCAATTCAGATGCTGGGGGGAAAGGAAGGAGCACATTGTGCATCATTGGGCCCTGCTTACATTGATGCCGGCCATGAAGGCATCCAGGGGGTCCTCTTCACTGTCGCTGTCCTCCCGTTTCCTCATCAGCGCCTTGTCCTCTTCCTCGTCGCTGTCGGCTTCAAAATACCTGCAAAGTGTGGCATCGTTGTTGGACGGTGAGATTAGAGGGAGGCGATGGGTGAAAAGGAGTGTAAAGAATACATCCTTTGCACTCTGTACACTGGACTGAGGAAGTTGCCCAGGATTTGGAAGGGTTCGCAAAGATTTCGTGCAAAAAACTCCCCAGTAATTATGGTTCAAGTATCCTTCCTTCGCTGTCACAGCTTGGCGGTAACACTGTGGACTTACTCGGCTTCGGTGCGATGGCGTTTCAGCATGGCCTCCATGTACTGCGTGTGGGAGAAAGGGTTGGGATTGGCAGGTTTGGCGCTGGGGACGGCGTGGTAGGACTTGCCCAAGTTGCTGTAGCCTCTCCCCGTTCCACCACCACCACCACTACTCCCGCCGCTGCGCCAGCCTTGGTTGAACATGCCGTTTTTTTTCAATAACCTTCGGTGGAGAGAACATTTTTCATTCGTCATGAGAATGACGACGACTTTTATAGACGAATTGGAAAACTGCAGTAATGCTATCCCTGGTTATTTGCAGTGGCCCCCACCGATGGCGGTAGCCCCCACCGCTGCCCCAGCCGTGGTTGTACATGCTGTTTATCAGTAACCTCTTTAATGGACGAAAAATGTTGTTTTCATCATAAGAATGACTACTACTGTTATAATGGAATTGGACGACTACAATCATACTATCACTGGTTATTTGCAGAGGCCCCCACCAATGGTGGAGCTGCCACCACTGCGCCAGCCTCGGTTGAACATGCCATTTTAAAGAAATACCAATCTGCAGTGAGAAAATTTGCATTCATCATGAAATGATTATTACTACATAGTATTATAGACAAATTGAAAAGCCAGAGAAATGCTATCACTGGTCATTTGCAGTGGCCCCCACCAATGGCAATAGGCTTCATGAAAACTACAGCATGGAGCCACTGTTCCGCAACAAAACCTCATACAAGGTTTACCGCTTACAGGGGACCATCGGAACAACGCTCACAAATGGCACCGGAACATTTTCCTGACTTTTTATGAATTTTACTCTTATCCCCACGACATGCATGAGAAAAAACTAGCCCCCAGTCGGAGTGATGTGAATTCAAAAATTAATTTCAAATGGCCTTAGAACTACATGCACATGTATGCAGGCTTCTTGCTCCGCAAGGCAGAGTGAAGAGCCACACAATTCCAGGCATGCCACGGCTTATCAGGTTGGGGTCAAAAACCACAATCTAGCAACAATGCCAGACTACATCATGCATGCATGCATCGCTCGATTGTGCAATGATGACGTAATTTTTGAGCTATTTTTAGGTGACAGTTCACAGATGACATTAATCTCTTTATCAGCTGAAAACTTCAATACAAATTGCTCTGATTTATCACATTTACAGGTAACATGCAACTCCGGATCTTAATTTAACTTTTTTCAGTTGAATCAAGGATATTTTTCAGTCAAATCTTGCACTGGAGGTGTTGAATTCAGTGGGTAGGCGAGTCCAATTCTGCCGATGCAAAGTTTAAGCCGAAAAAATAACGCTTTGCAGAAGTTTACTTTATATATGACAATGTTGCCACTTAAAATCTCCTTCAATTCACCATGCCAGGCAAATTTTATATTTTTAATTCTCCAAAATAGTGATGAGAACTAATTTTGCCACAGACTCCAACGGTAACAGCAACAGTGGCTCTGTTGGCTGCCGGCATTTCAAATCTCATTATTTTCCCAAAATCTTGCAGGAAAACAACATCATTGCATGACCTGATAAAAATGACATCATTGCCGCTAATTTACTAGATGTCAGATTCTGGTTACGTCCCCGAGCTGCGTATGACACTCTTTCCCTTGTCCAGGTTTGTTGGACTCCAATGAATGTTAGAGAATACACAGCAAATTTAATGGAACCCATTTTGCACTCGGCTAAAAGTTGTGTCGGAAATACAGGACAACATCATTATACCTTTGATCGTAAACGAAGAAAAGCAGTCCACGATGACGTTTACGTGCGTACGTACGTACGTAGCCTCAGAGGCCTAGTCCGAGTTCGGAAATCATGCACTGAAAAGTAACACCTACAGGGCTTCTAAATGAGGACCACCAACCTTTACACGAATGCACAAGTAACACTCAAATAATAAAGAAAAGAAATTAGCAAATTTTATTTTCAACAAATGGATGCAAATTAGTTTTAATATCACCTCGTGCGATCCAACAATTCTCAGGCCCACTCGACTCAAAAGAGAAGCCAAAGTAGATGAAATTATGACGTGCGCCCTCAAAAAGAAAAAAAATGGTTTACTCGAAAGACAGCGCCCTCCAGGGTTTTGAAAAGTTTGGTCAGCTGACTGGGTACATGTTCAGCGCGTGACATTTTATGATTTACATGATTTGTAACTTCGGCTGCATGCGCTAGAGTGGATGTTACTTGGCTTGGATCGTGGTCATCATGATTGTTTAATGACTTGTTTCTCAGTTTTCAAGCTAAAATATCTGTCGTCATGGGACGAACAAACCTAATTGTATCACTATCAGTACTGTCATTTGTGTTCCTGAACTTTAAAGGGGTAAGTTAGTCCATTGAGGAATAAATCACAGTCATTAGGCCTAGTCCGACGATTTTTGTTGATGCATGGTGATTTGTTTGGTGAGACCGTGGTGCAGTAGCCCCACAAATAGGGCTGTAGTGGTGCAGGTGATCAGTAGCTATTGATTCAATTGCATTAGCAGAATACCCTGCCACTCCCATTAAAACAAAAAGACCCCTGGAATGACTGGTTAATATTACTATTCCAAAACTGTGAGCCACAGCTCACGTTGTTCTGGGAGTAACAGGCTACATGGATACAAGGTGAGAAGAGTGTGACATTTCAGTTTGACCTCTCGTAAAAATGCCCAGTCTCTACCCGGCTAGTCTGCTACTAGTGCGAGGTTGATCCTGCAGGCATGGCAGGGTGACAGGTGTTCTGCAGTTGAGCTCGGTTTCTCTTCATGTTCTTACACTTGTCATCATGCCCGTGCTGTGCACGTGGTAAATGTGACGATGTGGTTGACTGGTCAGAACTATTTGAACAGGTTTTTACTCACTGTATGGTGAAAAATCATGAAAATTGGAAGTGCAAAAGTTCACAACCATGGCAACTCACAAACCATCATACTTGTACCATGATCAAAAACATGGAAATTGGGGTTCGGGGGTTTTGTCATGTGACCAACACGACCAAATAATTCCAGCAAATTTAACAAAAATCTGGAAAAGGATTCCGTGTATGGATGCTACTCATGTTTCCTTACAGTGACCCCCCCCAAAAATGAGGCCTGGGAGATTTTCATCATCAGATAGAAAAAGACATGTGCTTGGCTCACGACCTAATTGCAAACTTCCAGATGTTGTGAGCTTGTATTTTTGCTTTGTTTCATGCTCGTTAATAAACCTTCGACTTTGCTCATTAACTGTGTGTGCACTGCACTTCACTATACAGATGTCGGCTACACGCTCATTCACCATCGACTACGACCATAACACTTTTGTCAAGGATGGCCAACCCTTTCGCTACATTTCTGGCTCACTGCACTATGCTAGAGTCCATCACCTCTACTGGAAAGATCGGCTGGCCAAGATGTACATGGCAGGCTTGGATGCTGTCCAAACGTGAGCATATACCAACCCCTACACCCAATGACTGGGGCCCCGTAGTCCACTTTGTTATTTTTTACTTTGGTCGGTCTCTCTAGTTTGATAACCACCAAGTCAAAGATCGATCCACGTCAAGCACCAATCCATACCAGAATAAGGAATATTGCTGCTTTTGTTTTCAAAAATTGATATGCTGCTAATGAATCAGTTACAAAGCTCCTTTGGAAATGTGTAATTGTGGAAGAAGCGTTTTGATTGGCTCACTCTTGGAGTTACATAGCAACCATTCAAAAAAGGCAGTGCTTTTGTTCATTTCAATCTTCACCCCTTCATGTTCTCTGATAGTTGGGTCATTCCATGAGGTTGGGGCACAATTTGTGACGGTGTCCTTGTTAATAGGGTAACTTTTTATCACCTGTCATGATCTGTTGAGTAGGTCATTTACTCTGTAAAAGTAACACACACCTCTGTATTCAGCCTTGCAAGGTTTATAATTTGGAATCCACCTGCAGGGAAATAGCTGTTCATTTTTACGGAACCCGCGTAACAGTGGACACCGTCACGAATTGCGCCCCAGCCTCATGGAATGACCCAGTTAAGCGCACATTTCTGTAGATTGAATGTGTACTGACCATTGCCCGGAATCGCACTGTTTGCATGTGTACATAAACACTGGTAAATATATATTGTCATACGAGATCTGTTAAACAAACACTAGCGACAACAGATCGTGTTGACCTGTCCAATCTGTTTGTTCCCACACCAGATACGTCCCATGGAACCTCCACGAGCCCAAACACAGTACCTACAATTTCGAGGGGACTGCCGACCTGGAGACATTTCTCCGCATGGCTCAGGAGGCGGGGCTGTTGGTGATTCTGCGAGCAGGGCCCTACATCTGCGGCGAGTGGGACATGGTACGTATCGAGCGTAACAAACCCATTCTGTGCAGAAGTGCCCCCTCGTTGCTGACAAATGGAGAGGCTGGTGCGATAAATACCATTGACTCGGTGCACTGTGTCCCCGTGCACATGCTTCCAATTTACAGAGTTACCTAAATGCATTGAGTCATCGTAAACAACTTCAAGCTTGTGAATGCAGTTTGTCTGGCTACAGAGTTTGATATTTAATTTTAAAAATCCCTCCTCTTGTTCCTGTGCAGAACTCAGAAAGCAATTTGTGGTTTTCAAGACCTTAGAAAAGTTTAGCTGCCCACTTCAAGTAAGAACAGTGGAGGCAAGTCAACTTGAAGTTCGTGCAAATCCCAATACTTGAAAAATGGGTAATTCCAGCAATTAGGGGTCCATTCTTTTTTGTGTCCCTGTCACATCTGACATTTTGTAAGTTCAGAACACATTGTCTGATCACCAAGAGTGCTGAATTGATGCAAATTACCTGCCAAACAAATAGAAATAGTTTGAAATCAATTCCGGTGATATTTCCATGTCAAATAACAAAGGTCAGATGTAACAGGGACACAAAAATGTCACACGTTTGGACCCCAAATTTCTGGAATTACCCAAATAGGCTTCTTTTCAGATGTTGTTTGAGCCCTTTGGTCCGTTTAAAACCCGATGAAAGACTCTCGTCAAGTTAGAATTGAGCTATGAAAAGAATTGTTATGAAAACAATTTAGCAGTGGTTCACACACATGTTTGAATGTTTGTACACCTTTGCGTGTCAGAATCAAGGAAAACATATTCACGACAATTTGATTATTTTCTTTCTTAGGGTGGACTACCGTCCTGGCTGTTAAAAAATCCAAACATCAGGCTACGCACATCTGACCCAGGTAGGAATGAACAACTGACCACAGAATAAAAATATGCTTGTTAATTCGGGGCTCCATTAATTTTTCTTTCTTTTCCTGTTCACGACTCCAATAAATTTTTGCTTTGATATTTTTCACTCACCAGAATACTTGATGTACGTTGATTCCTGGATGGGGGTTTTACTACCCAAAGTCAAACCTTTCCTCTATGCCAACGGTGGACCCATTATAACAGTGCAGGTAGGCATGACAACCTTCTGGAAACTGTCAATAGAGAAAGCAAAATTTCAGCTTGATTTTGGAGGATTCGGGTGGACAAATTCTACTTCATTTTCTTCAATCTTGGCCTTAAATTTTTGGATCAGTTTTGTATTTTTGCATTTTTATCTTTGAGTCAAAAGAAAATATTGTCAAATTATTATTTTCCTTTAAGTTGAAATGATGTTTTAAAGGGGGCAAAGATTCCAAGCTACTAATGTGAAGATTCTTTTTCACTTCAAAAATTAAGTGGAACAAAATTGCAGGAAACTGTTGAGATTTTTAGACAAACATTTAAAAATAAACAAACAGTCACTTAGAGTAACTCGGAATTCACTCATTTATCATCTGCTAGATTGAGAATGAGTACGGCAGCTACCCAGCCTGCGACCACAAGTACATCCGCCACCTGCTCAAACTCTTCAAATCTCACCTCGGGGAGGATGTCGTGTACTTCTCAACTGATGGGCCGTCGAAAGGCATGCTTGAGTGTGGCACCCTACAGGGAATATATACAACTGTTGATTTCGGACCAGGTATGTGATAAATTTGTGAAAGCAAATTTAAAAACAACGTGGATCTTAAGAGAAACTTTATCTTCCGAAGTATTGTCTCCCGCATGTTAGGTGTTCCACATTAATAATCATGCATTCACAATGACATTAGCCTGCATCATCTTAATTTTGCTAGTCTCCAGCATATTGCCTCAACTTTCAAACATCAAGCCTTATGTAAAAAAATAGTTGTAGGGCTCTACTTTCCACAATCCTGCACAATCCGCCCAAATCTTGAAGCGGATTTCTTAGAATGGGGAAATTCAGAGCTGTAATAATCTGTTTCCCCCACTTTTACCTCATCAGGGGGCAATGCAAGCAGATACTTTGAAGTACAGCAGCTGTTTGAGCCTCAAGGTCCTCTGGTAAGTCGGGTGAATTTTAATCATCAAGCAGCGGCTCGATGGCGAAACCTTTTAACACTGGAAGAACCACCGGGCCCAATTTCACAGCACGGCTAAGCAAGCATCAGGCCGTGAATACTGCATTATTATGGAGAGTTTTAGCTACCAAAATTTTGTGGGGTCTAATCTTGCCTGATCTGTTTGGTCGGCATATTCAGGTGAACTCCGAGTACTACACCGGTTGGCTTGACCACTGGGGGCAACGCCACCAAAGCAAGGCACCTACTGAGATTGTCAATTACCTTGACGATATCCTGCAACTTGGAGCTAACGTCAACATGTAAGCTTCATCGTAACTCCCAGGATTTGGGGGGGTTTTGCTGTAAACCTTCCGAATTCAGTGGTCTGGGAAGGTTATACATTGGCTCTCGTTGTACCAAAGTTGCAAGAACCAATTGTTAAAAGAGAGTAAAGAAATGACGAAAAACACAAGAATTACGGAATACGGGTTCTCACAATTTGTTCTTTAAAGCAATATGTTATTTATAATAAGAGTTGACTGTAATTAGTATTCTGAGGACAGACATCAATGGCCATTCACCCAAGTTCCTGAATTCTTTCTAGCCCCTCCAATCCAGTGTGAAGCTGAAACGTCCGTCAACCCAAATGAATGAAACAAACAACTTTCAGGCAAAGTCATCTAATTCTCTCATTTGAAGTGAATCCTGAACAGCATTCAAGAAGTAGCCTTTAATCCCCTTCATGGCGGGATCATTTTGACCGCGACTGCTGGGCTGTGGTATGCCCTGAATGGAGGGCTTTGTCCAGCAGCAGGCCCCCATTAAACCAGCAGCTGCATGGTGAATAGACTGTATGTGTGGTATGCACTAATCCTCACACAACGGCGCGGTAGTAGCAGTCCTCCGTAGCGAAGGGGTTAACAAGTATTTCCCCAGAGTTCTGAAGTTGTGGAAATTGTCTGACCTTTTTTAACAGTTCATCTCGTTTTCTTTCAAAAAACTAACCCCCGGCTGCCAACCACTTTATCTAGCTCTCAGACTCGCGCTGTGCAGTAAAATGTTTATATTTAATAGAGAAATCTCAGAGAGCATTTTGTCAAACTCCTTCCATAAAGTCTAGCTTCACTAATGATAATTATGTATCCATCATCTTCCCATTCCTTCTTCAGGTACATGTTTGAAGGAGGGACCAACTTTGCTTTCTGGAACGGTGCCAACGGAAACGAGCTCGCTTACTCCCCACAACCGACGAGCTACGATTATGACGCTCCACTGACCGAAGCGGGCGACCCAAACGAAAAATACCTTGCCATCAGGACACTCATTGGAAAAGTAAGTAGTCACAACTTTGACACTGTAACTCGTAGACCCAACAAGTTCTCATTTATAAATACAGTCGCACTGGATTTAAAGTCGATTGTGGGTATCCTTTGACTTTCCTTGAGGTGTTTTAAGATCAGCCACACCCTTCCGGTAAATTTCTGGATAATTTGTTGGAAATTTGAGAGGAAGTGAAGAAGATGGAACACTCTCCATTACTTAATGTGGTGCTTGTTCCCTGTTGAAAGTTTTTTATTTTGCACGCAGTAGACAGTTGTAGAGGAAAGAGAATCGCTTTGGGACTTAGGGTTGGATTTGTGCTGCGCTAGCAAACCTCTCTGATGTGGTCACTCTGTTAATTTAGAAGTTAAAGACAATTCGCAGAGCTGGCAGAATCCCACAACTATCGAAATGGTCCATTTTTTTTCAGTACAAAAAACTTCCCCCTGGCAATATCCCACCTGCGACACCAAAGTACGCTTACGGCAAAACGGAAATGAGCCGCATTGCAACGCTCTACGAGGCGTTGAGCACAATATCCCCCTCTGATCCAATCAGCTCGGACTATCCAATCAGCATGGAGGATATACAACAGGTAGGTGATGATTACCCCCCCCCGTGATCCCCATTGTCTCTATACAAGTCCGCTCGCTCGTTTGCCTTCTGCCCCACGCCTTCCAAAGCCCCCTCCAACAAAAAAACCTACTTAGGTTACCAACTTGGCCCTTTGGTTGCACTGCGAGCTAGTGTGAGCTCCCAATCTCCATCAAAACATTCCATTTCCCCATCTAAAAAAAGTCACAAAAGCCTCCACCAAAGTCTCCTAAAATTCCAAACATTTCTCCAAAGATGCCTGAAAGCCACATCTTGAAAAATCGATAATTTCCAAACATTCTTGCAACTCCAAATTTCCAGTCAAGAAATGTAGCTGTGGGTGACAGTTTTAACAAATCAAGTTTGGCTTTCCAACTGCACTTCAGTCATTGAGATGTGTGGCACCCGTTTTGTAGCCTTTCCATTTTCTCAGCGGTTACAATGATGTTTCCTCGTTGGACATGCAGGATTTTGGGTTTGTATTGTATAGAACCCAACTTCAGGCCAACTACACACTTCCCACAGCCCTGACGATCACTGGCATTCGAGACCGTGGATACGTTCTGGTAGATAAGGTATGAACTCCAGCAACATGATTTAGAAGGAAAAACAGTCAGTTAAACTTTGAAGTGAAACACTAATCTTGGCTTAACAGGAAGTGAAGGGAACTGTCTTCATCACATTTTTGTTCTGAAATCTGTCTTAAAGTATGCACCTCATTGGTACTTTTTTGTAAAATCTGATCAAAGCCTTGTTTTGCTCTTTAGTTTGCATCCTATCTTCTTTTAAAAAGAACTACGAATTTTTTTCCAGTTTCATGCCTCTCGTTGTTGCATTGACGCTTTATGTAAATGCACAGAAGCCATTGATGCTTGTGGGGAGTCAGGTTGGCGTGGTGGTTCTTTCCTCGCCTTTCACCCCTGCGGTCCGGGTTCGAATCCCAGCCCGGTCCAGCCCTGACTCCATGGGTTTTACCCAGAATATTCCTCTGGGGTTTTCCTCCCACCTCTAAAACTGTCACTGCTTCTCATTATCTCCTCTCTGCAGGTTTCTTCAGGCTTGCGAGCTACTGTGCCTAGGACACTTTTGAAGAATCCTTGGTGTCATTACCAGAAATGATTAACCATTAATAATGATGCAGATGGCTCACGTGTGGTTTCTGTGCTAACTGATAACCATTTTTACTTGTGACCAGAATCCTATTGGAATTCTCAAGCGTAACACTCAAGTCACCCTCAACATGACTGGTTACATCAACTCAACACTGGATATTTTAGTGGAAAACATGGGTCGGCTGAACTACGGCTGCTGCATAAATGATTCCAAGGTAACTGACAGAACTTTGAGTCAGGGAGATATAAATCTCAGTACAGGTTTTTTGTATGGTGCCGACTGAACTTGGTAAGGACTGTCAGCTCAGTGTGTCTAGGAATTTAACTTCTAAGAAAACATTAAAAACTAACCCAAACACATGATTCCCTCTGAACTTGCAAGACAAGTTATTTTCCCATGTCTCCAAACTTGGAATGTTCCTGTTCATTTCAGAACATTTTTTTGGAACTGAACAGTTTTCTACACGGAACTGTCCACAGCAGGGCTGTTCCAATGTTTACTGGATTGGGACATATGGTTGTGCAGCATGGAAACACTTGTTGTTCCGAGTCAGTTCTCTATCATTGCTTAGAACCAGCCATCTTTGTGGCACTGTCTAAACAGGGCCCAGTTTCATGGCGCTGCTTACCACAAGCGGAAAATCGGCGCTTACCATAGCAGAAAACTTCTGTGCTTACAGCGAATGTATTTCACGGTTCAGCAAGGAATTTTGGCTTGCGTGCATGCATACATCCCGTAACTAAGGATTCCTTGCTTATAAGGTGAGCACAGAATTTCTCTGCTAGCGCGGTTAGCACAGAATGGAGATCGTAAGTGCGGAATTCTCCGGTAAGCAGGACCATGAAATTGGGCCCTCATGATAGAATGATGTCATCTGTAGAGTTTACCTCTGGACTCCCAAGTTGGTGATTGAATATGTAAGGTTGAAACCTATTTTAGTGCATTTAGCAAATATGGGCTTCCATTGCAGGTTTGTAACACCCCTTGATATTTTACTCACAGGGCATCATTAGCAATGTAACCCTGGGCGGTGTTGTCCTGAAATCCTGGCAGATCTACTCTTTAGACCTCAGTAAGGCACAGCCATCTTCCCTGAAGCTGGTCCCCGAGACCCGCCCAACCAGTCTGGAAGACCTGCCCTCTGGACCGTTGCAGATACCTTCCTTCTTCATCGGCACCCTTCCAAGCGGTCCGGCGGGTGGACCTCAAGACACCTTCTTAAAGCTGACGGGTTGGTCCAAGGTGAGTCCTCAAACCAAACCAAACCCTTCCCAGATCCTTCAGAATCCACTACGGAGGTTTTTAGAGGAATTTGCAGGATTTAGGAAGGTTGAGCTCAGCCACTGTAACTGGAACGGACCTGATGCCCTTGAAAGTTATTGATGGAGGGAAACTGTACCATGGGCCTGGCACGCAGTATTTGAATTGGAAGAATTCAGGACGATTTAACGATAATCTATAACAAATTTTCGACAGTACTCCATGACAAGTGGTTGGGCACAATCTTTTGCTTTCCAAAAGAGCCGTTCTGCGGGGAAGAATTCTTCTTAAACTTGCATCCAGTAAGAAAGGGACTTTTGACTCTAGCCACTCAGAAAAAGAAACAATAATCCACAGATCACTTACAGAGAACCAGGCAGAAGAAATAATATTCACTTTTTTTTATTTTTATGTACATTGGACTTACTGTCCAGATTAATTTTGTGACCGTTTTTCAGGGCCAGGCTTTCATCAACGGGTTCAACCTGGGTCGCTACTGGCCGGCCGAAGGCCCACAGATGACCCTCTATGTGCCGGCCGTCGTTCTCAATGCAACGACAAACACCCTGATACTCTTTGAGACAGAACACTCCCCCTGCAAAGCGTCCAATCCCTTTTCCGTATGCGTGGTGGAATTTGTCGATAAGCCTATTCTCAACTCGACCATTCCACCTGTGGAAGAAACGGAAGAGGTGGACGGCTCGCTGGATCTTGGTGTGCTTGAAGAATATGAATGGGAAAATATGGCCGTGTTAGCATCGAGTTCAGCCGAGAGGGATACCGATTATCAGGAGTACGAAGTTGACCGGATGGATGAGCCCCTGTATGTGGTAGATGGGATACCAGACCCCGTCGAAAGACCAGACTCTTCAGCAGCAGCAGCTCCGGATGTTGAGGATAATGCCAAAAGTGATGGGAAGGAGGACAGTTGCTGGCTTGACGTCGTGAAAACTGCCGCCCGGTTTGTGGCCGAGGTCTTGTGTTTCTTCACCAGTATACCTGTACTAGTCTGGGGGTATTTGTAGTCGGCGTTGGTGTAGTCTGCTTTGTCTAGGTCTCGGGCTTTGCCTAATTTCTCCCCTCTACTCACAACTTAAGAGTCTTGAACTCATTAAGAAGTCAAATATTGCCATCGAAACATAGAAATACATGCCGCAGAGCCACATGTTGAAGTATTGCTCTTTAATTTGAACACTTCAGGCCTACGATCAGGGATCGGTTTAAGAGACCGTGCCCGAGACGGAGACAGAGCCAACTGTGGCAATTCTGCCTGTATCTCCTCTGTACTTTTTCATGCGTATGTATTTTTGTTCTTCTTTGGTCAACAATTCACACTCGGACAATGTTTCATGTATGCTATTATCACAATTCTCAGAAGTAAAGCAGAAAACGTTATTCGACTATTAAGTACTTTCAAAGGAAAATCAATTGAGAAGCAGCGAATAAATATGTAAATCAGCGCATGACATCTGGGCCCAATTTCATGGCACAACTTACCGCAGAATTCCGCGCTTACGATTTTCATTCTACGCTAATCGTGCTAGCGGAAAAATTCTACGCTAACCTTTTACGCACAGAATTCTTAGTTACAGGATGTACGCATGCGCACAAGCCAAAATTCCTTGCTAACATGTGAAATACGTTCGCCGTAAGCACAGAATTGTCTGCTTTGGTAAGTGCTGATTTTTCGCCTGTGGTAAGCAGCACCTTGAAGTTGGGCCCTGGTAACATGTTTTTCGCCAAAGAGATGCTGTAAAAGTTGGTTTGTTTGCCTGCTTAAAAGAAAACCGGAAGTGAACATGTCTAGTGCCCAGTAGTCAACCAGGTATAGCTTAACCCAGGTGTCATGGTGCCTTTTGGACGCCCTGTCCTGAATCTGGACACTTAATGTCATTGGAGGAGAAACAAAAATGGACATTTGGTTTTTAATTTGGTTTAAACAAATATGGAGAAGTTCTTGGCCGATCCTTGCTTTCATTTCCAATTTTGCAGTTTATAGATAAACGCACGAACCCTGAAAGTAAAGGAATACAATATGGCTGCTTCTTGCTGAATCAAAATTGACACACGTGGATTCAATGTAGGTGTACCCACGTTGTGATTCCTGAACAGAAAGGCTGAAAAGTGAAACATGTTCTGTGACAAGGAAACCATTGTTCATTTGTGTTTTCACAACAGTTTCTATCGTTCATGGATCTTCTGTACTTTGACAAATGTTAGATAAGGCTTACATTTATGTGATTGCTTTTACTTTAATGTGCAGCTTTTTAGAACTATTAGTATATATTTTATTCAGAAGAAAATCCTGAGAGACATTTTCTATTATGGGGTGATTGTTTTTTTATATATTGTAAACAATTCAAAATCACTGATAAGTATTGGAATATGTCTTGTGAATCAGTACTGATTGTTCCATATTTATGTCATCGTTTTCTGATGTGAATGTAATTTTAATATTTTTTATATAATTGTATGTAATGCTTTACTAAATTCTTCAGAATAAACTGAAAATTATAAGTATGACCGAGTGCATCTTGTTACAATGCATTTGAACTTTTGAATAATTGTGCATTCCGTTTGGAATTCTGTTTGCACAAACTCGTCTATTTTATTGGAAGTTGGAATAATTGGGAATTCGTTACTTTTTAACTGATGAAAGGTAAAGCTGTCAAATTTGTAAAGAAAATAAGATTTGGGTAATAAAAAAAAAGAAATGAAGATGGTTTCTGTGAACTCGCTCGCTCGTCCGTCATCCCCCCCATAAACAGTGGCGTAACTATAGGGGGCGTAACCAACGGGCCGCGTGCCCCATACTTGCGACTGCCAATAAATGTCCGTATTTGGTTTTTTTTTTTTTTTTTTTTTTTTTTGCTGTAGGTTTCCCGGCCATTTTGGGAATGATGTGTAAATGAATTTGTAATGGCAGCATTCGTTTTCGAGCGAAATTGAATGAACATTCAGATCCCCGTTTCGATGAAATTAAATGAAACATTTTCGATTAAATGAAACGTAATGCACATTCATTTATTTCAAGGATGCAAAACGAAGTCTTGCGAAAATGAAACCAGGTCACTTGAGTCGTTTTCAAAATCCACGCCAAATTGAATTTTTAGTTGACGGCTTAAACAGCACATTAATTTTTCAAAATTGGTTGGGAGAACCTATATTCGGCTTCGATTTTTTGTCCACTGACTTTAATTGACCTTATTTCTATAATCTGTCCAGATTTTCACGGGTTCACGATGGTAACATCTATGCCCAGATTAACCTTTATTTTCTTACCCTTGTTTAAAAATGAGAACTTGAACTTCGTCCACACATGGTTGTGTCAACGTCGCTGACCCGTAGTTCGTTCAGTCGGCTGTAAAGTACATGTTGATGTACAATGTACATGTACATGTACGCCACGTGCACACTGGACTCGGCCGGCCCGACGCACGGCGGGTGCTGGTGTCGGGATAAAAACGACTGACGCCAAATGAGTACAGTGGGACGAAAAGTGCTCTACCTTGCGTGTGACTAACTATGCGTACATGCATGTACCTGCAGAGGGGAACGGTAGCCCTCTATTCCTTGCTCTGTGCTGTAAACATGCGCACACTTTTCCTATCATTACACGCAGCTTTATGATCTCGTTAACCTGTCGCTCGGCCGGGTGAAAGGTCTGTACTTCTTCGATTTCGCTCACTAGTGTCGCATACCGACCATGGCGTCGACGAGACTGAGAAGCCTGTCCCACCATCCAGACGACTACGCCAAGTCTTTCAGTGCCTACATGGCCGTCTCTGATAAATTCGACAGTTATGCGACCTGGGGAGATAACGTGTTCGGGAAGGCAGTCACCTCCAAAATCACGGTCATGCTGGGTGAGCAAGAAGAGTTACGAATCCTGGGCATTGGAAGCGGATCGGGTAGGTACGATGATATGCGATAAGTATACGTTTTAGTCAGCAGTTGCTAAACTACGAGCAAGTACCCCCACTCCTTAGTGCAAAGATCCACCCCCCGGCGTAACTGCAGATGCCTTTCCCCGGGTGCACACCCCCCCTTGAAATCTGTGAATAATCTCCGTTGAAATGCATCTGCAGCGTGTTTTCTTGTGGTGCCCCCTTGAAAAGAAATTGTCCATCCCCGGGTGCCCCCATACACTTGTTCTAATATGCTACCGCGCCCCTCCCCTCCATTTCAAACTTTGAAACGCACATAACCTACTTGTGCACCCCCTGATGCCCCGCCTAGAAATTCCAACCAAGTAAGGCCACTCTCAAGTATCAGTATAATTATTCACCACCTGATTTTCAGCACACAAAACTGGGACTAACAAAAAATCGAATTCAATTCCTTCATGTCATTATAAGATACACGAAGTGCAACATTTAAGTATTTCAAACTCTTTGCTCTCAGGTGAGTTGGACGTGAAGATGCTCACCAAACTACTGCTTCGCTTTCCACTCATCAACAACCGTGTAGTTGAGCCCGCAGGGTTCATGATTGCCAAATACAAGGCTCTGGTGGAAAGCAAGGCTCACGAGCTACAAGGTGTTCGATGTGACTGGCGACAGCAGACGATGCAACAGTACGCCAAGGAGGCGGGAGATTCGACCAAGTTCCATTTCATCCACGCGTGCCAGTCTTGTACTACGTGGAAGATTTGGAAAGCTCGCTGATGTTCCTGTTCGACTGTTTGGATCCTGGCGGAGTCCTCCTAATGACCACCCTGACAGGTATTTTCATGCACTTTGAGATCAATAAAGCAGTTTTTGGAGAAGATAAATGTGAGTTTCTTTATTTTCCTGGGGCGCAAGTTTATTTCAGAATGGCAAGAAAGCTTCAGAAGCATAAGTGAACGACGTGGACTTAACACAGCCCAAGGTAGTTTTTGTTCCACTGGCAGTATGCTGCATTTGAGACTATTTCTCGATTCCTACGTAGTTGACGGAGCCAGTTCGAGGAATCGGGGTCTGACGTGCAAAATCTGTCCTATCGATCTTGGAAACTTATTTTTTACTGTTAATACAATACTTCGTTAACGTTGTTGTCATGAAAGAAAATGTCAAATATTATACCTAATTGTCTGTGTAGATAGTTGTGGCGTGTTGCGGTTGTGGAATCACTTTCCACGTTTCCAGGACAACCTGCTCAAATTGATCAGCACGACCCACCTGCTCGAATACCTGGACGGTCGAGGCATCGCGTACACGGAGCACTGCCAGCCGTCGCGAGTCGACGTCACCGAGTGCTTCGACGAAACGTCGGAGAAGGGCGGCCGTGTGCTGGACGCTCTCCTTCACATCCTGAGGTTCAGAGAGACGGCCTCGTTTGAGCTGCAGGCGGAGGTCATGAATTGTCTGGCCAGTTGCTCCGAGAAGAGCGGGAGCCGGGTCTTCTTAACCAATGACTGGGATGCAGTCGTTGCGAGCAAGCCAGCCGAGTAGCCTTGTATAATGTAATGGCATTGTCACGTTCCGTTCATCCCCAATTTCATTAGATACATTTGGAAACAATAACCCAAAGAATGCCAAACAAGGCTTATTATTTTCTCGAAGGGAATAAAATCAAATAGAGAGAATTTATGGGAACCTTAAAATAATTATTTACATGGTGGTGCGAGTTGTGTGTTACAATGTTGATGATGTTTCTGTTTACATGCATTTGCATTATTTCAAAATTCATTTTAATTTTCTGATTTTGGAAACTCGAAGCTCCCCTTATAAGCTGCATACGGACTGACAGTTACCAACAGTATTTGTGTGGATGTATATAGACCCACCCAACTTCAAAAAGACCCGTCCACAATGTTCCAGTCAGGGGCGATTGAAAGCGCCTTGCGTATACGTTCGGGTGCGTTTACACGGGGTGTGTTTCACTTTCACGGACACAAAAAATTGCCTCCATTAAAGCCTGGTTGCCATACGGTCGTTTGTTACTTAGACGGTCTGTAAGAGGTCCAACGCAGACGTCAAATGGAACAAAATGGCGTCTGAAACTCGGAAAATGTCCCTTCAAAATGCTTTCGTTAGGTGGAAATGTCACCTCTTGAAGCCAAACTGATTCTCAAGTTTGATGTAATTTGTGAATGGTCAGCTATTTTGTTTACGATTGGGGCTGCACACAATGAGTGGTACAAAGCGAGAGAAACATCGTTGTACGCCCGTCATGCCAGTGTGCGTGTTCGTATAGGCCTACTCAGCGACTTGACGCAGACAGTCGGGCTCAACTTTGCCGATCCGTCTGGGCCCATTTGCGTTATCGGCGATACCTCTGTTTGGCATGTTTCCATTTATCTGCGTTGCAGTTTGCGTCTTGATTGCGCTGCGCTCTGCGTTTCCTCACGTCGATATGGAACCCAGGCTTTATATAACACACGTGTGCGTTGCGTTCGGCCGTCAAAATCGCCCCAGGAGCGATTTGACAGATACGCAACGCTTGGCGCAAGTGTTGACGCGCATTATGAAAAAGCGCCTTAAGAGTGCGTAGGCCTACACAATGGGCGCTTTCGATTAGCTTACACGTGCAAGTTAAACTTACACGAGAGCATTCGTTTAGCCATCACGTGATCCTCGTGCCTGCCCTGGTGTCAGCCACCACTACCCTGGCTAGCGAGCAGCTCCTGGAGGCTGCCCGAGTGTAATGACGTCACGGATAGACTGTTCGAGCATAGACATGATGGAACTGGCGGGGACTTGACCTTCTTCCCAGAATGCCTTAGCAAATACGCTGCAACGTTCGATTAGCCTCATTTTGAGGCTTCCCTTGCGTGTAACACTGGTGTATTCAGGGAAATTAATCGAACGCACCCTATGTATACAACGAAGGCAGTTGCGGGATTTGTTTCTGAGGGCACCCAGGGGACGGATGCACCATTGTTTTTTTTTTCAAGGGTTGCACTGGAAACAAATCGTGTTCCGTCCACTGCATCACTAAAACATGAGCAATTGGTATTAGCAGCGCTGTATTGATTGGTGACTGATTATCCCGCTTCACAGGTGGCAAGTTATTCTTTTTTTTTCTTTCGAGATCAAATGGGTTCCGATGTACCCCACACTGCCCTACTGTTGTGACATCATATAGTCTGACATGATTTGAGAATGTGTAATTCAGGTTGACAGTCTGCGTTTCTGTATTCATGCTTCACTAACTCACTATTATTGTGTTTAATCATGGTAAGGGCATAGACATTCTGGCGAGTTTTAATCGTGTGAGTGTTGGTTTCACGCTGACGGGAGCTAAGATAATCCTACAGCCTCTCTGATCGCTAGCTCAACGACATGTACTCCAGTAGCACTGCACGTCGTCACTTTGGGGTTGATCACTTCGATGCAAACCTCTCAAGAAAGTCGCATGAGTTATGCGTACTTAATTGCCACGTTGGTAATAAAAACATGTTTACCCTTCGGGTTCAAGGCCGAGCAGTACTCTGCCAAGTTGACAATGAGCCAGTGTTAATTCAGTGGCAAGTACATGTACATGTACACACAGAACGCAACACGCTTGCTTTGTGAGACCACTTACAACTTGAACGCTTGGTTTCTCTTTGAAGAAGTCGATTTTCATGGCTCGCGATTAAAAGAAGAATAATACCCTAGCTGTCTGGATGTAAGGTTCTGGGTATTCAGTGTACACAAATAAAGACACACAATGTATCTATATCATGAAGAGTGCCCCTCGTGTGATATGCATGGTGTCAGTACCCCTTTAAATTTCCATGGCCAGACAAATGTTTCGATTTACGTGAACCCTCACCTCACACTGCCCTACTTTAGGCCTATGCTTGGGTAACGTCCGACGTGAACTTAGTACGCGCACTTGACCTCGAGTGTGCATGGTCTGCGTATACTAGAGACTATAATGCCGTCACCTCCAGGGACCAAGGGGCAACATTTTCCGCTGACTCACTTTGTTGTGTAGGTCTGTAATAGGCCCATACATAATTCCATCGAGCATTGTTATTGGGGCAGCGGCTTCACACGGACGGGAACCTACAGCCAGGCTCCGATCGCCAGCTCGCGGCGCTCACGGCGGTGGACGTGGCAACTCGAAAGCAGTCATGGCGACGTCGACGTTGAAAAGCGTGTTCCACGATCCAGACTACTACACCAAGGCCTTCAAATCGTATTCGGCAGTCTCTGATAAGACGGGCGTGTTTTCGCGCTGGGGGGATGTGTTCGAAGAAGCCGTGGCCCCCCAAATCAATGCAAAGCTGAGCAAGCATGAAGAGTTGAGAGTGCTGGGAATCGGTAGTGGAACGGGTACGTAGCCAGGCTACGCTAGATGCAACTACTGTGTAAACCTGCGGTGTTAATTTAACACCCTGGGTGTTATCGGAGGACTACACTAAAGTATTAGGTCAACACCATTTTAACACAAATACATATCTGTTTTGCAGGTATCTCGTATATCGGGCAAGTTGATGTTAAATTAAAGTGTCAGTGTTTTACCGCTGCGTATTATAGTAACAAGCAGTCTGCAATTTTATAAACGTGCGTCGACTCAGAGAAAGGGAATTCGATCTGATAGTTCCAGGCGAAAATCCGAATCCTAAACCACTTCGGTTCAGTCCGATCGGACGTCCTACGTGGCTCAATCCGACTCTGATCTGAAACCAACAAAAATTGCTCTATTAAAGGCTTAAAAATGTATTGTCGACGGCGTTTAGGCCGTGAATCAATACTTCATCACGTTTACTTTTTGTGTTATTTGTAAACTTAGGGTTTCTTGGGTAAAATGTGTAATACAGGCAAATCTTCCATATGAATTTGCAAAGGGTTAATTTTTAACCTGCAATAATTATTTGTTTGGACACGAGAGTTTGCTACGTGTTGGCCAATCACAACGGGCGAAATTTGTCGACCATTTTCCAAACGCGCGTTTGGTCGACAGATTTCGCGCATTGTGATTGGCCAACGCGTTGCCGCTCTTGGAGGCGCACTATTGTGAAACGCCCGTGTTGATATGTTCTTACAGGCGAGTTGGATTTGCAGATGCTGACAAAACTGCTGCCGCGCTTCCCGCTCATCCACAACCGTGTAGTTGAGCCCGCAGAGGACGCCATGGACAAATACCAGGCTCTGGTCCAAAGCAGGGCTCAGGAACTGCAAGGTGTTCGATGGGATTGGCGACAACAGACGATCGACCAGTACACGGAGGAGGCGCGCGGGGGTGACTCGACGAAGTTCCATTTCGTCCACGCGTGCCAATGTCTTTACTACGCGGCAGATCTGGAAAGCTCGTTGACGTATCTGTATAACTGTGTGGAACCGGGTGGGGTAATGGTGGTGTCTCTCATAACAGGTAGTCTCGTACGCTGTAGAAAAAGAAACTTGAAAATGTTATTCAATAATTTCAGTTCATTTTATTTGATTTCTTTTTTTAGTTGATTAATTCGGGTTTGCAGCTCGTTGGCCGATCACAACGCGCGAAATCTGTCTGGCCCTTTCCAAACGCGCATTGGGTCGACAGATGTCGGGCACTGTGATTGGCCAACGCGTTGCAAACTCTTGGAGGCGCACTATCGTGAAATGCCTGTATTAAACATCTCATTACGGACAAGTCCTATGGAAACTTGAGGAAAGAATGACAAATCTTATGTTTTGTGCCATAGAAACCTCCGGTATGTACAGGTTATGGCATCACTTTCCAAGTTTCCAAGACGCACTGATGAAATACGTCAGCTCCTCCGACATACGGGGATATCTAACCCGTCGGGGCATCCCGTACACGGAGCACCATCAGTCCTCGCGAGTCGACGTCACCGATTGCTTCGACGAGGCTTCAGAGGCCGGCGGTCACGTGCTGGACATCATGACCCACGTCGTGAAGCTCAGGGAGACGGCATCGGCAGAGCTGCTGGCGGAGGTCATGCAATCCATGGCTGGCTGCTCCGAGAAGAGCGGGAACCGGTTCTTCATAACAAATAACTGGGATGCTGCCGTTGTGAACAAGCCAGTCGAGTAAATCACACAAGGCGCCCACCTTCCTGGAAAAATTCCTGGATCCACCCGTGCACATGATTGCATTGTCACGCTCAGTCCATCCAAACATGAGCTGAGAAAATAAGGAACACTGCACCGCAGCGAGATAGTAACTCGAATTTTTTTTTGCAAGTGGCCCTTGTACGCTTCCGTAGAGTTATTATATGAAGTTTTGAACATGAACATTCATTTACACTGGCTTTCTATACAGTGGTGTTTTATACTTTTATTGAGGGGCCTGAAAACGTATTCTTGGAAACGTATGGACGGCCACAGAGTTTATTTCAGAGCTTAGTTTGTTAGAACTTTCTTTGTGTTTCATAGTTGCTCGTTTAAAAACATAACATAGATGATTATCTTCAATCCATACTTGTAAACTAACACATTCATATTCAGTAGGCCCATAATTTTTCGGATTTTTAAATAAACTCGGGGTTAATTTGGCCCCATGATGTGCTTGTGTCCGGCAGAACTCGCTATTATGCCCAATATTCTGAAAAATATATAAAAAAATAAAGACAGTGTATTCGCTAGTTCTTGATATATTCTGTTGTACTGTGAAAATCCATTTTACTTCAAAAAGAGCAGACGACTCGCATACCCCACACGTAAATAAAAACGTGTTTTAAGGGGCAGTAGCGTTACTGCTGTTCGCTCCTAATTCTTGAGTTTCAGACTGAGTGCAGATTGAGTTCATATTATTTAGTGATCGGAAACTCAATGATTGAGTCTGCGATTACTGAACTAGGATTTCGGAATAATCCGAGTTCATTTTGTTGATAGAGGGCGCTCTACAAGGGCCTGTTTTTCATTCATACCATCTGTGGTGGGTTTTTCCACGTGGGACTTTCCCGACGCTGTCATCACATGTTGATTTCATCACCGTGCTTACTTCACTAGTTACGGTCTGCACTTTCCCCAATTCACTCAGTACTACGCTGACTGACACAGAATCAAAACAAGCATTTTTTGAACAGTCCTGAGCCGTGACTCTGACCACGCAATGCAAATGGCAGACAAACATGTAGCGAGCGCAGGTGGAGGTGAGTATCAAAAATAGGTTTGTACAGGTTTTTGAGTGTGTCTGTAGCTGCCTTCCTCCTCCGTTGTCTGTCAACATGTCTGAGACTCAAGCTCCGTGTGGCTTTCAGCTGTGCTGATCCGGCAGTAGAAAGAAGGCCAGAACCAAAATTGTGATTGGTCCTCTTGGGAGCATTTTGTCGGACCAATATCATGGAATATTATATTCCCTTCCTGTCATCAAGGTACACTCGCATTCCAACCCGGCGACGGATGCTCTTTACACGTTCGCTCCATGACAACTTTCATGGCTCAGTGTGAGTGCACCGTTCCGTGTTCGCTAAGCGAATACATGTCATGTACAAATGCTCAAAATCAACGGAGCACTCACACTTAGCCATGAAACAGTTGTGCAACAATCTTGAATTGCAGTTGCATTGGTAACTTCATGTCCCAGATATGCCAGAAGTACTGGATTTTCCACTGTTCGTGTTCATGGAAGTTCCACACCCGTCATTTGCAAGTCATTATCAGAGTTTCGTTTTTTTTTTGCAGAAAGACTTCAGACTCTGAAAGTTTTTATCACTTTACAGTGTAAAAAAAGTGGCATGAGAAGAATTGTCAAACATCAGAATTACCTACTTCATCAAGGGTTTGGAATAAGCCTTTATCACAAATAGGGTAGTGCGGGAATTTTTGACCAGCAGGAGAATTCGACCAACTTCATTAAGAAAACTACACAGCTGGTCAAATTTCATGCTTTTCCTATGTGGTCCAGTACCCCCACCTTTAATTTATCTTACTGCATGAGTGATTTTGTATAATGGCACCGTTGGTAGAAAAGCATTGCGGGAAGGCAATGGGTTCAATGTTTTCTCCTTTTTCCTTCCCACAATGCCTTTCTACCATTGTGCAAAATCACCCATGTAGTATTTGTGATAAGGCTAATGCTGGGTCACTTTTGGAAAGATCTTCCTCGATGCAACTCTTATCTCAGGTGACCAACATTGGGGGTCAGAGGTCACCAAGTGGTGGTTATTTTGTTTGAAATTACAAAATGCTTCTTCTCGGGCACCGCTGATCAGATAGATTGCAATTTGGAAGATCAGACCTTGTCTTGTGTTCACACAATTTGGCCAATGACTACCAGTTGGTGTCTTTTTACCCAAAACATGCGTCGTTGTCAACATTCTTCAGCTGCAATAAACTATCTTTGATTGTGTTTCTTTGAATTTTGCCCTGTGCAGAGTTTTTGTAAACAGTGTACATACAAGTGGTCATTTCACGAAAATTTACAAAGTGCAACGTGCAGTTGCATCATCCCAATAATGTCAGCCACGCCTACGCAATCGTGCCCTTGTTGAAATGAAATCTTCTCAGAGATAATTGTTTGTACGTATTGATTAAGGTCAAAGGTCACCCTGTGGTCAGCAGTGGTTGTTTTGGGAAAATGTTTAAGTTGTTTGCGTGCTTTTTTATAACGGATTTCAACCTCTCTTTGCTAAGTACAGCAATCCGGAAGCCATCGATATAAGTTGTAAGGTTGTTGTCAAAGTGTTGACAGCAGTTTTGTTTTACCAAAAAGTTGCTATCTTTGATGGCATTCTTTTTTATTTCATTGTAATCGATTTCAGGCACACTACAGCTGTTATGAGATCATTGTGCTCTTGCGTTTTTGCTGTTTTTCCTTTCTCTGTTTTTTTTGGCGACCTTCAGCTAAAGGTGAAAAGCTGAACTTGTGGTCAGATGAGATATCCCCCTTTGCCGCAGTAAACTTGTCATTAATTGTCATCAAGAGCCAGCCAGTGTTTTGTGCTTTCATACACGTATACCCAGTATTCGCTTGGATGCTAAGAGAAAGAGGAAGCCAACCAAATAGGAAGAATTTGTATTTGCTAACTGATACCAAAAAGAAGGAGGGACCCATGCCTTTCGTTAAATGTGATATCTGTTTACTCAGTGTATTAGCAGTGCTTACATAATAGTACTTATTAGGGAGTATTTGGCCTGCACAGATGTGTATCAGCGACGACCCAAACAGATATACTCATCAGCTTTAATTTTTTTTTATCCTAGCCTTGTGGAGGTACTGAAAATATTGATTGTTATACGATTCTGAGCAAGCACTTCATACCAGGCTAATTAGAAAGAGATAATTCAATCTTTCAAAATTCTGTTATGGTTCCGCTAAGTGACAAGAAAAACTCTCGCCATTGGGAGATTTGCGAATTTCCCATGAGTATTAGGTTTGAAGTTACTGAAGCTAGTGTGTGGTAGTCTCATGTTTCCTACTGTACCTCCATGCTTGGACAGATTTTTGCGGCTGTAACAGGCTTGCGTTTAGAATGGCCGGTCGCATGTTGTGTTGACAGAATATTTTAATTTGCTTTTTGCTCTCTATTCAGGTCGCAGGATTCAGAACATGTATGCTTAGAAGGGAAACATCAGACTGGCAGAGGGCCGGGGAGGCTGCCCTTACCATCCGGGAGCACTCCCTGGCCAAGTGGGCTCCTGCCAAGAACCGGGCGCTCAGGCTGAGGAGGACGGCCTCGCATGTACAGACGACCAGCAGGGCTTGTGGTGAGATGTTGTCACAGGGACGAGAGTCGTCCCGGGGTGTGCTAGAGGACGCCGAGTGCAGGTGTGTAGAGGGCATTCTCACTGACTTATGTTCCCTGATTCATGTGTTTGTCTGCCATGTTGGTGGGCAAAGATCACCCATGGAAGAAGTGTGGCTCATTGTAAAGCTTTGACAAATTGACGAAAATGTAAAGTCAGCACACCATGCACAATATATAAACGACAATTGTACATGGCATGAGTTGTGACCATTTTTTTGTTTGACGAAGAATTCAGATTTATTTAACATGAAAATAAGCTTCACTGTTTGGTTGAACATAACGTGTAACATGCTGTCTCTAACCAATGCTTGCCTCATTGCAACGTTGACCAGTCTCGGGGAAAACCATGTGGTACTCTGACATCTTTTCACTCAACCTTAGGAATCGCAACAGTATCTGCTTTGAGCAGGAACAAAAGAAGGCGTGTTTTTAAATGAACTGAACAGTCCTTTGGTACGAACTCACCACATCGCCGCAAGTTTTTTGCGCATTTGGCATGGGGCACACTGCGTACGCACAACAAATTTATGCTGGAACGTAAAGGTCTTCGCGTGCACGCCGAACAAGTGCAAGAACGCGGTGGCAAAACTTCTAAGTACCAGTCTGTCTTTCTTTCACCGGTGAGGGTGCACTTCACCTCAGGGCAGGCGCTGCACTCCATGGATATGTTCTTTGCCCTTATTTCACAGTGCACAATATCAATTTGGATGCAGTCTGTGCGAATTCCGTCCTGCCGCTGTAAGAAGAACTCTCTGACTCAAGATCCTAACCTTTGTTTTCAGCTCTGCCCGGTGCGGCGACCGTCCGATACAGCTGTTTGTCAACAGTTCTTTGAGAATGCCACTCTGCCTGCAGCTGCCACCATCCACCTCAGTCTCTGCCTTGAAGGGATTACTGGAAGACAAACTCGGGATTGAAACAGAAAAGCAGCATCTCTATACCGGGATGCAGGCTGAGGTAAAGACACAAGTTATGCGTTAATGTGTCGTCAGAGGGCAAGAGCTTTGTATCACCAGGAGTGGCCCGAGTAAACCTTTCGTACATTCGTTGTAATTAAATTAAAATAACAAAAACAGTCTCTGAGATGCCATGGAGACGCCGGAAACATATACCCTCTATTGTAGTTGACTCCTTTTACGTTTCAGTAAAATCTCTACCAGAAGTGAAAGCAGTCAACAATTTGTTGCCCTGTTTTTAATGTTGTGATGAGAAGAACAGTTCATCCCATTTCGTTTCAAAATGACATCGTCTGTATGTTGTAGAAAATAGGTACACTGTACGTGTATATGGCAATTACCTTATATCTGAAATGGATTTAAAAGCTGTGTCCTCCGCGAAATGAATTGTTTGTGAAATTGAGGGACACATCAAGATGACTCATTGTTTTTTTTCACTCAGGAGTTACTTGTTTGAAGTTGAAATTTCTCCACATAAACCATGCACTCTTCATATTAAGAATAAACAATTGTTTTAAGATCTCCACTTTTCTGAATAAACGCTTCAGTTCAGAAAAGGAGCTTTCTGAATCAGATGAAGGAACCCCAAGACATTTGAAAATTTGAATTTCTTTTGGCAGCTTCGTGAACCGCTGTCCTTGGAGGATCATGGCATCAAGCAAGATACCAACTTGGAGTTGCGTCTGGTGTCTGGACTAATGGGAGGAACTCGGAAGAAAAAATCAGCAGGTTAATTAATTCTGCCTATAATAACTGCAGCTCTGTCTGCAGTATTTTAAAATAATCATAATGCGGCAGTTAAGAGCGTCCCAAACGCCCTGTCAAGTTCCCTAAACCTCAAACGGGGCAGTGGTTTCTGAGGTTTTATTTTAACTCGGTAAACCTCACCAAATTTTTGACTGAAACTTCCCATCCTTTCTGATAACCTCTGCTGAAATAGCAGAAAAATGTGGCTCCTCAGCGGGGATGAATTGTTGTCTTTGTCATTCAGAGACGAGGAAAAAATCTGGCAAGAAGCAGCAACTGAAAGAGGAACCAGAATCTGAGAAAGTTTCCACTGACGAGAGCCACGAGAGGAAACCCGAAGAATCACTGCCATCGGAGAGAGAACCAAACTTTCCTTCCACAGCAGGTACTGTTGCAAGTAAGCTTGAACGGTATCCCTACTTAAAAGTGTAAACTTTTCCCGGTGTTAACCTGCACGCCACGGTAAATGTCTGGTCCTACTGGCTTCCCTTGTGGCACGGTGCTCGAGAATGTGGACACACCTCGTTTGAAATCCCGGACAAGATGTCTATCACCTTCTCTCTATCCTGGAGTTTAGAAATCAAGCATAGATTGTGCACATAATAGACATCTGGGGTGCAGTATAGCTGCTTTAACATGACGAATGTTTAACACCAGTCACAGTAGATTTCCTGTCACTCCACCTGAGCTGGTCTACCCAGTCAAGTTGACGTCTGAGTGCTTCTACAATTAACTGTTCCATTTTTACAGGGAGGAGAAGGAGGCTCAAGAAAGCAAGCAAGACACCCCAGTCTCTGGAAGGAGCAGCTGCCTTGCCTGATGGCAAACTTGGAGAGGACCCCGCCGAGGGGGACAGTCATCAACCCAGTGCCTGCTCCGCAGACAGTGCTGGGGGTCGCAGACAACCAGACTCAGGTACTTGAATTTCTCCTGCCCTGCTGAATTAAGACTAAGTCAAAGAAACCACATTTTTACAGGTGCCCTGAGACCCCTGTTTTAAACCAGGCCATACGTGTTCTGTGAAACAAGGATTAGAAAGTTACTTTTTCTTAAAATGTAGCCAAGACCACGCGCACGAATATATAGTCTGAAGTCTGCAGAAAATCTCAGATACATCCTGCCCTAAAGGTGAAATTCTGTACATGTAGATTAAACTATTTAAAAAATATTCAGTCTCAGATTTTGATACTATTTGGAGTTAGAAAGGGGATGCAAGTCCCCAGTTCTTATGACTTGGAGATGCGTCTTTCATGCCATCTATAAAAATGAAATTTGCTCTAAATGCAGGGAGAAGGAAGAAGAGAAGATCCAGGAAGAAGTCGTGGGCACAGATCCATCCCATCCCTGAAAATGCTCCTGACAGGCTAGAACATGAGGAAAAAAGCAGCACCAACATCGCCAGTGCAGTAGCAAGGGATGGCATGACCACAGAATCAACAAAATCCTGTACCAGCTCTGCGGCGAGCACTGATGCTGCCATGGAACCAGAGAAGTCCCGCTCGGTGACAGGAGTAAGCGCTGGTGCCACCACAGAGCCACAGAAGTCCCACGTCACCTTGGCAGCGAGCGCCGACGCAACCATGGAACCCAAGGAGTTCCAAGTCATGACCGCAGCGAGTGCTGATGCGACTACAGACCCACAAAGATCACACTCTACCTCAGCAGCGAGCGTTGCTGCTGAGGTAGAGGAACCAGAGAAGTCCCACGCCCTGACTGCAGTGAGTAGTGATGTCCTCATAAAACCACAGAGGCGCGACGCTACCTCTGCAGCTAGCAGCAGTACACCGCTGGAACCTGAGACGTGCCACACCACTTCTGCAGTAACTTCCACAGAACCAAATTGTTGTAAGAGAAAGTCCCAAGAAAAAGTCCAACCAGTGTTTAAACTGCAGATGATTGGATCTTAAACTCACTTTTATACCATAGATAATCCTTGTTTCGGCTTAAGTAGCTTTCCTTACTGCCTTAAAGAACTGCAAATTGACAAGATAATTACAAAAAGTCAAACCGCTTTCATTACTTTTTTGCAATCATGAAGGGACTGCATGATCTTTTCCCCATTGTCCTGAGAAAGTTACTGTACGTGAAATTTTATTCAGAAATTTTTTTTATTACCTTTCTGTGAAAGATGTCTCGCCATCAAAGCTTCATCCTGAGCATTCACCTTCCGCCTCTGCACCGCAATCGTGTCATCAGCCCATGTCGCTCGACATCACTGGTGGCCATTGTCCGGTATTTTTGGGCCCTGCCACCGGGAATGTGTTCATCGTTGTAAAAGACCCAAAAGGTAAAAAATATCATTCATTTGGACCAGTCTAGGAAGGTCACAAATGTGGATTTCTGCGAGATTCTAAGTTGATTATGTAACCAGGCTGGTGACAGAAGTCCACCAAAGAGCATTGGTGTCAACCATGAATCGTTCACAGTATGCACTTTTATATATGTACTCATCCTTACAGCTTTTGATGTTCAAGGCAAGACTTCAATCTGTCAAATGTGCCTCTTCCTGGTGAACAAAGTTCAAAGTCTGAAAGTTATGTCTGCAGTTAGACATGTTATGTGTGCTTGTGGAAGCCACTTGCTATCGGCTGCACCCACTCCAAAATGTGTGTGTCTGTCAGCCATAGCCGGTTGAGTTGAACACGACTGTTCTGGTTGGGAGCATGATGTTTTCCCTAGTTGAGCAATAGGTTTTCCCAGCTAATCCAACTCTGATACACTGCTTCCTTAAGAAGAAGTGGCTCAATAATGCACTACCGAGAGTTTGCAATGCGTTGGCCAATCACAATGCACAAAATCTGTCGACCAAATGCATGTTTGGAAAGGGTCGACAGATTTTGCGTGTTGTGATTGGCCAACGCGTTGCGTTCTTGTTGGCACACTATTGTGAATTGCCCATATTTTGATCTCATTTCCTTCCTTCTCCTCTGAAGATGTTGCGCCCTTGCTGCCCGACAGCACAGCGACCAACAAGCAACCAGTTCCATCTATACCCAGCTGTCCTCAATCCACGTTCTTAAATGTGAACGTCGGCGGAAGTCAGAACCCCACCTTTGTGGGCGGAGCAAGTGGAAACACCTTCACTTTCGGTCAGCGAGGGGCAGTGTCTGGATCAACAGGTAAAAATTACAATATCAAAATGAAAACCAAAGTAGCTTTTAAAACGTCATATAACAAATGATTGTCCGTGCCTTCATTTCCTTGTTAACCAACTTCCAAGGAAGTTTTGGCGTTTGGTTAAACTTTATAGAGGAAAAGTTGTATTTTGCAGATTTGTATTTTTAGCTGTTAACACACATTAAATTTTACATCTTTGTGCCTTTAAACAAATGATACCGTGTTTTTTTGTAAACAGCTGGAAAATTATCAAGTGGAGATGGTTCCTGTTCTTTGGAGAATGGAGGCTGTGCAAGTGAAAAGAGTCCAGGTGCCAGTCAGGCTGAAATGGCCGCTGACATATGTGAAGAGTCGTTAAAAACACGGTACATGACCACAGGGAGCTATGTGCAGATGATCCCATGGGTGGATGATGACACGAAACACATCATGGACATCTATACACAGTTGCAACTAGTAAACGATGATGGTCAGGAAAGAAGGAATGTGATGTATGAGGATTTATTCCACATTAAGACCAGAGAGGGCCATCTCGTCAAACGCATAATCTGCAACGGGTTTCCAGGTCTGGGCAAATCGACTCTCATCGACAAAATTGCCTATGACTGGGCACTTGGCTCTGTTGAGGCAATCAAAAAGTACAAACTCGTCTTTGTGCTGAAGATGCATGCTCTGGAGCAAAGTTCAGACCTGATTGATGCAATCTTTGATCAGCTGATAAATCCAAAGACCGTCAAGAAGGAAGATTTGAGTGCATACATCGCTGCCAACTCCCACAAGATGCTGATCCTCCTGGATGGGTTTGATGAGTTCATGACCACCAACCTCCGTCCGAAGGCATTCGGTTCCATCTTGAATATCCTCAACCGCAAAGAATGCCCCGAGTGCACCGTCATCGCGACCACCAGGCCGTCGCATTTTGCAAAGTTAGCAAGCAAATCATTGATTCAGAAGCCTTTCACCCACGTGCGCGTTCTGGGGTTCAGCGCAGAGGATGTGGAGAAGTATGTGGGAAGATTCTACTCAAAGGAGCCCCACAAGTCCCGGGGTCTTTTTGAGAGGATTCAGTCCTCCAATGTCCTGTCCGATCTGGCTAAGAGTCCGATGCTGCTTCTCTTGATGTGTTTGCTGTGGAGAGGGAAATCTGCTCTCCCTGACACGATGTCACGCCTGTACAGCGAAGCAATCAGTTACATTTTCAAGAGGAAAGGTGTGTCTGAAGAGGAAGTATCACAAGTTGTGGTCGAGATTGGAAAGATTGCTCTACGCGGTCTTGTCTCTCCTGTGCAATTACTTTCATTTCAAGAGAAAGAATTTGATGATGAAGCCACATTTGACATCGCCATAAAAGCAGGCCTTCTGACCAGCCAAAGGGTGTTGAAAGGGCTGAACACTCACAACAGCATACAGTTTGTCCACAAGACATTTCAAGAGTTCTGTGCGGCGCAGTTCTGCCAAAGTGAATCCGCATCAGGGAGCGAGGAATTCCAGCAGGTTCTCAAGCAGTTTGCTAATCCTCTGACCTATGAGTACCTGCTACGCTTCTGCTGTGGTGACAATGAGGAATGCACAAATATGATTCTGAAGATGCTGCAGAAGAACCAGTTGGATGACAGGGTGTTGAAGCTGTCCCTGAATTGCTACTTTGAGAGTCAGTCCCAAAGTTTGCCTTCTCTGGACTTCATCAAGTCAGTTGTGTCCAGGTCGGTATGCTTAAAGAACTTCAACAGTGATGACCTGACCTCATTTGTGTGGTTCCTGAAACGTGTAACGGATCAGAGATTGGGTGGTGAGAGTACCATTCTCACCAGAGTCCAGGAAATGGAGATACTGTCATGCAACCTTCAGAGCTGCAGCAAAGATCTGGCGCATTTTGTCAGCAGGATGACCAATCTGTCTTTGTTTCACTTGAGGTGGTCTTGGTTGAGTGACAGCAACTTGAAACACATTGCCTCAGCTTTGGGCAACTTGGCAAACCTGAGCCAACTGGGTCTGGCATTTAACAAAGGCCTGGTAGGCTCAGTACTCTCAGGGGTCCTGAGTTTCTCAAAGATGCATCACTACATGTTGGACTCATGTTGTGGCTCTGTGTCAAGTACAGATATGAAACCTGCTGTAGTGCCAGTAAGTAGTGTCTTCACTCTGGTTAACCTAGACCTGTCTGGTAACATCTTGTCCGGTTCAGGTCGATCGCTGACTTTGCTTCAGCACATGAAGCATCTCAAGAAACTGACACTAGATCACTGTCACTTAGATACTCAGGATTTCATACAAGTCGCCTCGCTTGTTGGCCATATGGGAAACCTTGTTTATTGCAGTGTTGATGATGCCCTTCGGGTGAAGCCGAGCAGGAGTGGAATAAGGTTGACAATGAAGCAGTACTCATTCAGGGGTGCCGACATGGCAAATATTCTCAAGGAACTGGCTAGCAGGAGCGACTTGGTTGAGTTGATTCTTAAACGCATTGATGAAATGAGTTGTTCGGCAGCTACATGGGCTCCTAGTCTAAACCAGCTGAGGCATCTGCAGCGGTTGCTCGTACAAGACTGCTCCTTGCAGAGCATGGATCTGGAGCCGATCGCTGTGTCACTGAGCAATATTTCCACCTTGGTAGAACTGGATCTGTCTCAGAACAAATCCTTAAGAAGCTCGGGGTCCTCACTCTCCCACTTGCAAATTTTAACACAGCTCAGAAAGTTGAAATTAGATTTTTGCAATTTCTGCTCACAGGACATGAGATATCTTGCAGCCGTGATAGGCAGCATCAGGAATCTCGTGTTCTGTTGCATCGACAGCAACTTTGTGGTAAACCAGACCAGCGCTGGCATTAAGGTGGTTCTGATGTCTTGCCCACTGGTCGCTGCAGATGTGGGGGAGGTTTTCAAGGCTTTGAGCAAGAGGACTGACTTGGTTCAGTTAGTCATGAGTGGCATAACTGTGTTGAGTGGCTCATCAGATTCATGGGCCCCACACATCAAGCAACTGAAACATCTGCAGCGGCTGGCGTTGACCCAGTGTTCGTTGCAGAGCGGAGACATTGAACACATTGTGGAATCAGTGTGTGAAATGCCAACTCTGGCAGAACTTGATCTGTCCAAAAATGAATCCCTCTGCAACTCTGTTACACAGTGGGCTCATTTGCAGCGCTTGACCTTCCTGAAGAAGTTGAGGTTAATGGCTTGTGATCTCAGCCTAGAGGACATGAAGTGCCTTTCTGCCTCAGTTGGTGCCATGAGTAATCTTGTGCATTGCAGTATTGACGATGTCCTACGTGTCACACCAACGGTCAGCGGTGTCAAACTGGACCTCGGCCATTATCCCTTCACCGGACCACACCTTGCTGATATAATCGGAGCAATGAGTGACAGAGTTGACTTGGTGGAGCTGATTCTTGGCAGTGTCAATGGGCTTAGTGACTCAGCCACCCGTCCTTGGTTTCCTCACTTGATGCAACTGAAGCACCTCACGAGGATAGAGCTACACTGCTGCTCGTTGCAGGGTGAGGACATTGAACACATTGCTGTATCGCTGAGCAATATGCGCACTCTGACAGAACTGAATCTGTCTAAGAATGAATCTCTGCGGGATTCAGGTGCCTCATGGACACACCTACAACACCTCAAACAGCTCAAGAAGCTCAAAGTCAACTCCTGCAACTTGAGCCTCCAGGATTTGAAGTACCTAGCGGCGTTGATTGGCCGTATGGCAAATCTAGTGTATTGTTCTTGCGCCTTCGGTCATGTGACCTTTCAGATCAACCCAGTCCATGCAGGTGTGAGGCTGACCATGAGTGCCTGCCCGTTCAGTGCGACAGATGTGACAGATGTTCTGATGACAGTGCGCGGCCGACAGGACATTGTTGGCCTGGCAGCCTGTCACATGCCAGAGCTGGGTGGTTCAACAGCTGTGTGGACCCCTTCTCTGGGACACTTCAAATGCCTAGGGCAGCTGATATTGAGGCACTGCTCTCTGCAGGGCACAGACATAGAACACATCGCAACATTGGTCAGTGAGATGCCCAACTTGGTCAAACTAGATCTTTGTGGAAACAGCTCCCTGGGTGACTCGGCTGAATTTTGGGCTCCTTGGCTAAAAAAACTGACACACCTTCAAAGACTGAACTTGGGCAAAGGTGCAATAACAGTAAAAGATCTGGAACACCTCTAAACCCACTTTGGATCAAATTTTGTTGAAATTGGTAGGCTTTCTGGTAAATACAGAATAAGTTGCATAATAGAGTTTTACCTTATGAGTCTAAATTTGATTGATTCTTGAATGCAAAATACATTGATTGTGAAAAATAAAGCAGTGGAGTTACTGAATTATAAAACTTTCAAGCTTGATGTGATATGTGAGGTTCATATCATAAAAGTCAAGGCTGAATACAGAGGTGTGTGTTATTTTTACAGGGTAAATGACCTACTCTACAGGTCATTGACAAGAATATAATATAAGATCAGTGCTCTGGAATATGTGATTGCTGAGCTTTCGGTAACCGAGTACCTTCTTCAGGGCAAGCAGATTCAGTTCTATCACGGTGCTTTGCAGCCCTTCCATGTTTCTGTACTCTACAGGTCATAGCAGGTGGTAAAAGTTACCCCCGTAACAAGGACACCATCACAAATGGTGCCCCAACCTCATGGAATGACCCAATTACCGATGTTACTGATCTTAATACAGGTCTGTAATTTATTCCAGTAGCCCTTATTTTGTAAAGGCTATCCCTTCAACAATGCAAAACCTGTGCTAAACATTTGCAGCTTGTCAGATATGTGCTCTTACATTTTAGAAAACCAGTACAACAATTTTTCTGTGTCTCTTGGTATGTAGGTTAACAATGATGTTAAGATTTCTTATTAGTATATAAATATTGAAGAGAACTCTGCACCTTAAATGACATTCCATGTGTCAAAGCTTACAATAAGAAAAATTACAAGAACATGTGTGTCTTTAGATCTTCTGTAAAGCTCTTATGTGCCGTGACTGTTCAACTATGACTGAAATCTACTCTCGGGAAGTCATGTTGAATCAGTGAAAACTGAAGGTCACAAACAATGCAATATCTGTACTAAATATTTGTGGGCATTACATATCTCCACACTTCTGTTTTTTTCCAAATTTATTTTATTATTTATTTTGTCAGAATTTAGTACATGTATTTGTTTATTCTGAAAATAATGTTTGTGTATGATTACAGAGAATTTGTCACCTTGACAAGTGGCATTATTTTTACAACAATTTTGATACCTAAAATTTAAAAAAAAAATTGTATTTAATTTGTAAAGCTTCATTTTGCTGTGTTTTTGACTATAAATTGAAATGTACTTTGCACTGGCATTTACATGTATGTTGCAATATTCTTCACAATGATACACAGCTCCTGTCTTTCAGATCTTAGCTTTTTCCAATCAGACTACATATGTATTGAGATTATAATAAGCATTTCAATTGTACATGTTTATAAATTGAAGGTTTGCAGTACAGCGATGATGATTTTACAAGTGAGCAGGTTTTTTTCCTTGTTTTTAATGATTAACTAAGAAAAAAATGGATACCTGTCACTGCACAGGGTGTCGTTTGGGTCAAATTTTCCAGCAAACAATAAATGATATTTTTCTGCTAGTGTATTCTTTATTTGAAGAACTGTTTTGCGGTTCTCCATTTTGCATTTGATGCCAGTTTGGCTCACGCATGACTGTACAGAGAGAATCCGAATTAGAACTGCCAGAAATAAGTTTTTGTTGCCGAGAAGTAGTCAGCGGTGTTGCATACTTTCAGGCCATGCTATGGTCCTCCGCTCATTATCAGTATCATACTACTGCTTGTGACCATGGGCCGCGCTGGGGTTTTACGGGGCCCCTTCCCAGAGTTCCCCCTCCCCCCAACTTTTTTTGCTCCACGATCTCGGCGCAAACAGCTTTGATCACAACCGCCCTCTATTGACAAAGAAATCGTGTGGACTTGAAAGTTGACTCTGGTACCGCGCGTCGTAGTAGTTACTTGTACGTGTATAAGATGCAGGGTGCTGTTCACGCTGGACAGAAAGCGTTTCGTTGTTATGGAATTGTAGCGTGTATAATGAGGCCGTTGTTCAACTTTCTTCCGATTTCCTCCACTTGTAATTTATTTTCACATGAATGAAATGTCGAGAGGGGAAATATGTGCCAACATAGAAAGACAGAAGTTAGAGTCTGGAACGTAGTCATTTCGGTAAGTAGTCGTGAAATTGTTCTAAGGGTTGGTGAGTGAATTCAAAATTGCACGGTTTCTGCTTTTGTAAACTTTCGCGTGATATGAAGGCCTATGATGACGATGATGATGATAGGGAAGCTAATAAAATTTTCGAACTTTTTTTTCAAAAACTTAATCTTTGAAGTGATCTTGGAAAGTATGTCATAAGAACTATTTTGATACAAAGTTGGATTCCATCAGACTTCGTAAAGCAAAGAAAAATCAATTTGAAGCTGGAATGTTTTGAGATGTTAATCATGTGTGATGCAGAGCAAACTGTGATTATTTTGTACCAAAAATGAGTGTGGATTTTAGCTGAAAACCTTAAAATATCAAATTTGTAAAACCTTTGCTCGTAGTTGTGCCTCATTTCAATGAATCAAATGCTGGCTTCACTTCAATTTTTAATTCAAATTTCAAAAACTTTGAATTTGAAATTGGGAATTAAATAGAGGAACTGCAGCATGCAAAAAAGAGGAAGTTTATTCTCAGTTTCCTATTAACGAAAATGAGTTTTCAAATAAACAGTGCCCTCACTCATTTATTCATCTCCGTAGGAAAGAGTCCTGTCATGTCCAGATACGGACACCAGTTATCATTCCCTACCGTGACGGGGAATTGATTGTTTCAAAAAAGGGAAATGAAGTTGGAAAGGTGGAGATTTCATGTGGAATTGACCAATCGCGCAGACCATGTGGGCAATCGTGGAGATCAGCTGATAGCGTAAAACATAGACGTCAGTGTGATTGCCATTGTCCGAGAGGAGTCCCATACGGTAGTTCTAGGAGTAGGCTTATGATGTTAATTTTTTTTTTTCATTCAGAGCAACTTGTAAGGAAACTATATGTGAATCTGAAGTGAATGATACCGTCTTGCCAAAATGGCTGCTAAGAACCTGGACAGCAGTATGCACGGCCTGTCCATCGGTGAGGACCCAGCCCTCATGGCCACGGCCACTGCCAACCGCATGGCTGCCCAGTTCTTCGAAAAGTTCGAACGCTTCGAACTCCAGGAGGCCCTGGCCCAGTCCTCCTACCACTGGTTCCTGTCGGCCGAGGAGCACAAGCTGCAGGGCGAGGCGCCCTCGGGGGTGATCATGTCCATGCAGCCCTTTGCCGACAACAACTGCGTTCTGCTCTTCCCTTACGACCCGACGGTCGAGCCGCTGGACTACCGTGAGATCCACCAGATGCTGCGGGAGCTGGTGGTGGGCATCTACGGTCTGAATCAGGTCCCGTCGCTCTCCCTGGAGGCCAACTTTGACCAGGCCACCACCTGCCAGCTGCCCCCGGCCTATTTGGACACCCACCTGGGCCAGCTCCTCATCAACGTGGACTACATGATGAAGGGGGTGTGGCACGGCGCCTACTTCCCCAGGGACAAGCGGCTCAAGTTCAACGAAAGGTGGCGGTCCAGCCTGGACGTGAACGCCCTGGGGGAGCCGCAGAGCAAGAAGGTCATCTTGACAGAGTTCACCATGGCAGGTGAGGTCCAGACGGAGTTGTGACAACTTCGGGTTAGAAGCCATTTTGGCTCCAAAATCTGTTTGCTGATCCACTAGTGCAACTCGGGAATAATTAACTATTTTGGAATCAAAATGTCATCATATACCAAGTCGTACACAGCCTCATGTCATAACTCTACAGTTCCATTCCATGTGAATTATTGGTCAAGTTGAGGCTCTTGTAGTTAGTGTGGTCTTCCTTCTGTGTTTCCATGTGCTTATGGTTGAGAATATTTTGCACAAGTGTCAGTCATCACGACTGCATGTTTTGAAAATACAAGATGCACTTAATACCCAGAAGTTATCTTTGGAAAGAAATATGCCCTACGAAAAAAAGATGGTACTTATCGTGAAACTCAAACATTTTAACTTTGAAAACAAATTCATTGCGTGGACTTGTGCCTAGTCCTAGTTGTGTTTCTACTGTTTGTTTTTGTTTCTGTTGTGTACGTTTAAAAGTCAGGATTCACAGAGAAAAAAGAAGATAGAAGGCCATTTTCGAACTAGGCAGGTGGGGTTCTGGACTCCAAATTTTGGATCGCTTTAGAAAACGTTACTTTTTTTTCAAACTTGGAAAACTTCAGAGAAATTTGAAGCCTTTTAAGATTTTTCTTAGAGAAGCACAAAAATAGAGAATGGCAGGGCAGTGTGTGAGGCAGGTGAAAGCTTAGACAAAAATTGGGAACAGTCTTTGAAAAATGTGGAAAAATCTTGAGAAATGTACGTGCATGTACAGAACAAGTAGGCCCCCTAATGTATCCTTTTTGGAGATGAAACTTTTGCAGCATGTTTTTCTCAGCAGTAATGCTGTTATGTCCACTGTGCAAACAACATTGTCTGTTGCTGTTGTGACTGTCCACAATCAAAGATACCTTTAAGACACATTCGTGTTTACGCAGCCCCAATGACACATTCATCAACTTGATGGCATACAGGCAGCCATTAAGGTGACAAAAAGGGGCTCCCAAGGCAACAAAGGCTTTTGTTTGGCTTAGTTGCCTTTATCCAAGTAGTTCCATTAATGGTCCATCCAGCAGACCCCAACCGTTACGCAAAGTACATGTACACAATCTGAATAGGATGGGAAAGGGTCCTTATTGCTTGGGGTAAAAAAAAGTCCTTTTGTTAAACATTCATCTGGTGACAAGTTTGTTTCAGCCAGGGTCAGTGGTTACTTGAGGGACCTGTTTGTGTCAGCTTACATTCCAAAAATTGTACATACATGTACTGTACATACGTATAATTTACAGTTTATGATTAAAAGTTATGCTTAGAGAATTCATTGGTGATTGGTTCAATTTTTTTGTGGCAAAGTCACCGACATCATCATTTTTAGCTGGACATGACTTTATTTCTATCCAAGGGCTTCAGGACAGTTAACATTTTTTTACAAGTCATATCAACAACTACATGCATGCTCTTGAGAGAATTCAGCACGAAATCAGAGGACATTGGCAAACGGTTTCATTTTTTCTACCAGTGTCGACAGCAGTCAAGATTTAATACAACTTAGTCAGGAAATTTTCTTTTTTTTGGAGCAATGGAGCTAACAATAAGATTACATGTTTATTTTATTTTTATTTTTTGAAGCAGTTTTCAGGTATGTAAAGTTGGCTGCATTTTTATTTATTCAGTTGTCTTTAAAGTACTTTAGTTACTTACATGTTCTGCATAAAACTTTCAAGAAAAATCCTGCGATCATATTCATCAGAATTCTTCAGAGACACACCAGCAGAGTGGAATTTAATGCAGGTCTTCAGAGGAAACTTACACGTACCAATATAAAAAGAATGAAAAAGTTCAATTTTGCGTAAGGAAAAGCCCTATGAAGATAAGGGTCTGGAAAATCAATCAGGTCTCGATGGGATTCGAACCCGATTCTCAGAGATGAAAGGAATCAAAACTACCTCTGCACGAACAGAATCTGGCAACAAATAAAGCTTTATGGTGTGGATGCCGCGAGAAAAGGAAGGTCATTTCCCCATCCCCCGGGGAAAAAAAAAACTGAAAAATAAATTAAAAAAGAATTGATAGAAAGAGGAAATATTCTAAAACAGTGGAAAGGATAAAAATTACCGGTTAGCTTGAAAATACATCAGACTCGACCCCCTCATCCCTTTACGATTTGCCCTATCAGGACTGCTGAGTGCTGCCCCCCCCACATAAAATCCTGGCTGCTGGATCTGTTTGTGTCTCTTGCTTTGTTTTTTGATCCAGGCATGATGGATATCACCAAGGACCCGGACTTTGCCAACATCTACGACAACATGCGGCTCTTCCCCATGAGCGAGCACGACGCCATGGCCGACAAGCGCCTCTTCATGCAGTACGCCGAGGACGTGAGCATCCAGCTGACCTGGCGGCAGCGCACCATCCGGCAGTACCAGAACCTCTTCCTGGTGGATGCCGTCTACGAGGCCAGTGGCCGGGTCCGGCTGGGCGAGGAGCGCCTCTCCCGCGACACCTTCGAGCGGCTGCAGGCCCGGCTGCACGCCCACGTGGACGTGGTGCAGCGCCACCTGGCCGACAAGGCCGAGACGCGCCGGCAGATGGAGATGATCAAGCTGGCCAGCTTTCTAGTGCCGTTCCTGATTGGGATGAGACGGCGGAACAAAGTGCCGGACATCAAGAGACTTCTGACACCACTGACAGGTTAGAAAACTTGGAGCCCTAACAAATAACATTTTACAGCGTTGTTCAGGAGTATTTCAAGTATTACGCATGTGCTCACCAGTACTCAATTGGTTCGAACCTTGCAGGTATAGTTGTAGTTGGCAATATTTGGCAGATGTTGTGTACTTCCCAGTTCCTGTGGTCACACAGGGTTCAGAAATTTCAAGATTTTGTGTCGTATCCCTGCGAGACGGTCTCAGAGCTCTTTTGCTGTCATCCGCAGCCGACGAGTGCAAGACGGAGCGCGAGCTCCCGCCCCTCATGCTCTCCCCAACCTTCCGCTGCCCCAACTTCATCCCCGGCAACAGGTACTTCCACCTGCACGGGGGCATGACCTTTGACATCGAGACCGACCCCTGCCAGGCCCCGCCAGGCCCTGTGGTGGAGGTGTACGAGCAGATCCAGCTGGAGGCCATGGACCACCTGGCCAAGATCACCGACCCCAACCAGCCGCTGCACGAGAGCCTGCACGTGCCTGTCAAAGAGATTGGGGGAAAGAAGTAAGTAGCCCGTGTCCAAATGATTAGATTGTATGTACGTCTGGCGAGAACACACCTGCAGTATTCAAGAAATTGCCCTTGTGGCTTCAATGGCAATATTAGACTGGACACCTGAACTCATTGAATGAGAATGGGCAGTAGCCTCTCGGCTTTGGAGATACAAGTAGATCAGTTTTAACTCTTCTCAGCGATAATCCGTTCATCTCTGTATTCAAAGAACCTCAATTGCATGTGTTATTATATAAATTATGATGTGACTCAAGGTCAGAGTTCAAGCCAGAAGCTGCCTTTACACGGCATTGAAGTCTGGAGCTTCCATTCTTAAAAGTTTAGCCGTGTCCTAATTGACTGGCTGCAAGTCCAAGCCAATGGCTTCTTGCTGGCACACAAGTTCTTTCCAGGTGTAGCCGCAACTTACAGTCGTGGCTCAAGACTAGTTTGATAGCGTTGGCTTTGTGCATACACTCAAGAGGGCGCTTTTCTGTAATGTGCCAATTGGAGCAAATGACAAGTTCCTCTCACATTGTGTTCCAAGCTGCATGCTCTTTTGAAGCTGTGCTGAAAATGATTTGGCTTCCTTAAAGATCGTTAAGTTCCCAGTTGGCAATTTCTGCTTTGTGACTGTCTTTACCTATCCCCAACTCTCTGGTTTTTTGGACACCCCTAGGTACTATGTCTTATCCATGGACTTTGAGACCTACTATCCCGTGTCGCCGCCTCAACCCCTCTGGGCTCATTCCTTCTACGACAAGATCGCCGAGCTCAAGCCCAAACGCTTGCCACTGACAGACATACAGATGCACGAGCAATGGAAGAGGAAATATGGCTACCACCAGGCCATAAAATACAAGGTGAGACGTGGGACCCGCATCATCGGAAGATCAGGGGTTTAAATCCTGCTGCTGGCCGTAGGGCCATGAACTTGGACAAATCATTTCTCGGTCAATCGTCTCTCTCTCTCCAGCCAGGAGTACAAATGGGAATCAGCGTTACCTGGGGAGAAAACTGGAAATACTCTAAATTGTGTCGTGCTAGAGAAACTGGTGATAAACACCGGCTTTATGAGCCATCTTGGCTCTGCGTAGATTCTTCTTTTTCCAAGCAAAACCCCCCAGGAGATGGCTTTTATACACATGCTGATCGCAGAAACTTGCTAAGCACATCAAATATCTGCTTAGCGAAATCCAGTAAGCAGCCAAACCGTCATGCATTTTGCACTTCTTGTGACCGATTCTCGGCCAATTTCTGTTCAGCACCTAAATCTGTGGAGCCCAATTTTTTTTTTCCTTCACGAGCAGCATTGTGACACATTGCATCTGTTTGGATTCCTTGCGACAGAATCTCCAGTCAGGACTGAAGATGTCCTCGGTCCGGGGCCTGGTCTCCATCCTGCAGACCCTGGCGCGCAAGTGTCCCCCGTCCCGGCTCAGCAAGCAGGACGAGGACGGCTACACCTGCATGCACCAGGCCGCTATGCACAACCGGCCGCTGGTCATCGAGCTGCTGCTGATCCAGCGGCAAGACATCGACGTCCGGAGACACCACCTGACCAACCCCAACGGTAAGGAAGGATAGGACCTTCAGCCAGTGTTTGAAAATCAGGGGCCAATTTCATAGAGCTGCTTAAGCGCAAAATTTGCTTAAGCAGCAAAAAAAACTCGCTTACAAAACAAGGATTACCATCTCAAAATCTACGTGATTGTCACGCTAACCAAAAGACAGGTGAATACCATTCCAAAACAATATACATTACATGGAGTTTGGGCTGGTAACCTGATTTGTCAAGCAAGGTTTTTTCATGCTCAAGCAAATTTTGTGCTTAAGCAGCTCTATGAAATTGGCCCCAGGAGTCTAAACGTTGCCTCAATATTGGGGTCTGTAGCTTAGGGCACCTTGAGAATACGTCATGTCACCACTATCAATGCACTGCACTCCAATTGAGTTTCGGAACTTTAAAATGAAAACAAATATCAAGTTTTGAGAAGGAAGTTTTTGAGTGGAAGGATATTTTTTTGTCCTTTTTGCTTCCAGCACCGTAAAAACTAAATTACAAGATAGTTGAATATTTTGTCACTTTGCTTGTTGATGTGGAAAAGAGGGCTTAACTCGAATAGTCTGTCAGTGTTAACTAGCATTTATTGGAGCTGTTTGGTCAGCTTGAATCTTAAATTCATTGTTGAAGGTTTCTTTCAAATCAAAAGGAAATTTTATCAGGCAGACTGTTCACAGGGCTGAGGTGAACTGGGTAAGATGGAAATGGGAAATTAATTGTTTCATTTTAAGGTACTTACAATGTGCACTGCAGATCTGCCAGTTGGTGCCTCATCAGTGCATTTAGAACAAGATCAAATCATAAATATTACCAGATTTTTAAACTGGCAGCAAATCTCTGGATAGCTCAGACTACAGAACCCTTTGTATGCAATACGCTCAGTTTTCACATTACAATTTAAGAACCCGGTGGAGGAAGTTCTAATACATGTAGTCTCATTTCAATGTCACTAACAAATAACTGGATAAGTCAAGCTTTACTCAAGGTCCAACTCAGTTCAGATTGTTAAAAGAAAGAAAAAAAAAGAGAAAAGAATACAAGATCAAGTACAAATATGACACACTATCGTGGAATTTAACTTTCATCTCTACTTGAATAGAGCTCTGAATACTTGTTCTCCATTTTGTTTCATACTTGGGGCATTTCTTGATGATTAACAACTTTTTCAATCCCTGAATTTTTTTTCCCCTTAATCTGGAAATCCATTTTTATCCACCATTATTACCAGCGAGTGAAATTTGTGGAGGTAAGAAAAGCACAAACCATCAACCGTCTTTGCATGACACCATGTATTATGTGCACGTTCCATCTCGATCCAATCCTTGTCTTCCGATCTTTTCCATCATCCAATTCGTTAAAATGTTGCCGTCAGGGTTGTCTTCAACTTACAAATGATGGGTTGGTTATAAGTTGAATTCCTGTTCCATTGAAAGGCTGCCACTTCTGTGGGTGTTTGCTTCTTGAGAGGGGTCCTCGGCGCAGCTTGATGTTTTCTGAGGTTGAAATCATATTTCACTGTTTATTCATCATCAAATGTGTACTGTTACCGTTCTTTTCAGTGAAGTGTTGATGGTTCCTTTGGATGTTTGTTGTTACATGTACTTTTGATTTGAATGTGTATGTAAGATACAGTGTCCCTCCCAGGCATGATTCCATTCTCGCAGGTTGCCGTGTGATCATTTTTGTGACAATTTTGAACGGTTCACTTTTTTTTCTCTCTCTCGAAATGGAGTCCGCGTTCAAGTTATCTGTGTTATTTGGCCGTGGATCCACAAATGTGCCATTGGCGTGCTGTACTGAACAGCCGTAGCCACACATAACAATGCCCAATCAAGACAGCTTTACTTTTTCTGTGGAACACTGCTGGACATCGCATCGAGTTCAGACAGGAATCCCCCACTGGACGGCTATGGGGGGATCAGTTCAATTAGTGACAGTTTGTCAACCACTGGCCAATTTTGCCAGGTGCCCGGTATATATTTATGCATAGGTCATAGGCCACCAGTCGAAATCGACCACTGGTTGGCAGTGTGTCACTGCTCAAACTTGCCTCAAGCGTTAAATTAAACACGAATCCACAATTGGGTGTTGATCCAGGGGCATTCCTAAACCGGCCCAAATTTAGAGGTGTCACTGATCAGCTTTCTGTGAACAGCACCTCTCTCCACACTGCAGAGACAGATAACCTCGGGCACCGTCAGAGCTGTTTACAGAGAGAGTTGCGACATGACCGTCTCAAATGTTGGAACCAAAATGGTGGATTATGCATCAGTGCACACGTATGCACACCATAGCTGGGTGCTGTGCTGCACCCTTAAAGAACAGCCATTTGGGTTCCAAAGTCCAAACTTGGTGCTACTCTCTCTGTATACAGCTCTGCGCACCGCACAGCATGTGCCCTCTCTCAGGGATGAATTTGCTTGAGACAGCAAGATGTGTCGTTGGATCATAGCTGTTGGACGTGTCATACACAATGACACACAAGGGTGTTCCATTATCCCATAAGGGTGTTCCATTATCCCGTAAGGGTGTTCCATTATCCCGTAAGGGTGTTCCATTATACCAGTGTGTGGAGTTTGCATGCATGTTTCACGTGGTGTTGGTCATTTCTGTATTGTTTTTTTTACCCCCACATCACCTGTTTGTTCCATCCTAACCCATTCATTTCTAACATAGTTCATAGGGCTCATAAAACCAAACGATACCAGGCCGAACCGGATGTTGGTGAGTTTTTCCTATCAAAGATTTTTTCCAGTTTTTAAAAATGACATCACCATCCATTTCTCCCTGATATTTCTCTGACATACTGAGAAATCACGCCTGAGTTTCTGTGAGAATTGAGTAATAGTCTCATAATAGCCTAGTATTCATTATGCCCTCGCAAATTCCAAGTTCTGTCTTTGAGACTTTGTAAACTTTGAAAAAATCTAACAACTTTTACAGTTAATTCTGTTGTTTCTACCTGAAACACGTCAAGCATGTTATAACAATAAAAATAGCAAAGTTAACTTCACATTCCAGGATTAACCAAGTGCTTATAGATAGACCCTGCGATATTAACCCTTAATTTTACTTAGTTTCTGCCAGGACTACTTTTTCTATGAAGGCCCCGCTAGGCCAGTTTTCGTCACTTTTGCCAACAATCATCCCCCGATGTTAATGGACTAGTCATCACATTGCTTTGTTTTGCATGAACGGGTGGGAAGGTTAACTGCTCAAGAGGGGTGTACACATCTACATCTACACATACTCCAGTATGCTTTCTTGCATAGACCCATCTTTTTATGTTTCACCCAAATCATCTGTTTGGTAGTTGCAATGTAACACTGTTAATCTGGAACCAGTTCATGAAGTTTGCTAGATTGATACCCAGAAAAACTTGTCTGGCATGTACCGTAGATAAAATAGTGCCCTCATTATCTGAAAGTAGGGTAAAATCTTCATTTAGAATGGTCTATTGCGCGAGATGTCTCACGCTTGGCAAGCAAAATTAATGCGTCTACAAAAAACTAAAAAGTAGTGTCATTTTTGCTCTCAAAAAACTCACTACTGTATTCAGTTGTATAATTTCAATTTTTCTTTGAAACTGTGATATCAGCATTAATTTTGCATAAATTAATCAGTAGAATGTGACTAAATGTAGTGTAGAAATCATAACCAATAACTATGGCTGCAATCAGCCTTGAGCAGAAGCACCCCCTCAGCAGTTGAAAAGGGCCATGCTGGTGGGAGTGTTCATTTTGCTGGTAGCTACGCGCCTGTCATGAGTACATCTCATAGACGTTTGTGAACCAGCAAAAGTGCAGGCCCCACCAATGGAGCCTCCATCGCTAGGAAATTGCGCCCTCTCTTGGTCCTGCTCAGGGCGGATATACATGTACTAGAGACTCCTGCTGGCTGACATTATAGAACTATTTTCACATTTACATACATGTAAAATCGTCAGCGGTAGAAAGACCCAAAAATTGCCAAGTTTGTCAGCCATTTCTAGTTCTTCTCTTACTTGCAGATACTGCCCTCTTTCTTTTTGTCTCCTGTTAACTCCATCATGCTCATGAGTGTTGTTTACTGATGTCTCAATATGCACTCTCCTTCGTAACCTGCCTGTCTCCTGCATGCTTGACCACTAACGTACATGTACATGAAGCAATCAATCTTGTAGTAGAGATAATTGGATACACCTGTTGAGTATTGGTTCCAGAACTAATTGTTGTTATTGAAGTTCAGGGGTATGAATGTATACTTTCAAGGAGGCAATTTACTGTCGCAGAAATACTGTACACATTGGATGGAAAAGCCATCTGTACATTTTTATTCATGCAAAGCGTAGAAGGATGCATTTTTGATTTAAACAACAAAGGTGCTGTCTAACTCCCTGAAAGTATAACAATATTCTGTATTTACACTTTGAGGCCTGGGCGACATTGTTTCAGCTCTTGTGTTTTTGTACAAAAATTTGGTTATACTTGATGAGACATTAGTTTTTTCCTTCATCCTTCATCACCAGTTTTACCGCTTTAAGAGCAAGTCAACTCTTGCATGGTTGTACATGGGTGCGGTATGATCCATTATTGGTGTCCGAAGTCGGGTGTGAAACCTGTTTTCAAACAGATTTGTGTCCATGTAGGATTGGTTTTTACTGCATTTTTTACCTCGGTGTGCTGACTAGCCATTTCGTCTCCCCCTCCCCTTCCCCAGGCACCACTCCCTTGCACCTTGCCGCCCGCTGCGGCTCCCTGGAGGCGGCCCTCTGCCTGGTCTCCAACCGGGCCGGGATGATCCTGGCTGATCCCGAGGGCTGGGCGGCCATCCACCACGCCGCCTTCTACGACCACGCCCCCATTGTTCGGATGTTTGTGCGGAAGTTCATCGACCAGGTGGAGCTGGAGACGTGGGACAAGTAAGAAGATGACGAGATTGCAGTTTGTTTCTTGTTTTCCAGCCCAGCTCTGAGAAATGAACAATCTTCCAGATGCTTGTCAATCTGGATTGGGAACAACGCAGAGGAGGCCTCCAAAATTTCACCAGATATCCAAGAGCTTTTGCAATGTTTTTCTCAGTTTTTGGTCATTTTCCGGATGTGGTGTAATGCCTTTAGATGTGAAGGCAGGTTTACATTTGTTGCAAAATGTCATTTCCGTCTTCAATTACAAAATGAGGCAGTGGAGACACCTGTAAGACGTTAGTCAGTTTGGGAGAACACCAAACAAACGTGAGTTGCTCACATGGCATAACCCACTTGGTGCCGGGTGGAATTGGCACGTGCGGGACAAGTTCCCGGGCAATTTTCAAGATCTTCCATTTTCAAAATTCTTCGAAAATTCATAACTTCATTTACTAGACGTTTACACCCCACGAATGACTGTCTGGTGGCTACTCTAATCTGACAGGCAACCTCCATCGATGCCCGAGTATTTCGGCCAGGCCTGCCGCCCAGTAAAGTGAGCCCAGATTGTGCGGTGCTGTGTAATTTTCTTTGTTCCCAAAATTGGCCCAGTGCATTACTGAATGCCAGTGGCGTCTTTTCAAATGCGGCTAGATTAGCGTGTAGTGATACTGTATCACTCATCGCTGGAGCGCTTTTGTCCCCGCTGATAATCCGTTGGCACTGAATACCACAAACAGTGGTATACTGTGTCAAAACAATGGCGGATTGCCTCCGCTAATGCCAACTGAAAAACGATGGCAAATCCCAGCAGCTTGGTCTTTTGTTCCGAGTACGGTCTTTTGTTACACGGCCCAGCTCTTTTGTCCGATTTCAGTTACCTCCAGCTATGCATACGACCCAAAGGTGCCCGGTTTCGGAAACCTCAGGGGCAAGTGGTTAACATACTTTCTCAAAACACGCCTCAACAAACACAGGCTCAGGAGAACCCCGCTCCTACTGGCCGCAAGCTCCGGGGCGCTGGAATCGGTCAAGATCCTGATCGACCTGGGGGCCAACATCCGCAAGACGGACACGGAGAGGAATACCATGATACACCTGGCCGCGCTGCGATTCCACACCAACGTGCTGGAGTTCTTCATCGAGTGGAATCACCCGGATGTACCAGTCTGGCAAACACTCATCAGTATGGTTACCCTGTTTTCTTGGTTTTTTTTATCTTTCCCATCAGAATTCTCGAACACAGCATACCGTTTAATGCTTGTTTCATCTGGCCCAAATCACCGATTTCTATCAGCAATTTAAAGATTTCACATTTTCCTGTTTGAATCAGGCATGTTGAAATCAAAGAACTTCCAATACAAAGACAGTGCCGTCAGATCCCTGGAAGTCCTAACAACATCAAGCAAGCAGTACTGGAAACCAATCCTGGAAGCAGGTATGTCAACCTTGAACTTTGACTTTTCACCTTCATCCCTTTGATGTACATTTCTGAAATTCTATTGTCATATTCTGTTGAGTGAATGTGTCTTTTATATTCGCGACCATAAGGTCTTGAGACTCAAGCATATTTTGCTAAGCTCAATAATTCAATTCAATTTTCATTAAAAAGTGGATAGCTCAGTCGGTAGAGCACTGGTACGGTAATCCAGAGGTCGCAGGTTCAAATCCCGCTCCGGTCAATTTCTTTGTTTATTATTCATTAAAAAGTGAGAGAAATAGAAACAGGAGGGAAGGAATGAAAATAACAAGTTTGCTCAAAAATACTTCAGAATTGACCTGCTTCCACTGTTGACGGCTTATCAATTTGATATTGACATGCGCTTTGGCCCCTCCCAAACATATCCTGGCCACACCCATGATGATAGGGATGTGAAGAGAGACAGTATTGGCCATGATGTGTACTTAAAACATGCATTCAACAACTTGTAAATTCTAGATGGCATCCCCGCTTTGGTGGAAATCTTGAAGATGCCCCAGAGCGAGATGCAGTCCCTGGGCGCCGCGGTCATCTGCAACCTCTCCGAGCAGCCCGAGATCCGCACGGCAGTGGCATCCGCGCCCGGCGCCATCCCCACCGTGGTTCGGCTTCTGGGCTCGCCCGAGGATGACATCCAGGCCCGGGCGGCCATCGTGCTGGCCGACCTGGGGGCGGCGGACGACGTCTACCGGACGGCGGTGAGCCACGAGGGGGGCATCCCACCCCTGGTGGCGCTGCTGGACTCGCAGCTGGAGGATGTGTTGGTGGAGGCAGTCAATGCCGTGCGGGTGCTGTGCCTTGGCCACCGGGGGAACCAGAGCCTAGTGGCCCAGCACGGTGGGATAGAACCCCTGGTGGAGTTCCTACAGGTCAAATCAGGTACAGAGTTGCCATGGGGATGCAGGATACATGTTCATATGGGTTTAGGCCAAGTAAAAAAAATTGGTTCCCTGTCCAGGTTTTTTGTTAAGGTGGTGATGGTTTAAGTTGAGATGTGATCCTGTTTAATTTTTCTTTATTTTATTGAGACTACGTATTTTCTCAAGATAGCAGACGGATTTTCAGGACTCTTTTGGTAGTACTTTTATGTCTAAAGTTGTTGTCAGCATATCTAACAGGTTTTAAACTTTCATTGTGGTTAAATATTTTGTCAGAAACAAAAAGTCCAAGCATATAAGAAATCCAACTAATAACCAACAGAAAAATCTGTAAAAATGGAGGTAGCCGGGAAAAAAGGAATCTGATGGCAAGGAGACACACCTTTTTTTGTACCCTTCTTTTCTCACCGTAGACGTCCTGCGAGCGGCCAGTTCCGCGGCCCTCGCCGCCCTGACCTACCACCACCAGGAGAACCAGGACCTGGTGGTGGAGCGCAACGCTGTCCAGCCCCTGGTCTCCCTCATCCGGGGCCGCAACATCTCTGTGCAGACCAAGGCCGCGGCCGCCTTAGAATCGCTGGCCGAGAACAACCCCAAGTGCCAGAAGGCCATCTTGGATCTGCAGGCGCCTAGCGCCCTCATACGACTCCTCAAGGTAGAGCCGCTCCCTAAACTGTACCTTGAAATCGCCCACCCAAGAGGAAGGCCATTATGAACACATCACCCTTCCAAGTTTTGTTTCATTTCCTGCTAAAGACGAGTCATAGCGTGCTTCCAGTATTTTTCTTATCGTACTTACGTGTGTTCTGCGCTGGAACGAGGGGTAGTGCACTTTCACGTAACAATACCAGGCCATCAGAGGCGCGCTGCATGTGCCCACAGGTGTATGCACGTTTAGTGTCGGATGCACTGAGCATGTGTAACCGATTCCCTTTGAAGTGTACGACCCTCACATTTACGCTGGGCAGCCGGATGAAACAATTCCCACCGACCTGTCTCTTTCTTGCCCGTGAACCGTGAGCCCTTTTGACATCCTCTCTGAAATCACAGTGAAGCAGCCACTGTTGACGGTATCTTTATCCTCGCTCTCTCCACTCAGATCTGGGCCCTGGACGTGAAGGAGCAGGCGGCCTGTAGCCTGTGGGCCCTGGCGGGCCACACCAGGCCCCAGCAGAAGATGATCGCCGAGTTCATAGGCATCAGCGGCATCATCGATCTCATCGTCAAGTCGGAGAAGTTGCAGCACGTAGGTAAGTTGCTCCCCGTGTTACTGTTTGTGGAACCTTCCTGAGCTGGTATCACTTAATGAGTGTCAAGGCCAATCTTCTCGTAATTCTGTTTTAGTTAGCATTAGAAAGGGGAAATTGCTCCTTTTGTTTTGCTGCATCTCTCAGTTTGGCAATCAGTCTGTCATTTGCCATCGACTGTGTTTGATCTTGCCGTAGGTTTGGCATCTTGATGAAAATGGCAAGGGTTTCTATCGGTTTAAGTCATGCAAGATTCTGATCCAAAGGCCCATAACTCAACAGTGGCTCTGGCGACTTCCAGTTCATGCTGTCAGGTTGGGTCACACTTAGCAGGTTCACAGCCGCACTGAACAGCACACTGGCCATGGAGACAGCTAAGCTGAGAAAAGCAGCGCAGCATCAGAAATCTCTGTTTGCGAGCGCTACCACTTAGTCAGTCAACTTTATGGGAAGTTTAGCAAAGTTTTCCTGTTACGGCACAACTTCTTTTCTGCTGTCGCTACTCAGCTCAAGGAAATCATGTCCAGAATCCAATGCCTGAAAGTGCTAAGCGTATAGTTGGAAACCAAAACTTGGAAATTAGCAAAAGCAGTTCATCTGCCAAAATGTCACGTGAATCTGCCAAATTTGCCTCCTTCGGCCCCACAAATTCCTTATAATGACCAGTCACGGTATATTTAGTAGCCACTTTTCCTTTTTTCTCAATTCATGAGACTTGTACCGGTTTTCCCGTCTCAGGTTGCATGGCGATGATCGCGCTCACCAGGGCCAGCTCGGACAACCAGAACCGCATTGAGCAGGAAAACGGCATCCTGCCTGTGGTGAGAATCCTGCGCTCCAGCAAGACCTCGGAGAGGGTCCTACACATGGTCATCAAGGCTCTGGGGACATTGTGTGTGGGTAGGTGTCCTCAGTGCCGGTCCTGATGTCCTCTGTTGGTTAAGTGCATGGCCCAAAGGGTTAATATAGGAAAGAAATCTGAGCCATGATTAATGTATTTCATTGCTTTGAGAATGAAGGTTCTCAGACATGTATGACATGAAATTAGGTCCTCAGTCTGTTGTTGAGTGAGTTTCAAAACCACAGCTGACAATGGTTGTCTGTTTCCTCACTATCTGGGCCCACACCTGGCAAATTTACGCACTCGTCAAAAAATAGCAATAAAACAGTCACAAGAAATGAAGGATGCGTGACATTTTTGCCAGCAACCAGCTGTTGCTAAGCAGATATTTGATTTGCTTAGGAAGTACTCGTGCTTACGTAGGCCCATTTTAATGGAGCTGTTTACCAGACAGAAAATGTTTACTCGGCAGATTTTACCGTTGAGCGAAATGAGCACCAAACCCGTCCCCTGGCACTGAATACCCATTTCGACAAAGTGCGTGCTTTCTACGCTTGGCATATTTCTATGCTTATTAGCTCTTCATTGTCATCTGCAGGTGTGGCCAACATCAACAATCCCGTCACCCAGCGGAAGATTGCGGAGGAGAACGCCATCTCCACCCTGGTCAGCCTCTTCGTCTCCACCAGCCACGACTACATCCGTGTGGAGATTGCCAACACCTTGGCCTGCATCATCCTGGGCAGCAAGGAGAACCAGGCCCTCCTCAAGGAGGAGCCCCAGTTTGAGATGCAGATGCTCCTGAACCTCCTGCACTCCAAGAAGAAGGTGAGGGGACTGTCGGGGGATTTTAATCTGCCCCCCGAGCGGGACCTAGAGAGGGCGCAGTTTTCCTAGCAACGGAGGCTCGTTCGTTGTGGGAACTGCACTTTGACGGTTCAAAAACCACTATGAAATGCAAGCATTGTGGTCACATGGCTACCAACAGAATTGAACACTCCCCACCAACATGGCCCTTCCCAACCAATGAGGGGGTGCTTCTGCTCACGGCAGAAAGGGGTCAGAATAAACTTTAAAGTTTGATTACATTTCCTTGCCTTTGCCTTTCACTGCCATTGCTTATGAACATTATTTGCTTACATGTAGCGACATCTTTTTTTTATCGGTTTGCCACAAGTGCAATCATGAGTACTTTGCTGTGAGTTACAAGAGCAAAGCAAGAATACTATTACTTCACCACAAGTACTTGTTCAAAAAGGTTAAAGTACCACAGCACTGGTGCCGAGTACATTCTGAGAGAAATGAGTGATACCTGAGCTTATGGAGGGATGACTCAAACTCAGATTGGACTCAGGGTGAGTTGTGGGAAAGCAGGGCATTACATCAATTCCTGAGTTGAGTTTTTTGGGCTCATATTTTTCCCCAGCTGTAAATTGTCCAGGACTTGGGCTCAGACTCAACTTCAATTTTGATTTGAAATCGATTGTTGTTTTTTTTTTTTTTCTCCGGGAATGTAATAACGTAACTGCCGACGTTCTGCAGGACATTCGGTTGCAAGCCGGCAACGCCCTGGCCACATTTGCCTTCAACAACACCAACCAGCAGGTAGCAATCAGGGAGGCGGGGGGCCTGAAGATGGCCACATTCCAACGGTTCCTGGACTCGGAGGACGAGACCTACCAGGCCTACGGCGCCTTCCAGGTATCTTCTTCCTCTTTCTCATCTGACGATGGAAATTTACCCTAACTTGGAGTCTGAGGGGGGAAGGTGGTGTTTGTGGGTTTTAAAATATATTTTTTTCATTGTTTTAGATTGTTGTCCTTGCGAGAGTGATAGTAGACAGCGACCAGGTCACCTTGTCTGCCGAGGGTGTCACTAGGCTTGTCAGGTTGCTCCAGTCACCAGACGATGATACCGTCATACTGTCAGGTATGGTTGTATCCGCTCTGTGTATGAACAGCAGAGGGCATCGTGGCTCCTATACCCCATGTGGGCCCTCAACCCGTACACCATATGGGCTAGCCCATACCCTATGTGCGTAGTTCACACCTTACAGATCTAGCCCGCGCTGTGTGGGCCTAGCCCACACCCCAAGGCCATATCCATGCAGGCATCACAGATACCATTATTCAATCTAACGCCCTGCCGTTTGACATGTTTTAGGCACCTTGATGGCCAGCCTGGCCCACACCCGTGCAGGCATCACCGACGCCATGATCACGTCGGGGAGCGTCGAGATTCTCATCAAGCATCTCTTCTCCCCGAATGCCGAAGTTCGATGTGCCGCGGCTGTTGCCCTGGGCTACCTCACATTCAATCGCAAGGTACCGATGACACTTGAAAGTGAAAAATACTCGCAGGTTGTTCGGGAGCCTGTGAGTCCAAGTCTGGGCTTTTTAGCATTCTGATTGAAAATACAAACTCGTGGTGATCATAATGTACATTCTCCGACAGGCTACGCGACTATTGCTGGTGGCGACGCGCAACACGCCCGGCTTGTACAAACGGCTGATGGGCAACCTAGACAAAGACGGCAAGATATCGCGCGACTTCACCGAGGAGTTCCGCCGGGCCCAGGTGGTGGGGTTGCCAGCACTGAGGTGAGAACGAAGACCAGGGTCCAATTTCTGGCCACACACTTGATAAGAGCCAAACATGATTTGCCAAGTAAAGACTAGTGCACCGGCCAAAATGTCAGTCAATTTTATGTTGCTTTCAGCTGGTTCTCAGCTTTTTTAAGATTTATCTTCCGTGTAAAAACCAGAGTACCAGCCACAAAGAGTATGCACAGCCAGGCATATCAGCTGGTACCCTTTTTACTTCTGTGCATATCTGCTTCAAGAAATTGCTTACAGACTTGTAGTTCAGTCCTCATTTTTTCAACTTCGTGGGTGTAGATTTCAACGTCGGACTTAGGAAAAAGCCATTTTTCACATTAACTTTTCCTGTTATATTTTCGTTTTCTATTTCTTGTAGTTTGGAGATCCATGGAGGTCCACCAGTTGTCCCTCCCCCAAGACCGAGAGAAAAAAGTAGGTTTGCTTGAGACAAATGAAGAGCACCTTTATTATTGACCGAAATTAAACTTGCATATTCATGAGCTGTCACTGATTTGCATAATCACGAGAAACTGTTTAGGATCAGTACATGCTGATTTTGATGCGACTCGTGATGTTTTTTTCTGCTCCGCACAGGACGGCCTCGCACCACCATGGGCTTCAACTGTCGACTGCCAACCGACCAGCAGGGAAAGAGCCCCGCCCAGGGCCTGCCTGTGAGCCGGGCGGTGTCGGCACCGGCTGCCACCCAGCGACGCATGGCCAAGTCGGCCGAGGCAGTTGAGGGTGATGCTGGGGTGCGAGTCATCAAGCGGCGGGAGGTGGGGCCCCGGGGGGATGCCCGAAGGGTGGTGCTGCGGAAACCCACCGACGACGGGAAGATCGCCTGGTCTGGCTGAGGTTGGGTGCTGGGGGTGGGCAAAAGATCTTCGCTATTAACCACAGCAGAGAAAATTTGGCCGTCAATAAGCACATTTCGGGTTAACAAGGGAACCAGGGTTATGCACATGCGTAAATCCCATAACAGACAAATCTGTGCTTACTCCGTAAGCGTGAAATGTTTGTGCTAGAGCTTTAAGCACAGAATGTTGATCTGAGCACAGAATTCTGTGGTTAACAAAGCCACAAAATTAGGTCCACCAGGGCGATAATCCAGTCCACCACCTGTCCGATCAAGCGTCCATTCACAAGTAGGAAATTGAAGGAAGTCTCAAGAAGGCTGTTTGCCACAGTTTACTTGAAAAGCTCATGACTTGACACAAGACCGACTGACTTGTGATGGACCCGACCGGAGCCCCAGAGGCGACTGGTGAAAGGTTCAAACACATCTAGTCAAGGTCATGGTTAACACAGCAGTCAACATGCACACCGTTTATAGTTGCCGAGAAAAATTTGGGCTGCATATGAAATATTTGGATGCTTTGAGCGAGACACGTCTGTGTCTTGTCAGGTTTTCCGCGTGAAGGATACAGGGCACCGTGCAGCCGGAAGCTGCGGCTGGGAATAATGCACGTGTCTGTTGGTGGCTACCAGCGGTTAACCACCGTCTTCCACAGGCCCATGTGGTATTTCCGACCTAGCCCCAACTCTGCAGGGATAGTCACAGAACCCCAGTTCTGTTGCTTCATGTACACTGTGAATGCAGTGTCATTTCCAGTCGAAAACCACAAACTAAAACTGTTCATGCAAATGAGTTGTTATCAATACATGTACAGTATTTAAAACACAGTGCACGTTAGCTCACTGGAGCCTCCGCCATACATGGGTAGATATAGTAAGAGAGTCTATTTTACCAAGTATTTTAATATTTTTTGTATAAATTCAGGAATCTGTAGAAATCTACATTGACTGTGGTTTGTGTGTGATAAATGGCCAACTGATCAAGTGTATATATTTAAGAATAATGAAACCATATCTGATCAAAATACATTTTTAATGATCTTTTGGGAAGTTTTATAAACTTTGCATTGATTTTACATAATCTTGGTCAAATTTGTGTGTATTTGGGTTCTACTATGTCATTGCTTAAAATTGATGAAACTGTCATAGAAATATGGTAATTTATGGTAATTTGTTGGAAAAAGTTAGTAACAAAGGTTGTTTTTCTCCAAGCTGTAGATTTCTCCAAGCTGTAGATTTCTTCATATGAGATATTAAATTTTTTGCCCCACTTGGAAAAACCTTTTACTGATTTCAAAGTTGAACACAGCAAGGCACAAAAAAATCTCGGACAGAATAATATACTAAATCAGTTTTCACAGGTCATTGTGGGATTGTGAAATCTCATTTTATTACCAGAAACTCGACCGGCATGCTGTTCCAAATTACAGAAACCTTACATTTTTATGATAGTACCAAATTGTGCTGGGAAGTGCTTAATTCTGGCAATGTTTGAAGTTGTGACCAGGTTTACTAGAAAAAAATTGCTGCAGGAACAAATTCACAGTTATGGATTTTCGTCCATATTACTCGTCAATGAGTTTTATTCACTCACCTCAAAATGTTCCGTCCTCGTATAAATTTAGAAAAATGTACATATAAGGTTTTATTTTTTACAGGGATAACGATTATGTGTTGTGTGTTTCAAAAAGGGAGATGTAATTTGTAAATATTTGAAAATGGTTGTTTATACGCAAATACTTGTTTATTAAAATGAAAGTTTGCTTCTGTGTATAAATTGTCATAATACAGGTATTTTAATTGATGAAAAGAGGTGGTCGTTTTGTACGTGGGATCAGTCACGCAGAACTACAGTGTGAAAGTAAATGCCAAATTGGCAATGTGCCAAGATAACAATTTGCCATCACACTGCATGGAGCTTTACGCAAAAAAATTTTCATGAAATTTCCAAGTTTGGCAGATTTCCAACTTGTCACGGGCTCAGTAGTCTGACCTCTCACCTTGTCACCAGAACTTGATTCTTTTGATTTTGATGTCTGCCGCCCTCACCTGCTCCGAGATGTCTCTCCCCATGGGATACCTGCGACCATGGCAACATACTCCGGTCAGGGGGCATCTTGAAAATTGCAAATCTTTCCATTTCTGTCAAAATGCTTCACTTGAATAACAATGCCTTGCAAAGAAGCTGTGTTCGTGCACTTACTTTGGTTCGTAACGGATGCTCTGTGGATCCTCGACAATACCGATGCCAAGTTTAAACTTCTCCATGCCGGCCCACGCTATCATGATCCCGTTGTCTGTGCACAGTGCGGGTGGGGGACAGTGTAACTGGTACCCGTTCTTGTCGCAGGTGAATTGCAGGGCATTGCGAATATAGGCGTTGCTAGCCACGCCCCCTGAGACTACCTGTTTGTGGGCGGCAAGCAAGAGGACAAGAATCATCAACCTGATGAGGAGTCTCTCTCAAAGCCTCTGTGCACAACCCGACGAGGGCGCTCTCAGTGAAAGGCACTGGCATTATTCCCTGGTGCACGGGCACTGTCAATACAGTAACACTTGCTATGCATACCAGGGAAATCAGAGCTTTGCCAAACTGGTTTCCAATCTCTACATCACAAATTTGACTGTAAAGTGTGAACCATCATGACTAATTTCATCTTGTACATTTGCACAATAAATTTTACATCAGTATATTCTGACATTTCGCCTTACTAATGATTTGGACGTTCCTGGCAGCATGTCTGTCTGCCGACAGAATTCCATGGCCCTGGCGACCCTGGTGACTAGATGGTGCGCCACCTTGTGTTGGAAGGAGGCAGCAATGTCGGGAATTGTCGATAAGAGGTCGTTATTATCAGAGGCGATACCTGTGCCAAGAACACATAGTAATTTTTACCTAGTTATTGAAAATGAAAATCCCCAAATTGTTTTAATTTACAAATCCCCCCCCCTAAGCGCAAGGTTCACATCTGATTTTCATCCACTGAAAGCATTTGACCAAACTTTTGCAAATTTAATTCCCTGGTGGAATTTCGAGGTATTGTGTGAAGCTGAACACTTTGATCAGTGCACGTATAACAGTCAACACAGAGCAGGAAGTGTTGGCCCCAGGTCACCGTGTGAAAAAAATCCATCCAATCAGTGCTCAGAAAGAATCGGCTGTTCCCCATACCCTTGGAAAGTACAAGTGAAAGTCTCTACTGCTACCTTGTTGGACTTCGTGGTTGTATATCAGCCAACTGGCAAAGCTCCTTAGCCCGGAGAAGGAGAAGTTGCAGTCTCGGTGTTTGAGCAAGGGTCTGTCTTTGTCCATGAGCAGCCTGATGTTACCTCCCTGAGACACTCTCTCAATGGCTTGGCCCCCAGATAAACCTTGACATGCGGGGTGGAGGTCCAACTTCAAACGGCGCGCTACCTACAAGAAATGGCAAGATAAAAGTCTGCGAAGGTTTTGGCGAGAAAGAAGTGTTGTGGGCTTGTGGTCTGGTGTCTGTCTTGATATCTTGCAGGTCAATTTGGGCAGGTTGTAGGTACAGGTGCAGCCTGTGGGCTGCTTGTGTCCTTAGGCAGGACACTTCGTCACAATTTTCTTCTCCCTAACCTAGAGTAAAAGGGTACCTGTGTCGGCAGAGACAATTTTTGTGATCAAATTCTGGGGACATGAGATGAATGGTCTGAAGAATATTTACAAACCCGATGACTCGGGGAAAGGAAATTTTCATTTTGTATAATGCTACCTTATCGAATGCTTCTCCTGGGGCATTGTCGTGGGTTTTTCCAAGAAGGAGGAAATCATCAACTCCCCTGGCAACAGCCAATAAGCAATGACCACCGGAGACAAGCAGAACAAGGTACGGAAAGTCAACCCTGCATCAAAAAACAAAATTTCACTAATTACAAACTGTATACTCAAATGGAACGAGTTACTGCTTTTTCCATCCTTGGCAGCGACAAACTGACTGAGACGAGCTGAAAGATGTTTCAGTGTACATCCTGCCGACAACGGATATGTTTACTTGAAAAGGTAAGGTAAAGGGCATGTGACCTAGTGGTTAGGATAAGTAACTCTCAAACGTAGGGTCAGAAGTTCGAATCCAGCAGCTGGTGTGCATGTTGTGATCTTGACCAAGTCACTTTACTCGTACTAGCCTCTCTCCACCCAGGAGTGTAAATAGGTGCATATTAGGGTAGGGATAGTTATGTTTGATTTAGCCCTTCGCACCTGCGACGGCATTAAGCTACATACTCTCCAGTGAGATGAGATCTATTTTATGTAGTGCCTCGAGCAACAGGTAAAGATGGACACATATATTCTTCATAAATTTATTAGCTTGATCGATCTTTTTGGCATGGAGCACGGACTGATACGATGGTGCCAGAGCCGGCTGACGTACTGAAAATGACGGCTGTACACGTACTTTTCAATCATCCTCACTGTGAGCGCGTGGGCGATCATGTGATGCACCGGTATGAACGGCAACGGTAACCGACGCAGCAGGTCCTTGCTGTACTGCAGGCCGACCTGGAGACACAGGGCCAGACCAGGCATGGTGGTGGTTGCCAGGGCTGACACATCCTACATGAAGAAGCAAATGCCTAGTTTGAAATCAGGGCCGGATTGAGTGTTCTGTAGGCCCGAGACACCATTATTCCAAATAATACATTAACCACCGCAATGCCCAGCAAGCAAACGACTGCAAACTTGTCTGTCTTTTGACCTTTTCTCTCTTGTTTCAATACAACTGAGTACATTATTCCATGGAGGTGGGAATACCTTGAGCTCTACTCCGGCATTCCGCAATGCCTGCTGAACGACACCGTCAATGTGCTGCCTGTGGAGGTCCTGGGCTAGAGGAGGGATCACACCTCCATTTCTAGATCAAAAATCAAGTGAACAACACAGGATCAATATAGGATGAAGAAACTTGGGAGTGCGTCTTGTGTTATCTTCAGGGGATCCTTGGGCTTATGATCTGTTTCACGTTTCGATAAACTTGGCACTTGGTCGGACAACCCTTGCCAACTTATTTGAACTAGATCCAGTGGTACAGATATCCTGTGCCATTTGGATAATAAAGGCAAAAATGGGAGGCACACTGTTTGCGAATGGCCTGGAGAATCCAAGAGGATGTGGTTGCTATGGAGATGCTGTATCTTGCTGATGGCTGGAACAGTGGTCAAGAAATGAATAAACAATGAAAATAATGAAGCAAGCAATTTTTCTTCAAGTTTACAGAATACAAGTGAGTACCCACTTGACGTGGATTCTTTTCTGCGAGCACAATCCCTCTCCGAGCACATTCCCTGTCTCGTCGACCACAGCTGCTCCCGTCTCGTCACAGCTTGTCTCAATTCCCAGGACCAGAGCACTTCCTCTCGCCACACTTGCCAAAAAGGATGTAGAAGAATACAGCCCTCGTCTGGTCGACAACAGCACTGCTTGGTGAAGAGAGTTTTGGGAGCCTATTTTGTGAAAACCGACCAAGACCAAGTTCCGAGTCCTGTAGCCAAACTTGATAATGTTGAGTCTCCCAATGTGAAGTGTCAGTAATCTTGTGGTAAAAGTTAAATTGGACATGATCACAGACCAAATATTACAGGCCAGAAAGCAGCACCATCAAACTTCAAGCGAACCTGCGTGTGCGCCGATTATGAGACTTGCGTCGTCTGCCAACTCGAAACAGTTAGATGTCGGAGCATATGAGTAAAATTTCCCTGAAATATCCGTTTTGCTGTCCTAACAGTGAAGAAAATTTCATCCATTTCAGTGACAACATTTTTTTTTTTCGAAATGAAAACACAAATGCCAAGAAACTGTGCTGATTTGTGTCTTTGACCATGCTTTGATCAAGTCCTCAGTGAAATATAAATGGCGCCCTCATTCGATGAACACGGTGGGGGGGGGCGCTCAGCAAATAGGCCCCAAACACTGAACAGTTAGTTATTTGGGGGCGATGAAGGCTTTCTTATTTTCAACAAGTAATTATACCAACCACAAGACAAGGACAAAAAAAAGTGATCTAATACCAGCTTTTAATTTTATCTTCCTTTTTCCCGGGTTTTAAGCTCTTGTGACAAACTAAGTCCGATCCCTAAACTAAACCTCGCAGTCCCACATCCTCAAGCCTACTTGTACATGTACATAGAGCAAGGAACAGGCCCAACTTTTGTTCCACTGAATTCTGGCAATTTACACGATAAACAAATTTTACGATAAAAATTTGTAAGGCAAAATATAAGGATTCCTACCCATCCCTATTTTCTTTTGAAAGGTCATCTTTTGTTGCCACAAAAGTCAATATTTGATCTCCAAATAAAAACAAACTTTGTTGAGGCATTGGGTCACGTGCTCGGAAATGAGGTATTTCATTGGTCAAAGATGCCAGTCGCCATTTTGTGTTCGCACTCGAGAAAGGAAATATTCTCGCTGCTGGTGAGTAACTTTAACCTCTATTTTGCCCCCCTTACTTTGTTGGAAAGCTTCTCAAAGAGCATTTATGTGCATTTTAGTTAAATTTAAAGGGTATGTGTGAAATAGTGCTCGGAGTAATTTTGGCGATGTATGAATAAAGCAAGAACACAAGCTTGAACTTGACAGTGAAGAAACATGCGAAACGCAGCCACTGCCATGCTCTGTGTTTCTATCTGTACCTGTCCATTCACGTACAAACACCATTGCTGGTTGTCATGTGCAAAGTCTCGACTAAATGTTGAAGTGGGCCTTTAAAGCCCGCGTCTTTATGGTTTCTAACTTGGCTTTATATGTCTTGAAGACGTCATGTTTTGTTTGCGTGAAGAGTCAAGACGAGAGTGATGGTTCATTTCGCAGACGAAATGGGAGTTGAAAGGTTTGTTGGGGACCCCGTTTCAATAACAGAAGGGAAACCAACATTTAATTTGGGATTCACCTTGGTTGATGACTACATTATGCATGCTCAATAAGGGCACTAGCACCCTGTCCCTAATATTATAAGGAAACAAAGTCCACGTTCTCAAACTAGCCTAGCATATTGACCTTAAGGAACCATTAGGCCTACTCAATCCTGATAGGCCTAGTTTAGGTACTTTTGACAGTATTAAGCAAGAACACTTCAAATTTCTAACCCGAGTTTTGGAAAGGTGCTTTATAAAAAAAAATTTATAGCGATAAAAAAGCAGGCAAATACATCCTGGTATGCATGTTTGTAGATACCCTCCTTGTTGTGCTTCATCGTCCTAACAGTCCCAAATTCTCCTATTTCAATATGATTTTACTTACATCCTAGGGGTTAGGGTTAATGATTTGGAACTTACAAGATCATGTACAAGACTAGTCACAAGACGAGATACAAGACCATGCAAAAGACTAGTCACAAGACCAGACACAAGATCATGCAAAAGACTAGTCACAAGACCATACACAAGACCATGCACAAGACCAGACACTAGATTATGCACAAGACCAGACAAAAGACCAGACACAAGACCATGCACAAGACCATACAAAAGACCATGCACAAGACTAGTCACAAGTAACACAGTGAACAAAGGAATGCTTTTGTTGCAGTTCATTTGAATAGCTTGTGACTTGAATTCAGACTGGAGGTCTAGTGTTGGTCTTGTGAAGGTCTTAAGTGGTCTCGACTACAACACTGATGCAAATTTAAAACTTTCATTTTCATAGCCTTAGCTTTTCACTCATTCGCTATTTAGATTTAGTGTTTTCTTTTCTTACAAAGTTATTGACTGTCTAGGAACTGATGGTCACTGGTTCCCTTCTTTAACCAGCCTTCCCGTATCACAGATGCTAGCTGGTAACCAGAATGGAATGGCATAAGAAGTAGCCCTGCCTGGTAACCATGGAGATCATTGTGGCCGTTGCCATAGGGATATTGTGCTTCCTCTTTGTTGCCTCTCTGGGTGTACTGGTGGTTATCTGTCGTCATCGCTACTGCCGTATATTGGATTTGACTCTCAAAGAAAAAGTCAACCATGGGTATGTACCTGTCTGTGGACTCGAAGATAATTCTACCCACAAAAATATAAGGGTTATTTTTAAAAGAGATTGGTTGGGAAAGTATAGATTTTTTAATTATTATTTCAGTATTATTGAATTTCCGGTAATGACACCAAGGATTCCTGAACTGAGCACCCAGGGCACTGTAAACTTGCAAGCCTTGAAGAAACCTGTAAATATGAGACAGTGAGAAGCAGTTACAATTTTAGAGGTGGGAGGAAAAACCCAGCGGAATATTCTGGGTAAAACCCTTGGAATCAGCTAGGGACTGAAAACCTAATCCACATGTGGACTGGGCCAGGAATTGAACCTGGGACCACAGAGGTGGAAGGTGATAAAAGAATCACTACCCCAACCTGACTCCTGACCCGCTTTTTATGTGTAGCTGCCTTATTATCGTACATGTAATGTCCAGTTGTTTGTCGTTCTGATTGAACCGTCTCTCCCTGTCAAACATGTCTGACACGCCCCCCCCCCTGTTATTCGTTTTTTTTTCTTATCACCAGCTCCAGGACGAGCACCGTGACCCTGGTGAGTCATGCCGAGCTACCCAATGAGGACTTTGAGGTGGAGCTGAATGACGTCTGCTGGCACAACGCCCATCTGGAGGAGCTCCTGGATGACGACGCCAAATGGGTCGATGACGCCAGGTGGGCACTGCTGGAGCGGCGTCCGAATGACGTGGCCACGGCTAACAATAGCGCCCCACGCGTCTGTGGAAGCTGTTTTCCAGCAGCTACGGCCTCTTGCCATAGACGATGTGTGTTACAACTGGCCACAGCCAGTCAGTTCAGACTTGGGCTAACCTTCTGATCAATTTGTGTGGTTTTTTCTCTTCCACCCAAAAAAAAAAAATCATCCGTTCATTAGGAACGGATTAGAGAACGGTGGTTATATGTTGTGTAAGAGAGGTCCCATTTGTAAGCAGGAATGGAAAAGTAATTCAACCGTTGTTTTGTTCATGTTTTTTTTCATGCAGCGGTCTGATACCACACTGCATTGGGATCCTGAAAACGTGTCATCACTTGACCGAGAAGCTGGTTGCCATGACAATGGGCAACCCCATGTCCGTCAAGACCCCAGAGAGCCTCAGCGAGATTGTCACTGTGGCCAAGAGGATAAGTCCGAGGTATGTTGTCGAAATCAAACGAGAGGGCACGGCGGACATGCACAGCTCCTCAGTGTTAACCATATTCACCCAAATTGCTTTGTTTCTTGAAGCACTGAAATCTGGCGTGGACGTAAATTCCGGGGGGATGGGGGGTATATATCTCCCACTTTTTGAGGTGGGGGCGTGGGCTATTGAATCATCCCCCCCTACTCTTTTGTGATGAGCAGAAAATTAAAGCCGATTAGGAAGAGTTTTCAAGATTTCCCAACGATGGAAATGTTTATCACTAAAAGGGGAAATCAGTTTTAAAAAGCCATAAATATGCCATTCTGCATGAATTTGATACACATTACAGATCTACATCTTTATCATGAACATCGCCCCCTAGACAGTGTAAAGACAGTGGTGGCGCCCCTTCCCCCCTTTCAAATTTCCGTGGTTGGGCAAGTCATCCCCCCACCTTTCCCCATCCCCCCAATTTCTAGCACAGATATATGCCACTGAAATTTGGATTTCATTTCCTGACCCCACCAGGCAGAGAATTCTGCACTTGTTATGACTGGAATTCTCTACCTTCTGAGCTAGAACAGAACTTACCATATGCATTCCGCCAAAATTACTTGCAATCAATATAACATGCTTATGCAAGTGCAGGACTTTCTTCTGCAGTAAGCCAGGAATTCTCCTTGCTTGTGACTCTCCAGTTGTATGCCTCGTGTGACTTGATGTCACCTTTGCGTCCCTTTTTTTTGCCAAGGTTCAGAAAATTTGTCGTCGATTTGCGGGATATCGTTGAGATTCAGGGAGTGGGTTTGGGAAGCCCATAGAAATGCTTGGGAACACATAGTTGGGGTTAACATTTGCCGATATATGTCTCTTTGGTTACAGAGTGGATGATGTGGTGCGGTCCATGTACCCTCCTCTGGATCCTAAACTCATCGAAGCCAGGTAAACCTCTTTTTCATTTTTGAAAAACGGAAAAGTGTCGAAAAAAAAGGAAAAGATGGAAATTGCTGCTATGTAAACACTTGCTGACAGCTTACTTTCAGTAAAGGCCAGATATATTGACCAACATTTCAAATACAGCCAAACACTGTCACCCCCGATCCCAATGGTCATTTGACGGATATGTCTTACTTCAATCTGGTATTTTACAACACTCGCCACAAGACAACATTTGCTGCAGTAGTCCATTAACGGCAGTAAAAGTCAACATATGGTCCATCTCCACAGACTTCTTGGGCATTGGGAACACGAATGCATATGACAGCCAGTGGCTGTGGAGTTATGTATGCATGTACATAACTGTCAGCCCGAGGCTTAGGGAATGGTGGCAGTATTTGCCCTCTCTAGATATAGATGGACAAGATCGTGTTATATTGGCCCCCGTTTGCTCATACGTCGGAGTTCTCCACCATCCTGTAGGTCAGCCGCCCTGCTGCTGTCGGTCAACCACCTGGTGCTGGTCACCAAGCAGGCCTGCCGCCTGCCGCCTACAGTCCAGTGGATCGACAGCTCCCTGGGGGAGATGGAGGAACACCTGCAGGCCATGCGGGAGATCGCCCTGGCCGGGGAGATGGACTCCGGTGCCGGCTCCCTCTCCTCGGGCACCGAGGGCTCCCACCATCCCATGCTGGGGGAGGAGTTCCGCTCCTCGTTCAAGGGCCAGCTGTCGGCGCCCAAGTCCGGTCCCCCCGTGTGACGGTCATTTCGTCTCGTTCCCCACCCCCCCCACTCTTTTTACAAACCAGCCTACCAGACTGGCGTACAGGGGGGAGGGGCAAACCTTGCTCTTGATTGAACTTTTGAGAGCATTGAGAGCATGAAATGTTAGGCGTGCGACTTTTCCTTCAACCATCTGATTCATGGGTGAGATTTCTCAGCAATTTTAGCTGATTTCAGCGTTTTCTGTGTTTTGGATTTCAGCTTTTTTTCCTCACAGGTTATGTACAAAAGCATGGGAGATTTTTCGCAGTTCAGCCTTTTTTCAGCTGTTTTCAGCTATTTTTATCATTGGTCAATCTCATCCCTGTTGTTCTCCCTATTTTTTTTTCTTCCCTCGTATGCCGTTAAAGCTCGAAAAAACACTGCACAGAGCCTAGTGCATCATTTAATTTCCTTTTTTTTCTGTGTTTGATTTCCTTACCTGATATGTGACGAACCTTTTATTAACCCCGTTGTGTTTACTCCCCCAACCCTTTTGAATTTTGCTGCACAACTTCTGGTCACGGAGGTCGCACACATGTTGCTTGAAGGCTTCCCATGAGTTCTCCACAGAACATGCTCTGCCTCTCGTAAACCCTTCACAGACTTTGTGTGGTAAATTCAGAGCCAGCACGTGGACCCTCTGCCCCCCCCTCCTGTATCACTGCATTCCATTTGGCCCTTCGGAACCCCACACCGACAACTCGTATTGCACAAGGGCAGATCTTGGAGGAGGGGCCAACAGGAGCCATGCTCCCTCCCCCAACCAAAGTGAGCCGCCCATTTTTTTTCTTCTTCACACAGACAGAAAGGGAAACTCTGTGGGTGTATTTTTAATAGACAAATGAAATTGCGGAAAAGTGTATTGTGCAGGCCTCGAATTCACGTTGTCCGCGCTGTGTTTTGGCTTTTGGCAAGTGTGATATTTCAGCAGAACATTCAGATTAATGTCAGGAAACTCGGCGTTGAATCTCCAGGCAGCTGGCATCTCTTGGGAAATTAGAAAGGTTCGGAAGTGACGGATAGTAGACTCGAAAATAACTACAGTTATTGGGTATTTGTGGCTACTACTCCAACATCGCAGTGTGGTAGAGTGCCAACATCGCAGTGTGGTTTCAGGTCTACATGTGACTACCGCTGCTTTTGTCAACTCTAAAAAGAATTTTAAACCTGAGATATTTAATCATCTCATATCTTTCTCAGTTTTCTTCTTCCTTTCCTTCCCCTTGGAGTTCCAGTGCTCTTGTCCCAACTTGTCTACGTTCTGTGGAAGCGTGTTGCATAGCAAAGAAAGGCTTGTGCCGTGTTTTCAAGTGGATAAAATAACTCCCGAATGCCTCACTTTTTCTGTCGTTGTCTCCTGCAGCTTCATCTCTCATGTCAATACGGCCATTTCACAATAGTGCGCCACCAAGAGTTTGCAACACGGCCAATCACAACCCGCTAAATTTGTCGACCCTTTCCAAACGCGCGTTAGGTCGACAAATTTCGTACATTGTGATTGGCCAACGCGTTGCAAACTCTGGGTGGCGTACTATCGAGAAACGGCCGTATTCTTAAAAAAAAAATTTATCAAGGAGCTAGTTCTATAGGTTAACAACATGTGGATGTTTGTTCTCGGCAGTTGTACATAGCAGTCGCAGTAATATGCTTTGAAATAAATTTTATGTCACAATTTTTAGAGATAGACAGATATTATTAACGTGCATACATGATATAAATAATACTTTAACAATACATTTCATCCTTTTGTTTTCCTTTGAAATTTGAAAAAAAACTCCTTTAAAGGGATTTATCTTGATAACCTACAAATGTGTTTTTCTTTACGCTCCTGTATATACTTTAATGCTGTTACATATCAGACGATTGGTCTAGTACGATAGGTTTTATAATTTTGTAAAAAGAGCTGAATTTCTAGGCTTTTCAGTGTTCTTATAGATTTCCCCTTATTTAGGGAGGGGCGACTGACGGGTTTTTCTTGCTGTCTTCGGTTTGCGCGTCTGAAGTTCGCAAGTTGCAAAAATTCGACAGGTTATGAAGTGATACAGAGAAACCTTCTCAGGGTCTGCCAGCTTTGAAACTGTTCAAAGGCCCTCAGACGTTTCCCCTTATAATCTGTTTATCCATCAAAAAAAATGTGAAGCGAAGGAGTTTTTAATTCTCCATTTTCTCCACAAGCCATTTAAGTGCTGTTATTTAAGTTACCCTACTTATCCTCCATGTAGCAGTTAAGAGCTGAACTTTTTTTATATGTACGTGTAGTTTGTGGCGTACAGCTAAGTACCTCGGCAAACTGTGGCCAGGGGACAATTACGTATATGCTGCTGTGAAGTAGAGCAAAATGCTTAGCAAGTTTCTTTTTTGGCTAAGCACGGACCACTAAGAACCGGTCACAGTGACAAAATTATGCAACCATTTTTAGGGATTATCCTTCTCCTCTAAATTAAAAGTATGCTCTCGGCTTCGGTCAAATTTGTGCACGGGCCCAAATTTTTGGATTTCCCAACCAAGTACACGCACCCGTATTAAGAAAAATTTCGAGTGATGGAAAGCGTTACAGCTGGATTTCCTGAGCAGAATATTTGAAGGCGAGCAGATTATTTCCAAGTTATGATTTGCCAAAAAGTTTCTCATGTTATTCTCTGTTCATGAACTAAGCAAGTTCGTTATACCAAAACATTTGACCTTGTTTTGAAACCGGAATCCCTTTTTTTCATCTCATTCTATTGTTCCAACTGATAGCATCAGAATGGGTGCTTATTTGCCCCTTACACCCAAAACATTCAGAAACTTTATCAACATCCACACGAAACAATTTAAACTATTCCCCGAGACACACTTTGGTTGGCTGTTCAACCTTCATATTGTGTCCAAATACCTTCACATTTATGCTAACTTTTGTTATAGAACATTAATTTGAATTATAGAATGTTGGTTGTACATAATGTGTAATGTATATTTTTTATCACCCATGTCCCTGACGTGGGTTACAGAAGAGAGACTGAAATCGTTGGATTTATATGGATCTAATAGTGTGACTGTTAAGATGTAGAAAAATATGTGTGAGGAATTTTGACTCCTGCTTGGAATCATGTGGGCTAAATTAGTGTGAAAAGAATTTGTTTTCATCATCACAGAATCCTTTTACGGTCCTGAACTCTTTTCAGTATGCATCCATTTCCTAACCAATAGATGAGCCATGATCTCTTTAAAGAAAACATTGTGCCTTTTTACTAATTAACTGAAAAGATTAATCAAAATATAACATCAGGTACCATTATTAATTATTATTTTGTGCCTTCTGCAGAGAATTTAGCAAAGATATACGGACCTCGTTTTCGTACCTTGTTCATAATCGTGGTTAGTACAAACTCGCTACGTACCTGCGGGCGCATACAATAAAAGATATCCATCGAGTCGAAATGCGCCGAAGTCATGATTACGCTCTTAAAATTGTTTTGGTCACGACCAGCCAAGAAAGAATCAAACAAAATCATGTGTAATGACGGAGTTCAATATCATGCATTTTATGGACTCTTTGGGTATTTACACTAGACGCCATCTTGGTGAACCTTATATGAAATATCGCCACAGTTGATTTTGGATACAATGCGCATTGCACACTTGGGCACACTTCAGTGATTTGATTCACATTGTACATGTATATGGTATAAAACCCGACGTTGTGCGAGTGTTTCGCTGTTGACCCAAAAGACCAGTAGTTTCGGCTTCATTCATTAGATACTATTCACACTTCTCAAAGTCTGTGTTGATTAATCCATCGAACCCCCCCTTATACTTTTGGGCCAACCTGGGGATCGGTGTAGTTTGGCAATATGTAAATTTTGATATAAAGTAAGCGCAAATTTCTATTCGCCACATCGACAGTCGTTAAGGCAATCGTTTTTTGACTATTAAATTGAAATTAAAATTTTGACTATTGAATAGTTCTTTAATTTTGAATGTACATGCATACGTCAGATAATTTGTAGAACAGAGAGGAATAAATTTTATATCATTATTTCGTGAATTCATTGTCGGACTTGTTTTACCTGGGTTTTCTTTCAAAGCTTGCGGTATTTCGTGTACGAAAGGAATTGCCCGACGAAGCCTGAGTTTGATTATTGAAAAATGAGTACTGAAGATTTTCCGTGATAGGTTTCGATTGGAACAAGGGTATGCTGTGCGACGGTGGTGGAGAAAATGCGAAGATTGAAGTCAGTTACAAAACAAACATTTGCTGTTGCAACATTTTTTTGCTTTACGTTTGCCTGGAGAACCTGTCGCAAACATCATGTGGTCCATGGACCGTGAAGATTTGCTTTGGTGATGCATTTCCAGTGCCCGTTTGCAAAGGTGTTCAAAGAGGATTGCTATCGTTGAAAGTCAGAGACAGCTACAGAGGCGGTTGTCAAGGCTGGATTTTAACTTCATAGAATTTCAGCTTGATCTGGTGAACATATTGAGTGGAGAAAACGCAGCGGTGCTGAAGATTAACCAGAAGGGAAGTGATTATTCGTAACCGTGGAGCGGCAACGGATCAATGGACCGGATGACAGGACCCCTCCCCCCGTCTGCGGCGCCATAGATGACGGTACATAGGCCCGCTTAATCTAATTTGACGTTGCGATGATGACATGGATGAGCTCTAATCAGAAACAGATGTGATATAAGAATCTTAATAGAATTGAATGCATTTTTCCTCCGATCTCGTGCTGCCTTTTCACAGACATTTTGTCTTTCGAATAACCAACCTGCTTCATTGCGCCTTTGATTTTTTTACAAACATTCCTTTCCATGCAATCACGATAAAATAAAAATGATAGTTATCTTTTCTTCTCCGTGGAACTTGCTCAGAACACTCCGATAACTAGATGAGGTGTCGCATATGTTGAAATTCCATTGCAAGGCCGTGACTGATAAAATGTTATGTGTCCGTCACGGATTGTGTTTGTGTTGTTATCAGGGTGGAGATTTATACGTGCAACCACGTCACTTTTTTGCTGTGCTCGAAAGGCAACGTCCAGTCCGCCTTCTGTGTGAACGCAGCCCCCTCGTCCGTTCTCATGAAAAACGAACCGTTGATAATTGTTTCAGAATCTACCTGTAACACAATTTTATTTTCACAAGGCCATGCCGCGTGGTTTCATCGGATCGGAGATGCAACGAGAACGATTGAGGATCATTGACCTTGTCTCGATGGGTGACCGTGTCGTACTAGTTTATTCAAGAGTTTCAGAAAAACAAAATTCTCTTGTAACCAACACGGTAAATAATTACGTATATAGCTGTACATCACGGCCAAATTAATGTCCGGTGTTTGCACAGAAAGGGTAGGCCTACAACGAAGATTTCAAAACTTTGTCAATGTTTCCGATTCCAAAGCTAACCTGAGCTTTTGTTGGGTTGCAACTGAAACAAATACTGTTAACAATTTGGGAATGCCCTTCGAGTATTTCGCTAATGTGCCCTCACCTGAACTCGGACTTGAGCTCCGGTGATAAAAGTCGGCATGTGATGAGACGATTAGGAATCAGCCAATCACAGCACTGTGGAAAGTAATGACGTCATTGGAACCGTAGTTCATGTTGAGAGGCTGATCGTCCTTTGCGTAACTTTGCTGCACGATCGCATCCTTGGTACGTACGCGCGCGAGCGATGTCAGTATTATTGCTAAATTGGCAGCGCAGCGGAGGCCAACTTGGCTCGTACCGCCGAAAAACACCCCCCTAGTGTCTCCCATCACAGGTCCACCCCGCCGCTGTCGGATTTGATTAGCCTTTTGCTGATCGGCAGACGGGAACCCCCGGAGGACGATGGCCGAGGGGTCCGGAGACGTCCGAGGAAGCAAGTCAGTCGGCAAGGAGGATCCAAGCGACGATCAGCAAGGAGACGCGGCAGCTGCGCGGGCCACGAGTCTGCCAGACCAGCCACTCAGCGCCAGCGCGATCGCACAGGCGGCAATGGGCCAGCGAGGAAGGGACCGGAGGAGCGGCCGCAACGGCTCAGTCCACGGCGAGGACGGAGTGTTGATCACCACCGCCGGGTCGCCGGCCCACAACGAACAAGAGGGGAGCAAGTCGAGAGAAAAGAGGAGCTTTTGGAGGTCACGTGGCATGGTGCTTTTCGTGGTGTTCTTGGCTTTGCTGCTGGACGAAACTCTCATGACGGTCATCGGTGAGTCGAATGTCCTCATTTACTTTCATTAGTCTTCGGTGAATGAATATGCTGTCGAATCCAGAACATCATTAAGACAACATTCTGCTTATAAAACAGCAAAAAGTGTAATAAAAAATCGTGCACGCCAAATCTTTATATTCATTGTTTTCATTTTTGATAATACAAAGTCTCTTTTAACAAGGTAATTTGGTAAGTTCCAAGGCCATGCTAAAAGGGATTTGACTTTATTTCCATGCATTGTGATCTGTGGAATTATGTAAACACGGATAAGTATTTTATCTGTGATGAACAGTCATTAATTTTATGCTTAAATTTCATGGTTTTCTTGATGTTCAAACGACCGGTGTTATCTTTAAATCCTCGTTTGCACTTAGCAGACCTTTCTGCCACGCCTCTCGGACTAAAGTGACATCTCCAAAATCCTCCTTAATCCGAGACCCAACCTTGCCTTTTTAAGCAAGCTTCTACCATGTCCGTTTTTAAGAATAATATTGATTACGAACCGGTCTAACCTTGTGCAGACCGACGAGCTTTGTGGACCGCGGTAGGGTTACTGGGCCGGGACTGCCGTACGCTTTGGCGGGGAATCTTGACATGAGACCGGACGGACCGCCCGCTGCGAGTCGCAGTGATCAGTCGAACTTAAGAATCTGAAGGATGCGACGATGTTTGCGCCGAAACAGAGATGGCCTTTTGCATTATTACTTTCAGCTCGGACTCTTAAGAAACCTACACTGAATTATTGATACATGTATATCTATCAAATTTTGAAAGAAAAAGAACCCAATTTTTTGCTATATCCTTGCACTATTTTGATGAATATTGTTATAAATTGCGAGAGTGACAAATACGAAAACATTTGCCCACGAAGACGTGAATGAATTACACATACACCTCAATATTTAATAATCGGCATATCGGCAGACAACATAGTAACAAGGACAGTAGGGGAAAGTGGGGCTGCTGGACCACTTAAGCACATTCTCGATTCTAACCACATTAAAAAAAATCCAGGAAAAGGATAAAACTACTCTTAAAACATGACCAAAACACTTGTTTATTTATTGCAAACTGCTGAAATCAATTACATTAATAAAACTTACGAATATCAACTCATTAAAAATTCATGCAAAAGTGGACCACTAGTCCCATACCTGGGGCAAGTGGACCACATCATAAAACCTTAAAACCTGAGTACGAAATGAATGTTGGAATGAGTAAATTGATAATAAAACACTGAAATTGGCAATCGTAATTATCTTAGAATTCGAAGCACCAGAGTTCAATTTAGAAAGTTAATTAGAAAATTCCTATGCCTTTCCTCCAATCAGGTAATTTCTGGTTTTTGGGATGTTAAGCTAAGCTAAGTTGGTTTAGACATTTTTATTATCCTTCATTTCATTTCATTTTATATAATCATTTTATATCATTATATTTTTCACTTGGGCCTCAATTTATGTTCAGCTTAAACTCTGAAAAAATAAATAAAGTCTTTTGAACGCAACTGGTCAATGTCGTAACCCTTTAATCTAATTTGGTCTAAGAGTGGGCCAGTTGCCCCGATGACCCACTTACCCCACTTTCCTCTGCAACGTTACAGTGCCCGAAGAAAAATCCACGACTGTCAAATGTGCATTTCGTATTCCGTGAAGGTCAGGTAACGTATAGCTAGTGGGGTCTCTCTCTTTTCCTTCTTAAATCTCACGTGTCCTTTTTCTCTACTCTGAAATCTTGGCCCACAAGGCTAAGGAAGCCAATCCCCTCAATGTAATGTTCCTTTTCTCAGTTATGGGAACTGACCTCGGTGCCTCGACAAGCCCGCCCCCAGGCGTCTCGGCCAAACAGCAAAGTAACCCATTTCTCCGCTCTCGTTTTATATCGCCCCATTCTTGTCAACAATTCGTCAAAACAGCGCACACCTGTTCCCATATAAATGTACGCTTATGTGAACAAAGCTGCCAGTGCTAAACTACTCTACCACTGGCATAAGCAGGAGACGCTCTGCACTCGCAGATTACCTCGGCATTTGCTGTTACTGTGATCGAAATGTTCAAAAATGTTCAAATACATGTGTACTATGAGGTTGCATTGTGCAGTCTCAGCCCCCCCCCTTAAGGGCTTACAGTTTTTACAACCGGTGTTTACAAGTAGAACTTGTCATTCGTCATTGAATGCCTGTAGCACGCCTGCGTGACGTGGTTAGGCTGACAGCGACCGTCGTCTCGATTTTTTTATTCGGGGAGATCGACAAGCTTGTTCACGGCACTGACGGGGTGAAACCAAAGTCATCGCCAATTAGGAAGCAAATGAGCCGCATCTTATCCCGTCACAAATTAGAGACAGCTTGAAAAAACATGCCCCGCGCAAAAAAAAGTCATTTTAAGGTTAAAAGATGAATTGATGTGTAAAATATGTGTACATGTACATCCATTTTGTATTCCGCGGTAGTGAATTTGCCTCTGTTTCACTGCATGAGGCCCTCAATCCATGAAATGGAAAGGCCGATTTTTTTTTTGTACAGGAGCTTTCTTAGACACAAGAATGACCCGAAAATACTTTGTTCATGGTCTTATCGCGGCCTTTATCACGCTTTGCGGAAAGTTTGAGATACTTTTGTTCCACGGTGTACGATACACCGTTTTCTTTGTTACACACAATGAATAATGTCGTAGTTTACAAAATGACGGCATAATCTCTCATTTTGAAAAAAGTGTGGAGAATATTTGTAATATTACATTATTAAACAGGTGCAGTTATCTTGTTGAAACATTTGAAAAGGTGTGTTGGTCCTAAGGAAGTTGAAATTTGCAAATATACGCTGTATCTGTCAAGAAAATTTGAGTACAGTAGCTGTAGATTTCGCTGAAAGTTTGCTCGTTTTCGTTTGCAGGTTTCTGTCGATTAAACAAACACTGTCTTTTGCAAGTGAGCGAAACAGAAAGGGGGAAAAGCTTAAATGTCAAGCCACTGACCGCAGTGTCACAGTCTGGAGAGAGAAGGATTAAAAAAAAAGTAAAAGGAAAGTAGAGAGGCATTACAGAATAAAAAGAGGGAACACCGCCGAAGTATTTCGGTATTATGCGGCACAATAGTTCCATCCCAGCGGGTGAGCGTCGGGGACCTGACTACAGAGTGGCGACTTTGTGAAATTATATGTTTGCTTTGGAGGCGGGCCAATGGTAGAATTCTCCGCTGTTGTCTGCGGGGTTAATGCGGCGAAAATGCAAGTGCTTCGATGGTCTCTGTTGCCATTGTGCCACGCAGGTATTCGTGTGAACCAGCAAGGCGGAGATGTTAGATCGCACGGCGGACGCGAGTGATTTTGTGGCAGCCGCGCTGCTGATGAAAATATGGTGAAGTTTTGGAACTGGACGTTCGACCTTGAGGCAGGGCGATTTTTTTTTATTTGGGTGTTGTTCAAGGTGATGTCGACCATGCGTTGACGACAAGTGTTGGATGAAGTGCGGCTTGACCGACGGACTATGAAAATCAACCGTTCGCAAACACCGAACGAGTACGCTCAGTCCGCAATCGATCTCCCGTGGTCTTTCCAAATTGGCACAGAGCATGCGCAATCAAAGAACCGCGTCTCGTGCACGAAATTATCCCACGCAGTGCAGTCCTATACGAGGTCGTGAATATGGTATCCTGACGTCGTATCGAATATAGATGCGACCGTCCACAACGTGTCTTTACGGCAAACTTCAACCACTTTTAAGTCCCGCCCAATCACTGCCCGAGGAAGCTTACACATGAGGCTTCATTGATAACAGGCCTACAACACGTGACCATTAAAATACCAGTAGATGATATCACTAATGATTGCTACCACATTATGCTTGTTTTGAACAAACGCTGGTAAGATTTTGAGTAACCGACCCAAAGTGACCGCCTCAATAAAAAAGACTCTATTTAGATGTCAATATGAGTTGCTCCAGTTCTCGTCCTAAGCTGACTTGAGATGTAGGCCGTGGTATAATTTACTTGAAAGGGTTGAACAGTTTTGATTTAGGCCAACTCAAACAACCATAAAGTCGGTCCCTTGTGATGCAGCCCTGAAAGTATGGGTCTTACGACGGTAATCCTTATCCCCCTGGCAGTTCTATGGATCTCTGAAAAATGTGATTGATTTGTAGGGACTTGTCAATAGAATTGGACCGCTTAAAATACAAGCCCAATCCGTCTGCCCTGCCCGCAGAGCCGAGCAGATTTCGAGATATGATCTAGCGTCGAGATTTGGGGCAACAACATGCTCAATTTTCACAAGTTTGTTTCGATTTTTGGTGTACTGGAAATAATGTAGAAGAATCTGGAGCTATGTAAAGGATGCGGAATTTTAAAGAAAAATCAGACCTGATAACACAAATTAGTTTGATTGGTTTATCGTTAGTCATGTGATAAACATTTTTAAAGTTTCAAGAAAATGTAAATTACTGGTTTTGGTTTGTTTGCTTGATATTGTTGTTTGATCTATTGTCATCCTTTTGGTTGACACCAGAGCTTCCAAAAACATCATTTGGAGACCACAGCAAATCGTACCAACTCATCCGCAAACGCGGCAAATGACACATAACTTTCGGTTCACTTCACACTTTTAGTTGGATAGGCCGAAAGACTTAAGTAAACCAAGCTTGATGAATAAAACGCTTAGAATTACCCAGCGCTGCTATTTTGTGTTGCGGTGAAATTAACATAGGCCTATACAGTTCTCAATGCATTCTAAATGTAGGGTCTGTCTGTTAAAGTGAATAATCACTGCTTTTTACCAATACTGTCGAGTTCATCAAACTGTAATAATATCTTTCAGTTCCAATAGTTCCAGATTATCTCCTGAACCGTTGCGTCCAAGGGAGATGCTCAGGACTGAATGCATCCATCCCAGAATGCCGAGCGATGACGACGAATGCACTAGAAGCGATCAACGAAGAATCAACGCCCCAGACGGTGCTCTCCACCGAGCCACCCCTGGTAAGGTGGACTCCAACCACTTTTTCCGCGAGCCCTGTCCACGTGGAGACGGTTACGCCCTTAGTGGGCGAGGTAACGGAATATCCTGGTGCCACTGACGTGGGGAGTGGGGTCACAAATACGTCACGTGCATCTTCAGGTATACTTCTGATCTTTTACATTACGCTACGTAAATTCTTCATGGTGTGCACTTGCCATCAACGATACCAGTGTAGACACTTATGAAACGAAAAGGGTTCGTGGGTTTTATTTCCGAAAACCTGTAGATACCACACTACATGTATGTTCTTTGACTCGCTTGTTATTGTGCAGTGACAATACAATTGGCAAATTCTATTGAAGTGAAAGGTTTTGGCATGCATTTTACCTTATCCTGTCTCGTAGATCTGATAGCTCCGAGTACCCAGGCAGGAGAGCTAGGGGCGCCCTCTATCGAGAGCGAGTGCGAAGAGGAAATCGTTCCCAAGACTGGCATCCTGTTTGCGTCCAAGTTCATCGTGCGGATCGCCTTCAGTCCTTTCGTGGGATCTTTTGCCCACAAGTAACTATCAAGTAGATGGTTTACCTTGGAGAACTTGACTTCATTCGTCTGCGTAGTCTTGTTCTCCAAAGTAGCTCTGCCTGGTAGCGTATTAAAGTTGGCAAACAACCGCCATTGGTAACCAGTTGAAGCAGGCCTATTCAATTTTGTTCTTTTATCTCAATGATACATAATATTTCTTCTGCTCGTTCTGTCCCGGACGAAGCACATATACATGCGGACTTTTGTGATTTTTCCCCTAAAGGATTGGATTCGCCCTTCTGCTCTTGTCCGGATGTGCCATCATGATTGCATCCAGCTTCGGTCAGTTCTTGCTTCATTCTCTGTCCAATTTGTCTTTCAATCCAGCCGTTTCAGTCAGTCCAACTTCACCTATTTGGTTTCGAATCTCAACCGCTTGAGCTTACGTTTTGAGTCTTGGGTGGGCGGAGAAGAAGGGACATGTCCTCTGCGCTTTTGTCCTACATGAAAAAAACCAAACATTCCTTCTGTTGAATAGAATGTTGTTTATTTCATTATATTAGGCACAACAGAACAGTCGATTCTCCCCATGTTTCACGACTTAGTGCTCGATGACTTCAAGAAATCTTCACTCTGCATAACGCTTTGTGTTTATTCATTTTATGCTTGTCTGCTAAGAGCGCTATTTGTGCAGAAAATTAAACCCGAGAGAAGAGTAGGGATGATTTTATGATTGCAGATAAAATCTGTCAACTGCACTTCAAATCTTTCACATACCCTGTAGAGATCCCTTGTGTTGTACTAACAAGCACGCTGGTTATTAATGAACCATCCTTAAATTATGAGGTGTTTTTTTCTCTCATTGTTTCGGTTGTTGCGTGGTAGTGTTTGCTTTTGGTGTGTCGTACGAAGCGCTTCTTACCGCTCGTATCGTCCACGGAGTGGGAGCAACGCTCAACGAAATAGGAGGTACGGGCAACAGAGGTTGAAAATTAGTCTGAAAAATGTTAACCCCAGCTTTCAGATCTCTCTTCTTTCATGCGTACGAAGTCATGTACGGCGCCCTTATCAAAATCAACGGCACACGAAATGTTTGCAAATCCTTAACTGAATGCATGTTCGTGTCTGCATTGGTTTCCCCTGCCCTTCCGTTAAACCGTGATTCCGTTTAACGTCAGGTCGGCGGTTTGCCAACACTCTTGGCTGACATCTTTGGGTGAAGAGCTGGAGACTGCAACCGAATTCCCCTCTTTTCTCGTAGTCTCCTTCATGCAGAATGACCTTAATTTGTAAAATCATCTCAATTTATTATTGTCTGCCCTTCACTTTGTCTCCAGGCCTTAGTTTGTTAGCGTACAAGTACCGGACCGACGAGCAGAAGCGAGGCTTCGCGCTAGGCCTCGCTATCGGTGGATTTGCGGCAGGAAATCTCAGTAAGTCGATTTCTACATAATAAAGAGGTCCAAAGGTTTGAGTTTTTCCGCCTTGAGCAGAAACACCCCCTCATCGGTTGAACGAACCGTGTTGGTAGCGAAGGAAACGTTGCGCGTGTATTTCGGAATCGTTTGTTAACCGGCGATGTGCAGTTCCACCAGAAAAGCCTCTGTCGCTAGGAAAATTGCGCCCTCTATTGTTCCCGCTCTGAGCGGACATGGCAACTTCAGTAGCTAGATGCCACCTGATCAAGAGTGCGTGCTTGTAACGTGGACAAAGACTAACAGACCCCGCGCTGATGCAAACTGCTAGCTGTCCATTTCCCACAGAAATGAACCTGTGAGTTTTATTACCGCCAGCCGGAACAGCCAAACCTTTATGTGCAGCCTCGCCCTAGAATTCTCAAAAATGAGGTCTTTCGATTCTCAAGAAGTAAATACATTAAGCACTTTTACTCTTGTCCATTTTGCCGCAGTTGGACCTCCACTGGGCGGAATCTGCTACGACTTTCTCGGCAAAGAATCGCCGTTCCTGATCCTGGTTGGATTTTTCGTCGGGCTTGGAGGTCAGTGAAGGTTTCTCTTCATTGCTGATATCACAGCTGGCAAAGTCTTTCTAGTGGAAAGGGCTGGAAACGCGCCGTCAGTCCAAAGCAGGCTACAACTCCGACTCCCGTAGAAACAATTTTTGTCATAGATTTTTATTGAAGTAATCTTCGTACTGAGTATTTTCCTGAACAAAATGCACTTCAAGAATTCAAACACAATGAGACGAAGCCGAGGCAAGAATAGATTTCGTAAAAATCACTGAGACCGTGCAGAATTCGCGGGTTTAAATCTGCAAGATGCTAATGGCCAGCGTGCCTTGCGTTTTGTTTTTACCTGTCAATGTAGTTTTGGAGCTGTTGGCGCTCAATCCTCGCACCAAGCAACGCCAAGTTTTAAAGAAGGAAACTCCTCTCTACAAGCTCGTCCTTGATCCGTACATACTGGGTGCTGCAGGTGAGTTTCCTTGTCTGCAACTCACAATACCAAATGGCGAGTAAATATGTTTTCAACATGTCGGTTGGAATTTCTTCAAAACAATCGCCTTGAGCAGAGACAACCCCCTCGTCGGTTGAAAAGAGCTGTGTTGGTGGGAGTGTTCATTTGTTGATAGCAATGCGACCGCAACGTGTGGATTTCATACTTGTTTGTAAACAGCCAAGTGCAGTTCCCACCAAAGGAGCCTCTGTTGCCAGGAAATTGCGCCCTCTCTTGGTCCAGCTTGGGGCTCATAACAATGTTGATTCAGACGTCATGCTGTTTGTTCCAAGTAGAAGAGACATAATTGCTCTGTTTTCATTTGCTACACGTTCATGAATTATCACATTGGAATAGGTGCCCTAATGATAGGGAGTGGCGTATCGGCAATACTGGAGCCTACTTTGCCCGTCTGGATGAGGCACAATATCCATCCGCCGCCCGACGCCTGGCAACTTGGTAAATATTGACGCAGCTATTTTTCCATACATAATGGTTACTTAAAGTCAAAAGAGCTGTCTGACTAGACATGACAAGACATATCTGACAACAGAGAGACCTTGCATTCGCTGTTTTAACAAAAATTACAGTTTAGTACTGATAAACACTCTTTCGACAGAGCTCTCAAATTGGCGGCACGTGACATGTTTTGTGCACGAAAATTTCTGACCATTTTCTTTTCTCAAACTAGTTCCGAGAATAACTGATGTTCGGCTCTTGGTCTAAGTTCTTGGCCGAACAGTAGTTTGTGAGCAATATTTGGAGGAGGAACCAAGTTTGACATTCCATTTGAGGAAATTTTTTCCAGAATTCATGAGGAAGTTTGAGGAAACAGCGCCCTCCTTCACGCCTTTACCCTTTGTCAACCTCACTTTCTTGGTGTTGCCCCATATCGCAGATGCCGTACTATAAAAAAAAAAAAGTGGTTGGCTTTAAAAAGGTGTAGCTCGATGTTGATGTCATTTCAGGAGCTGTGTTTCTGCCCTCTGGTCTGTCTTACATCATCAGCAGCACTCTCATGGGATATCTAGGCTACAAACTCGGCAGGTAAGCATCAACTTCTAATACAGAACTATAGTGCTACAATTGAACCGTTGACTGGCGGTGGGCACCTCAACAAAGCCCCGTCTGCTAGAGCCGCATCACCATGTTGCAGACTTGATATTCATGCACGATATATTCAGATTTGTCGAGGCAAGTTACGAAACAGATGCTATAGTACGTACCTTAACTTATACATCTACCCACACTGTGGATCTTAACTTCCTATAGAAAAGGCCATCTCATGGTTAGGTTACTCTCTTGTATTGGTTTTGTTCGTTTCTTTTTTTGATAGGTGGTCATTGTCGCTGTTTGCTTTGGTGGCACTCTCAGCGAGTGTTGCAGCCGTAAGTATTGAAAATGGTATAGTTTGTTTATGGCGGCATTGATATTGTCCACTTCAGTTTACCCAAGGTGGGTCGAAGAATGTGAAGATTCAGTTGTAACTGAAACTGGAGATTAGGCCTATGCAGGCTCAGTTTTGTCACGTATAATGAGGACTAAGTTTTATGCCGATTGGCTAAAGTTCCGATGTGAAGGACCAGTGTGCTTAAGCTTCTTGACCTGATCAAGTTCCTGTCCTTATTTTACCGTGTAGGTTCCATACACCGACACCTTCCTGGAACTTACTGGCCCTATGGTTGGCATAGGGTTTGGCTTTGGTAAGATTTTCTACTTTCAGGCTTTCAGGCATGTCAGGAAACATGAGCGATTTACGACAAAGCTTTAAGCGGCAAAGAAAGCCGAGGCAGCTTATCCGCCTTGAGCAGAAGCACCCTAACCGGTTAAAAGGAACCATGTTGGTGGGGAGTGTTCAGTTTGTTCGTAGCGACGCATACGCGACACGTGCATCTTGTAGTTGTTCCTGAACCAGCAAAGTGGAGTTCCCACCAAAGGAGCCTCCGTTGTTTGGAAAATTGCGCCCTCTCTTTGTCTCTCTCGGAGCCCATGACTAAATAGTTCATTTTCTCTTCACTCATGCATGCCTTCACAAATCACGAAAGTAAGCCATTACAATTAGAAATCAATCAACAACAAATAGCCTGTTTCTTAAACCTTTAGGCACAGTGGACAGTACAATGACCGCCATGTTGAATTCCCGAGTTGACGTCCGCCATAAGGGGGCGTATGGGGGCGCAGCAGCCATCTCCACGTTTGCCTTTTGTCTTGGGGGTGCTATTGGTGAGTGAATGCCTTATTTGTATCGAGACATGGCCCATACTCATAAGAGGATTGTTGTTACTGATGTTTTATTTCTCTCCACATCAGTAGCTACAGGATTGTCACAAAAAGTATAAAATATGTACAGAAGGCAAGACCAGGAACACTGATTTTGCATTTAATCAAATCTGTTCTACAAATGCAAACGAAATGGATATAACTCTGATACAAGTTAAGGTCACATTCTAGCAGCCATTATACAAGAATATCATATCACCAGGGTGGTAACGTTTAACCGTAAAGCTCTTGACAAGCATCTTATGTTCTCACTTGACAGGACCAAGTATAAGTGGGTTCCTCACTAATGCCATTGGGTTTAAATGGTAAGAATATATTTTCTATACAGTAACTATAACAGTGTACTTCTCATCTATCAATATTAAAATTTTTATTGCTCCTATATACTCTAAAAACGTCCGGGTCAGATTGACCCAGAATTGGGTCCCATTCGGTATAACCCTTTTCCGGGTCAAATTATGACCCAGAAAGGGTCAAATGTGACCCGAAAAGGGGTCACATTTTGACCCAGAAAAGGGTCATACCGAATGGGACTCAATTCTGGGTCAATCTGACCCGGACGTTTTTAGAGTGATAGTGGTTATGCGCTATGGCGGAATTGAAAGGTAGAGCTTTGTATCACCAGGATAGGCAAAGTAAACCTTTGTACCTTAATTGTAACGAAATCGAAATAAGCCACCAACAGTGCATAGTCTATTCATTCACACCTCTTCCTAACCTGTTTAAAATAAGATTTTACAATGGAATGTTTTCTGTTTCGGCCAATGTGGGGGGTGATTTGTTTTGGGCGAAAAGAAAGAAGGATAACTAAGGATACGTGGGCTATCTTCATGATCTCTTTAGGCTTATGAGAGGCATTGCGGTCATCACCTTCATTTACGCCCCATTCTGCATCTTCCTCCGTTGCCCTGGCAACGCCAATCACAGCACCGGTGGCAACAACAACAACAACGGTTTCACAACACCTGGGACCCGGACTGACGTCACGGATGACGATGTAGACGTCATCCCCGTGCCTTCGATCTCTAGACGTCTCTCGAGAGTTTGAAGGGTCACAGTGAAAAGAACCCTCTTTCCAGTGGACTCCATGCGCATGCTTCCTAACTCATGAATATGCCAGAGGTTCATGCATTTCGTGACTGGTTCTCAACCCCGCCTTTTTAAACAAAAAAAAATCATGGACAGACGAGGAAGCATTCTACCCACTTAGATAACCGGTTTGTGACATCGTTCTCACGTGCTGGATGCATCGTACGCCAAAATAATGACCATTCTAGTCTACAATCATGATTTATGATAATTATTATCCTAGCCAGAGCTTTAATAGACTGTACTACGGTTGGATTAAAGCTTCCTTGGTTCGGACAGCCATTTTCTATTGACATCCGTCATTGCCTTTAGCGTTTGGCCACTTTTACCGCTACAGCTAGGTTTTATCTAACCAGCTCACAAATTGCGCGTTCAGCCGAGATAAAAACAAAAACAAAAACGAATGAGCTTCGTCGTTTTGCATTCAAATTTAAAGGCAGGAATTGGGGGCGTTATGATACAATATCAGTCACAATTTCATTGCAAAAGGCACTGGCGGCAGATAAAAAAAGTCGATAGAGGGCGATCTGTTGGCCAATGTAGGTGCTTTCGTCGTTCCCTAGAGACGGACGGGCAACTTTTTAGGAACCTTTTTTGTTTACAAGGTTAAACGTCGTTTTGTTTATGGACGACCGAAGTTTGCCGAAAGTCGACCGTTAGTTTTATCGTTTTGTTTCATTAGTCTTAGCATGAATTTTTTAAAACACTTTTGAATTATTCTTAAGGTTTTGTATCCATTGATTTGTCAACCAAGTTGGCAAAACTGTGCTCGTGACGTTGGAAAAGGAAGGTCTCTACATGTAACTCCAAAATGCTACCGAATCTTGAACTTGATAGGATTTTATAATCATTTCGGTATATGGACAGTTGTTAAAATTGTCTCGTTAATACTGCGCTTGAGGTTTTTTGGCGGTTGTTTATCTGTAGGTAAATATTTTGTTTATATACCCACATTACATGAATTTACTTTAGAGTTTAGAAACTGAAATACAGCTCTGTATATTGTCTCATGATAATCGACTCTATTTAAGAGGATTTTGGTTGAATCCAGCTCTTTGAGCAACGATTTGTTTGGTAAAGGTTTGCGAAGCATACACACATATACTTTTGATGAATCGAGCCACCCCACATCAATTGGTCGATGAACTGCTCGACTCGCCGGCGTGTAAATGCCGGTGAAAAGCCGTTTATACACGAGTGGGTTTGGGTTTGCGAATTACGTACAGAGTTGCACTGGGTAGGAAATTTATTGAATGAACATCACTGAGGGGAGATATAAAAATAAAGAGTGGAAGTTATGTGCTTCGATACACCAAAGTTGAAAGCTTATCCAAGTTTGTAAAAGATCGGTATCACATGACTTTGAGCCGCGTAGGCCTAACCTTTCCTCAAATTTGCTCTCACTCCGTTACCTGATCACGAGCAATATGCCAGTAAATACCGTCTTTCATAGAGCCCACGTGCCACACGCTGCACTTAAAACGATGCGTTCGTAAATGAAGCCCATAGCCCTCTATCGGGGGCAGCCATCTTGCTTTTCTTAGGGGTGCACCACTACAAATAAATTCCCATAGACAGCAGTGATAAATCCCCATACTTCACAAATATTT